ATGAATGGATTTTCCTTACAATCTACCACTACTCCTAGGAAAGCAAATAAAGGTATTGAAAGTGCATTACAGGAAAATATAATTTGCTCCGTGGGAGGCTTTTGGTTTGGTGTTTGAACCCTTTGAATGTAGTCTTGAGCTTAGTATTTATAGGAGGAGCCCTAGAGGGACAATCGAGGCTGAAAAGACCTGCGTGGTGGAGCCTGATCGGGGCAAGTGGGTAGTCAATTCGGCATTTGGGATCGTGAAGCATGGTGGTTTAGGATTGTGAAGCATGGTGGTGTGACTCCCATAAATCCCGGTAAATCTCGGCCACCGCCCTGATCGTGGGTTCTGCCCCCGTGGCTGTGGGAACGCATTTAATGCCCTGGTTTGGTGGTTGGTGATCTTACCTCAAGTCGTAAGATTACTTGTGAGAATGTCTGCGCCTAACCACCCTGATTTCCATCACCAAATCCTGACTTCAGTCACTTCCCTTCTTCCCTTGTGCATTAAATGCTTCTTGCAACTAGTGGGTTTGCTGCGAAAGTCAGAGGCATTACTTCATTAAATGGGGCGTGGGACCTTGAGGCCATGTGGCGATTTAACCACAATTTCTTCGGCCGTGTCTTTTACGGCCTTCGGCTTCGGCTTTCAATACTGCAGTCGCGAGACCGAGAGGATTCTGCCTTTGCAGCTTTTCTTTTGTTTTCAGGAAGACGAAATGCTTAACGAAACGGTAGGCGCTAGGATCGAAAGGAAATCCCTTCAATTAGTTTATGACCGTGATTTATTAGGCACAAACAGGGCAGTTGTCTTCCATAAAAATATGATCCATTATCTGATTTTTCTTTTAATTTTAATTTTTTTTAAATATGAAAAAGTGTGAATTTACCATATTATCCTCATTTAATTAATAATTTTAATTCTTAATGTTTGCATTAACCAAGGGCATTTTCTAGTATTTTGAATCTTTGGTTTAAAAGTTGAGAGGTTTTTCTATCTTTTTTTAAAAAACTTTGGTTTTTTTCAAAAGTGAAATTTTTTGTGACTAACCTAAAACCTAAATTTATTTAGATTTGTATATTACTTGGTATATTATTTTTTTTTTTTTTTTTATAATTTTTTATGTTTTTTTTTTTTTTTTTTTTTTTTTTTTTTTTTTTTTTTTTGGGTTTGGTGTTTTTTTTTTTTCTTTTTATTTTTAAATAGGTGCCCAAATAAAAGGGATTACATATAAATGCTGAAAAGTAGGGATTTTAATGGAAATGCCATAACGGTAGTGTTGACTAAGTATGATGATGGTACAGATTGTAAATATTTTCTAATACTAGGACAATTATTAACAACATTCAAATTTGGATTTTTTTTAGTGGTTGAAAAACAGGTGGCTTTATGTCTAACATATAAAAATTAAAAGGGTCCATTGCTTGAGTAATTTTTTGTATTCTGGGTACAAAACGTGGCTCACTTGCAGTCGTAAAGTTCAGTTTCAGTTGCAGTCGTAAAATTCAATTCATTTCAAATATCAATATTTCATTTTATAGGTCAATAAAATGAACTCTGAAATGAAATTCATTTCAATAAGTTAGTCTACTACTAGCCTCTCCGCACGCACTTCCGTGCCTGCGAGAGGCTTTTTTTAAAAAAATTTAAAATTTATTTTAGAATTAAAAAAGATAATGGGTAGTTGTGTTCCATAAAAATAGGATCCATCATCTTATTTTTCTTTTAATTTTAATTTTTTTTAATATGAAAAAGAGTGAATTTACCATATTATCCTAATTTAATTAATAATTTCAATTTTTAATATTTGCATTAACCAATGGCATTTTCTGGTATTTTGAATGTTTCACCATTCTTTGCCTTTTGCTATATATATATAGATAGATAATAACTCTACAGCCTCTCTCTTATTGACACATGGACAACATTCCTTTTTAATTTTTAATTTTCCATTACATTTAATTAGTGTAAATTTATTTCACTGTTAAAAAAACCAACATCTATTTTTTTTTTTTTTTTTTTTTTATTTTTTTTCTTTAGAGAATTAAAGAGAAATTTATTAGACAAACTTCAACAATATAGTAATAAAAATAATAAAAAGGATAGCTAATTATATTGCTAAGTTATTTCACTTTTCAGAAACACAAATGGCTAGTTATTTACCTATAAATACATATGTAGAAAACAACTCTCCCACAACTTCCTACACCCACAAAAAAAATTGTTTATGTTGAAATTTTATTTTTCAATACAAAATTTTGTTATTAATTTTATTTATATATATATATATATTCAAAATTGGTCTCTTTTTAAAGATCTCTTTGAAACCATTTTAATTGTTGAATTCTTATTGTAATTAAATTTATTCATTTTACTTTATTCAATCATTTAGAAAGATATTTTAAGAAAATATAGTTTTAATTTTGAAGTTATTGAACTACACCACTGCAAGTTAAACTGCAGTTTAGTTCAATAGTTGCAAAAAAAGTTCAATTTACTAAAATGAACTATTGAGCAACTGTTGTGGATGCTCTTAAGAGCGAAAAAAAATCCTATTATTATAAAACAACACGTACAATACATGTTAATAAATGTAAATAATAAAAAATAAAAAACTATTTCATCATATAATATTAGTTAAACATGCTAATTGTGTCCAAATAGGGAGAGTCTAACGAAACCATAAAAATAAAAGAATTATTTACACTAACACTCTTTAAGATTTTTCATGTTTTCACATAACCCCTAATGTCCTAGAAATTATCTTATTATACAATGAACTCATACAATGCAAGTTAATAATGGCCAGTATTATTTGTTTTTACATATAATATCAGTTATATGTGTTAATCGTGTCAAAATTGAGATACTCAAGTTTGACACTAACCCGGAGGCTCAAGATCTCGTATATTGTGGTACAAAACTTTACGTTCTAGAATTTGGTAAATACTTCTGATGTGATTAATTGCAAGTGGATAATATCGCTCAAATTAATATAGTAGTAAGTAGAGTATCGTTCCAACAGGTATCAAGTAATCTATTAAATACTAGAGTGATTTATTTCTAATTATATTTGAATTAAACGAAAAGAGAATTATGATGATTAAAATCTAATTAAGCAAGCAAAATAAATTGAGATTAAGGAAATAATGTAAAAGATGAAAACAAAGATGATAAAGCACTAGGGCACCGATTTCACCTAGCTAATCCCACCCAAATCCTTCTAGCTTGTTAATTCTAATTATCTAACATGTTGATAATCGTTTTCCCTTACCTCACCAATACTCTCTTCCGAGTTATATTAGTTGTATTCCTAACCATCAACCACTCTATTCCTAGTTATGGATTTAGATAGCTAAGAACTCATTAAGATTTGTGGAAAACAATAAAGATTACATAAACCATAACCTAGTCTTCCGAGTCGGCTATGTAATTTATGGTACTTGTTACTAGAAGCTTTTTATTAGGAATCTCCTTCCGGTCTCAACCTAATTCTTCTAATCATGCAATTAGTGACCAATTAATTGAAAGCATTAAGAACAGTAACAAGCACTCAACATGTATAGATAAATAAAATTAACACACTACTACAAAAAAGGAAAAAGACGACGGGAATTCACCGTCGTGTATTCCGTTTTCAAAGGGTCGTGGAATCCACCAACATCTTTTCTCTAACCAAACCACGACACTAAATACCCGTCGTTGTTAAAACAAACAACGTCATCAACAGATAAAAACCGACGTCTTTGTACTACAAAAAGAGATTAAAAAAAACAGTCGAGGATGAGAATAGACGACCAACTCTAACAAAAAAACATCGTTAAAAAGGCAACATATGACATATATTAACAGAACATGGCCACAAGATACACATACAACGACGAGAACTAAAACTCAACGCCGTTAAATACACCTTTCACGACAAATAAAAATATGACGTCTTTAAATACATAATAGACGACGTTATTGACACATACTACGTCACTACATTTCCAACAACCGTCGTGAAATAATTTTCCACTTCGATTTTTCTATGAATGATGACGTGGAAATAGATGTTAGGGTCATTACTTACGATGCATGTATTTACAGAGACGACGTTGAACTACATAAACAACGTCGGTTCCAAATAAATGAGAGCCATATTACAGAATTTATACGTCATATTTTAAAATATAATCGTTGTCTAATGGCTCTGAGACAGCATCATTTCTCATTCCACCGCCGTGTAAAATAATTTTAACGACATGATCTGAAAATAAACGACGTGGAAAAAATGTTGGGATCATTAATTACGACACATTAATTTATAAAGACGACGTTGTCGTCAATATAAAACGTCGTTATCATGAAAAAGACAGCCGTGTTTCATAATTTATACATCATCATTAACAAAATTACCGTCGTCTAATTCATATTAGACGGCGTTGTTTATCCGAAATTCGCCGTTTAAAGCAATTTTAACGACATTATCATAAGAAAAGAGACTTGGATACATCAATATAACGTTGTTTTTTCAAAGGAACGATGTCCAAATATATCTTAACGTCGACAAATTTACCAATGGACTTCAAATACCGTCGTGAATTCATCCTTTTCCACTTCGTTTATGAAAGAACATGCGACGTGGTAAATTTATGACGACGTCGTCTTTTGTAACGTTCAGGTTAGATATCTCGTCTTTTAGACGTCGGTATTATGGGATTGGAGTCGTGTTATTTTGAATTACATGGCGGTTCTTTATGCTTCTCCGACGTGATATCCTGAATAACTGTTTCACAATAGCGTCGTGGTTCTTCATTGTTACGTTGCTTTAAGACGTTGGTAAATATATTGCGGTCGTTGAATGCTCCAAAACGTCGTTTTTATTAGAACAGACGTTTGTTTTTCACATTTTTATCAAGACCGTCGTGTTTGTAATCTGGAACCAGTAATTTTTGTACTGATTTTTTTGTGGCCAAAACCTGTATAATGAAAGTGAAGAAATCACATTACAATATATTACAAAATTAATGTCATACACTGCCAATTACATAAGCATCATTCAATCCATATATCTTCACACCCATCTCGAATATTTGACTCCCAAACTCACCCACTAGTTCATCAAATGTGTCAACATTTGGCATCCCTCTAGTAAATGGCTCACACTCAATTCTCACATCACCTAAGACATCATCATCACCAATAACATCATTATATTCTCTATTAGGCATTGATAACACTACCGACCAACCACGATGCTTCGGGTCGTCAACAAAAAATACTTGTTTGACTTGAGAAGCCAAAACAAATTGGTTATTCCTATGTCCAATTTTACTCAAATCTACAAGGGTAAATCCAAGTTCGTCAACTACAAGACCAGAAGTACTATCTATCCAATCACACCTAAAGACTGGGATTGTAAACTTTTGGTAGTCAAGGTCCCAAATTTCTTGAATGACACCATAGAAACCCATATTTGAGAGAATTGGGTTTTTATCCTTGGCACTAGCAACTTGCATGGTATGTGCAAGTAAATAAACTCCACTATTTTGAGTTGTCCGCACATCATCTTGTGCCTTGATGTTAAATTTAATACCTTTAATAAGATAGCTCTTATATGATGGCACTGCCATGTTTGGACCAGCTGCTAGCCACCTTAAATTTTCTGATACGCCATGATTGTCTTCCTCATTAAGTTCACTTTGAACCTGCAAATTAATCATATCTTAATTCAATCTAACATAGAAAGAAGAAAATTAAAAGTCAAATATGTTATTCAATAACATATACCTTGAAGCGTAGCCATTGAATGAAAGTGCTATTGTGCTTATCCTGCAGCCACTTTGTTCTCTTTCTAAATTTTGGATAAGCGATCTTGATATGGATCATATGTTGCCTACATGACACAAAAAATTCAAGCATTACGGTCCCAAACATATAAGATAAACATAAGAAATAATTTAAAATGGAAACTTAAAGAATAAAACTCATATGTACTTGATATAAGGTAGGACTTCCTCCGTATTCTCCAAGGCATATAGATGTGCTTGGTTCAACAGGTCCCGATCAACTACGCTCACTGTGCAACCTGATAATGGCTTTGAAACTCCCATCTTTTGGCTTGAAGGCACTCCAATTGTACTAAATCAGATAAATGCTCGGTACAAAACTCTACAGCTTCTTCAGCTATATACCATTCAGCAATGCAACCTTCGGGACGAGTACGATTCTGAACATACCCCTTTAGCACTTTCATATATCTTTCAAACGGATACATCCATCTAAAATATACTGGCCCACATAGACGAACTTCTCTGACAAGATGTACTACTAGATGAACCATGATATCAAAGAATGAAGGGGGAAAGTACTTCTCAAGCAAACACAAAGTAACTACTACATCTTCTTCCAACTTATCTAACTTGGAAACATCAACAGTCTTTGCACATATAGCATTGAAGAAGAAGCACAAACGAGTTATTGCATACCTTGCAGGCTTCTCCAAAACAGAACGAATTGCCACAGGGAGCAATTGTTGCATTAAGGTATGACAATCATGTGATTTAAGGCCAAGAAGTCTTGAATCTTGTAAAGATACAAGATTTTTTATATTTGAAGAATAACCTTCAGGGACCTTCATACCATAGAAAGAATTGCAAACCTCTCTCTTCTCTGCTCTTGACAAATTCCAAGGCCCGGGAGGCAAACGAGTACGTCTTTCTCCATACTCGGGTTGCAAATCAGTTTTGACCCCCATGTTCAATAAATCTAATCGAGCAGCAGTCCCATCTTTATTTTTTCCAGGGATCTCCAGCAATGTACCAATGATACTATCGCAAACATTCTTCTCAATGTGCATAACATCTAGGACATGCCTCACAGGAAGGTATTTCCAATACTCGAGATCAAAGAATATTGATTTCTTCTTCCAACAAACTCTGTCACCATCTTCAACCATATGCAACACTTCTTCTCCGGTTAATGGCTCGGGAGGCGTGCCATATTCGGGTTTCCCATTAAAAGCTGCACGTTGCCTCCTATATGGATGATTGATTGGTAACCATTTTCTATGCCCAATGTAACAAATTTTGTGGCCATTTTTCAACCTGTGACTAGGTGTATCATCGCCGCATATTGGACAAGCTTTATATCCTTTAACAACACAACAAGATAAGTTTTTATAGGCGGGGAAATCATTAATTGTCCACATTAATGCAGCTCTGAGTGTAAAGTATTCTCCATTATGTGCATCATACACTCCTCCAATCCCATCCCACAAAGATTTTAAATCATCAATCAAAGGTTGCAAGTAGACGTCTATATCATTTCCCGATTGTTTAGGACCGGAAATCAATAAGGTCAACATCATGAACTTTCGTTTCATGCACAGCCATGGAGGGAGATTATATGTAACTAAAATAACTGGCCAGCAACTATATCTACTACTTAGAGAACTGTGGGGATTGAATCCATCAGATGAAAGAGCCAATCTCAAGTTTCTCGGCTCATTACCAAACCCTGGCCATTTATCATCAAGAAGTTTCCAAGACGGGGAATCCGCCGAATGAGACATCTGACAGTCAATTTATTTTCTAGCAGCATGCCAAGTCAAACTCTTAGCTGTCTCATGTGATCGAAACATCCTTTTAAACCTTGGAATTTGAGGAAAATACCACACCACCTTCGCTGGCACACCCTCTTTCAAGATTGAATCTTTGCCTTCCTTCCACCTTAAGATACCACAAGTAGGACAATTAGTTGAATCTTCATACTCCTTCCTATACAAGATGCAATCATTGGGGCATGCGTGCATTTTCTCATAACTCAGCCCCAATGCACACAAAGTCTTTTTTGCCTCATACATAGAGGCCAGTATTGTATTTCCTTCTGTAAGCAAATCGCCTTGAAGTATCAATAATTCTGTAAAACAGACATTACTCATCCCATGTTTTGCCTTCAAATTATACAACTTCACTAATGCTAATAACTTCGTGTACTTTCTACAACCAGGGTACAATGGTTGATCTCCATCCCCAATCACATTGGCAAACTCATAAGGGTCGGATCCAAAATCACCAAAATCATTATCATCCATCTCTATTTCTTCATACACAAAACTATACCTACTATGGTCATCATCTTCTTCAACATTTCTACTAGCATTAGTAGTTGCTTCCCAAAGTTCTCCGTGAAATGTCCAATTCTTATAGCTTTGGTCAACTCCATTAAAGTATAAGTGATCCCTTATAATTCCAACCCCAAACAATTTCAAATTAACACATTTAACACATGGACAACGGATATGTGTTGTAGTTAGAAGATTTTCTACAGAAAACTTCAAAAATGCTTCCACCCCTAACTCATATGCCTTCGATCTTCTATCCGAGTGCATCCATGACTTATCCATCTCCGACACTATACCCTATTATTTATAATAAAGTGAAAAGACAAGCAATGACCATCACTATAGCAGATTATATAAAGTTTTAATAGCAAGTAATATACTACACAGACGACGGTTTTTAAACAAAACAGACGTATTTGACAATATAGACGACGGTTTATCAACAAACGTCGTCTAATTATAACCACGACGGTAGATAAAGAACACCGTCGTGTATAAGTAATACAGACGACGGTTTATTAAAAAATTCGTCGTCGTATGCCTAAAAAGGCGTCAATATCCCAGTTTATTTTCAAGAACCCAAAACCCTATTAAGAACACAACATATACATTAATTTTTATGTTGGGTATTAAGCATGAAACCAAGCATGAAACAACATATACTAAGCATGAAAACAATAAATCTATTCCCGATTCAACATAACAGAGAGTGATTAAAAGATCCGACAAAATTAAATCCATTCCCTATTCAACATAACAGAGAGTGATCATGAAAATATTAAACAGGAAATCCATGAACCCATACCTCCAACAACATTACTAAAAGATCGCACAACATATATCTAGAACCCTTTAACAAAACAACCTAATATCATTCAATGAATTTACAAGGGGAAAATAAGGGTTTGTACTTACAGGTCGGCAGAGCTCACAGATTATGGCCTACTTGGATTCGACGGAGCCTAGAGAGCCCAACTTTGAATTAGAGAGTAAGGGAGAGAGCGAAATGTTATGTTGCCCGAAAATCTGAAAATTTTAGGGTTCAGGGTTACAAGTATAAGACTTAGAGCGAAATCTGAAAATTTTAGGTCGCGCGAATTTTTTTTGGAAAGCGCGCTCTTTAAAACATCAACGAAAAAAACAATTGAAGTCGTCAAAACTAAGAGAAACCATGGCGAAAGTTTTACTAAAACCAACGTAAATTCATTATTCCACAACTCAAACACTGAACTCAACGCCGTTTATTTTAAAGAAACCACGTCGTCTGTTGCACCAATAGCGTCGTTTGAATAACCTTTTACGTTTTTTTTAAATCGATGACGTTGTTAGTCATGTACAACGTCATTTTAAAGGAACATAAACACCGTCGTCAAAAAAGTAAACATCAACTGAAAACATAAATACCGTTGTTAAAAATAAATACCCTAAACCCTAAATTATATATTACTAAAATATAATTTTATAAAAGGGTTTATGGTTTTACAGCCTAATATATAACGTCTTTTAAACCGTAAACCCCAAAAATTATCCTTTAATCCTAAACCCTAATAAATAACAACCCTAATCCATCAAACTACAAGTGATGTTATGACTCATCAAAACAATTTATTTTTGGGTGGTTATTTTAAATTTGTATTACTCAAACTGAATTTTTTTAAGGTTTAGGGGGAAGAAAATATATCAATGACTTCATAGGAGTTGACGTTTCATTTTTAGGATTTATTTTGAATATTTTGAATTAAAAATAATAAAATATTCTTATATCAACTACAAACCACGTTGGGGTTAATAAATTAAAGACGTTGTAAATCATAATAAATGACTCACTTGTAAAAAGGACGTCGTTTAAAAGAGAAACCATGGCGGATGTTTCACCATCCGACGTAAACTCTCAATATTCCACGACTCAATCACAACAAACCACGTCCACTTTAAGAAAGTAACGACGTTGTAAATATAATAAACGACTTATTTGTTGAAAGGACGTCGTTTAAAAGCGAAACCATGACGAAATTTTCACTAACGTTATATCACGACTTAAAACAAAAAAGGTGTCGCCGTGTAATTTAATTACCACGTCATACCTGTCGTCTAAATATCCTTTTACGTCGGTTTTATTTCTATTACACGTGTTACACGTTTTTTTTTTTTTTTTTTTTTTTTTTTTTTTTTTTTTTTTTTTTTTTTTAAAATTAGAATTAACCTCAACAAATTTTCAGGGAAAAAACGGATGTATATTATAGACAAAATTTGTACATTATATATTATAGACAAAATTTGTACATTATATAAAAATATCAAGTGTTCTAAAAATCCTCTAGTCCACATGAAAGGCAAACAAACTCTGCCCATTCATTCCTAACTTCATCAATGGCTGCTTGGGGGTATGGCGCTTGCTCTTTTCCCTTGGCAAACTGCAATCCATAAACAATGATTATTAAGCTTTATAAATAAAAGAAATTCAATCACAGACGATGCTATTTTCATAACCGACGTAGTATATCGATTCAATGACGGTAATTTTAAAGGACCGTCGTTGATAATACAAAAAACCACATAAAATGTATCTGAAAATTTTCTTCTTACCATCTTCTCAAACTCCAGGGAAGGATCCATGATGATGTCTCTCATGAAGCGCATGACATAATACCCGCATTCGACATTGCTGGGTTGCTTTGGTGTGTCTGGCAGAGTTTTCCAAATGGGTGCTTTACGGCCTTGTCTGCCTATGTGGGAATTATAAATTTTTATAGCACTGTTCACCATGTTTTTGGCCTCCTCATTAACCACACGATTTCCGGGCAGAGGATCCAGAAAATAGACGATTTCCTTCTTTGCTCTCACAATCAGCAAGACCCAATGACAGCTGCACAAAATTAATATAAAACAAAGATATATAAAAAAGTCAGCACAAGAAAACAAACGACAGTTATTTATAAAAACGACGTATTATATAGTTTCACACGACGAAATAACGTAGCAATCGACATCATTATAAATTTATCATGACAGTAATTTATAAAAAAACGACGTATTATACAATCACACGACGAAATGAAATAGAAATCGATGTTATACTTAATTTATAACGACGGTACATAACTAACGACGTGGTTAGTAGTTTCAAACGACGCAATAAATAAACCACCGACGTCTTATGCTATAATGAATTTTTTTTTCAACACAAATTTGAGTGTGAAATAAATATTTGATAAGGACAAACCTCATATATACTGCAAGCACAGTAGCCCCAATTTCTTCCATGCCTGCTAACTGCTAACTGTGCAATATCTTCAGGCAAGACGAAGGTACTGCGATTTGCACCAAACACCTCCTTCCCAATTGTAAAGGTCATGATCTTCTCCTGAGGCTTTAGTGTGGTTTCCACATAACGACAAAGGGATTGTAAGGAAGATGGCACCTCCACCTTTGAATAATCAGCTACTTCAATACCATGTTTAAAGGAATAAAGCAAAATAAAATGACGTGGTAATTCACTAAACACGACGGTTTAAAGAAAACAACGTCATCTGATAATAATTTAAACGACGGTAACAAAACACCGTCGTGTTGAATAATTTATTACGTCATAGGAAACAAATTACGACTTCTAATATGAAAACAAACGACGGTTTAAAGAAACTATCGACATCTGAAATTTGAAAAACAAATAAAAAAGGCAAAGTTATGAGAATATACCTTTTCATCATGCTTTTCTTCATCTTCTTTTTTTTCTTTCTTCTCTTCATCTTTTTTTTTCTTCTTTATTTTCTTCATCTTTTTTTTCTTCTTTATTCTCTTCAAATTTTTTTTCTTCTTTCTTCTCTTCATCTCGATTTTCTAAATCCCCAGATTTCTGTTTTAAGTAAAAAAGAAATATATATAAAAGACAGATTGTACAGAAAGTAAAAAAATTAAATCAAAACGTCGTGGTAAGGCATAACTTAAGATGGTATGTAAAAATTATGGACGTCTTAAAATTATTAAACGATGGTAAATAATAAACGTCGTGGGGATTCATATATTACGTCGGTAAGGACTAAAACCGTTGTCTAAATCACCACAAAGGTTTTCAAAAATAACGACGTCAAATGGAGTGTAAAACAAGTAAACTAAATACGACGTTGTATTGAAATACAAACGGCGGTTTATTAATAAAATCGTCGTGGTATGTATTTCAAACGACGGTTTGCTTCATAATAACGACGTCTAATACCTCTTTTAAAAAACAGAGAATTCAAAGTTCATATATGTTACCATTTCTTCCTGCTTTTCCCCATTTTTGGCAATATCATCCTCAAAATGTAGGGATCTCACATCCCCAGAGCAGCTTGCTTTGTCAGACATTGGATTTTTGGGACTTTGCTCTAGACCTTGGTTTTGACAGGGGCTAGTTTTCGGTTTAAGCAAGCTTGGATCAAAATTGGGGATGAGTTTGGAAAGCTGACTCAGTAAATGTTCCCTCTCAGCCTCTACCAATTGCTTGGTTCTAGCCTCCATCCTTAAAGTCTCTTCCCTTGATCTAGCTTCCATCTTCTTAGTCTCTTCTTGAAAGACAATTCTTACACTTTCCTTCAATTGATCGGCAAACTTTACCCTCTGTTGTCTAGGTAAATTGAAGTATTGCCTAGGGGAAATCCCAGCACCTACCCCTCTTACTCTCCCTGGATGCTCGGGACCCAAAGCCAAGGTCAACACATCATTACTGCCAGATACACTAAGACTGCCTTCAGCCACTTGTTTTTGCAATTCATCCTAAAACAAAGACATATAAAAAAGTCAGCACAAGAAAACACACGACGGTTATTTATAAACAAACGACGTATTATATAATTTCACACGACGCAATAACATAGAAATCGACGTTATAATATATTTATAACGACGTTACTTAAAGAACAACGTGGTTAGTTGTTTCAAACGACGCAATAAATAAACCACCGACGTCTTATGCTATAATTACAAAAAACAGAGTAGTGATTCCAAATTCAGACCTGTAACGACGTTTTTTAAAACATATCGACGTAGTAATATCATTCACACGACGGTAAATATAACATAAGACGTAATAAGAATTATTAGGGCAATACAGAGTTTAATAAAAATTTAAAACAGAGTGAGTAGTCTTACAATTAATTTTGCTTTCTCTGCCACCTTTGGATCAGGGATGTTACCATCTTTGTCTTGTCTAGCTTTCTTCCATAAGGTAGATCGATCAATTTCTACCCCAGGCATGGTTTCCTCCAATTGATCCTCCAAACCAGCTTATCCTTTTCGAGACAATCGATGATTGTACTCAAGTTTCTCCCTAATCTTTGAATGTTGAGAATGCACAGACACAAATTCTTGGGATAACCTTGAAGCCACAAAGGCATCCCATTCTACTTTCTCTATGTTGAGCTGACTTTGACTCCTCAGAAATTGTTGTTGTGCTGGCTGGTTCTGTCTCAGCAGATGAAACAAACTTCATCTTCTTCAAGTACTTGTCTTGAGGAGTTACCTTTGCAACCTCCTTACCTCCATTTTTTTTCTAGCCAGAGTCCTTACTTTGGTCTTGAGAAACCATGGTTACAGACAAATCAAACCTGCAAGTGAAAATATTTCAGGAAAAAATTAAGAACACAAACGACGGTTATTCATAAAACACGACGTATGATAAGATTTTAAACGACGCAATAACATAACATCGGACGTAATAAATGTTTAAAACGATGGTACTTAAACAACGACGAAACAATATAAAGAAGACGTAATAAGAAGTTATTACGGCGATATTTACACTCCGTCGTGATATTTAAATTCAAACGACGTTAATATTAATATAACGTCGTGGTATTAAAATTACACGACGTAAATAATAAGATACCGTCGTCTATATAAGATTCCAAACCCTTCTTTCTTTGTCTGTGAATGTTTGATTGCAGGTTTGATTTCTCTGAACCATGGTTTTTGTTTTTCCTAATTTGATAAAATACAAAGACAAAGAAAGAAGGTTTTGGAATCTTATATAGACGACGGTATTTTAGTATAACGTCGTGGTATTAACATTCACACGACGTGAATAATAAGATACTGTCGTCTATATAAGATCCCAAACCCTACTTTCTTTTTCTTTGTATTTTATCAAATTAGGAAGAACAAAAACCATGGTTCAGAGAAATCAAACCTGCAATCAAACAAGAAAATAAAAAAACGACGGTCATTTTAAAAACAACTTAGATCAATTTTCAGACGACGCTAGGGCGACTGATGAACCGTCGTGGTCTACATATTTAACCACGTAAATAAGAAGCAACCGTCGTCTTATTTAGTTGAAGTAGTTGTGTTCAAAGTTGGAAACTTTCCCTCTTGTCTGTATATTTTATCAAACTTGGAAAGAATTAAAATGATTTTGGCCAGAAAAAAGGTAAAAAGATTTTCAAAACAAAAACCGTATGAGCATGCAAAACAGCAACAAAAATAGTGAGAAATGAAAGCTTACCTTTTGCGTGCAATGAAAGCTTCCTCTCGGAGTTTGGTGTTTAAGTTCAGAGAAGACGACGAAGACGAGAGAAGACAATGAGATACACTGACAGTTCTCTGACAAGGAAAAAAGACGAAAAGTTTTCTCTCGGAGATTGAAATTTTTTATCGGGTTTGGAAACAGTGCATGTGTAAGTCAGGTAGACGAAAAGTTGAATATATACACAAACCGTTTCATAAAATTAAGACAGCGGTTTACAGAGAACGACGACGTATAAATAAAAAACTACGACGATAATTTGAACTTAGGACGTGGTAAATAAATACAACAATAGTGTTGTAGGTACCGTCGTAGTAAACTCCAAAATAAAAGTCGATAAATTAATATCTCGCGTAATGGTACAAGGATTTAACACGTCGTTTTTTTGTAATATACCAATGTGGATTTTTATAATATACGACGTATTATAAATAATAACCGACGTTGATTTTAAAATTAAACGGCGGTTCGTGTGTAATGACCGCCGTGGGTTTTAAAAATTTATTGTATAAATTTGTCGCTTTCTTTCAGTTTCAGTTTTCATTTAGGGTTCCAAATTCTTCCTCTCTCACAGACACTCTCTCTCACCTCTCGAAGACAATAATTTGGATGTCTTTCTCAAAGAGAAATGGAGTTTACTCTCCAACAAATCTATGTCCACAAGAAGAAGCTTGTCATCTAGACTTCTCACTTCCGTGATCAGGCCTGATAGGAGACTTAGTGCTTCTGAATACTCCTTGCTTTCCATCAAAAGAGATGCAAGCCTGGCCTCCACTCGTTGTTGAAGGAAAGTTCGCCATTTCTTTGCAAAGGGAAATCTGAAGATCAGATGTGCCTGATCCTCTGCTCGATTTTCTTGGCTAAGAAGATCCGTTAGATTTGTGATAGCCTGTTCCTTTATCCGTAGAGCTTCAGAAGAAGAAGATGGGTTTTCAAGAATGCGATAAAGAATAGAAATGGCTTCAGATGGCATTGTCAATGCTTGAGCAATAGAATTTGTAAAGACAATGTCAATGCTTTGAACTATCCAAGTCCTGCAGAAAAAGAACATACCAAATTTGAAACAACGACAGTTTTTTGTTCTATCATCGTCTTTTTTGGTCGTTTTTTTTGTCGTCGTAGTATATTAAAGTAAGATGGCGGTAGGTTTATAATTACCGACGTAGATTATTCTTGTTAACATCGTTAAGTGTAATATAACCGACGTGGATTTTATTTTTAATTATAAATAGAGTTTTTTTTCCCGAGGAAATTTAAAATGACAGAAATTAATGTTCTAGAATTTGTAAAGTTTCTTGTTTGGGTGACTGATTTAAATTAAATACGAATATAAAAACAACGACGGTAGAACAAAGACGACGGTTTTTTGTTCTACCGTCGTCTTTTTTGTCGTAAGATGGCGGCAGGTTTATAATTTCCGACGTCTTTAATTTCTACGTCAGTTACTTAATTGATTATGTTGTTGGTTTTTTGCTCTGAGACTAAGACGACGTAATATATTGTTTAGCGACGTGGATTCTTTTTGTTAAATGTCGTTAGGTGTAATATAACCGACATGGATTTGATTTTTTTAATTATAAATAGAGTTTTTTTTTCCGAGTTCTTTCAGTTTTAGTTTTCAATTACAGTGCGTTATAAATAGAGTTTTTTTTCCCAAGGAAATTTAAATGACGGAAATTAATGTTCTAGAATTTGTAAAGTTTCTTGTTTGGGTGACTGATTTAAATCAAATATGAATATAAAAACAACGACGGTGTTTTTTTTCTACCGTCGTCGTTTTTGTCGTAAGATGGCGGTAGGTTTATAATTTCCTACGTCTTTAATTTCTACGTCAGTTAATTAATTGATTCTGTCGTTGGTTTTTTGCTCTGAGACTAAGACGACGCAATATATTTGTTTCGCGACGTGGATTCGTTTTGTTGAACGTCATTATGTGTAATATAACCGACATGGATTTGATTTTTTAATTATAAATAGATTTTTTTTCACGAGTTCTTTCAGTTTTAGTTTTCAATTAGGGTTTCAACTTCTTCTTGCCCTTTTCTCTGTCTCACCTCACCTCTTAGGAGGCAATTGTTTGGATGTTGGTGTGTGTGTATGTTTGTGTATCTGATTCCCAAACATACACACATCACCAATTTTTAAAAAATTGTCTATCTGATTGCAAATCTGTGGCTGCCGTCGTGAAATTTTAGGAGGCAATTGTTTGGATGTTGATGTGTGTGTGCGTTTGTGTAGATACACAAACTCACACACATCATCAACTTCCAAAAAATTGTCTATCTGATTGCAAATCTGAGGCTGCCGTCGTCAAATTTCAGAGGCAATTTTTGGATGTTAATGTGTATGTGCGTTTGTGTATCTCAAAGACACAAATACACATACATCATTAACCTCTAAAATATTGTCTTTCTGGTAAGATTATGATGAGGAACAGAGTTCCATCTGGTAAGATTTCGTAACCCTTGGGATCTCAGAAAAATGTGATTATGTCGGCGGTTTTCTATATAAACTGTTGTGGTTATTTCAATTATTGTCATTAAGTTGATCTACCGACGTAGGATATCCAAGAAATAAATTGTTTAAAAAAATTCTTATTAAGACGACGGTTTAAATATAAGGTATGACGTATAAAGTGAATAAATACGACGTTAAATTTTATAATACGTCGTTAAATGAAAAACCCCAACGTGGTGAGAGTTAAAGATACCGTCGTAGAACTATACGAGAAAGACGTCGATATATTTATCTTTGCTGTAGTTGTACATTAATTTAATACGGCGGTATTTTGTATTATACTGCCGTGGATTTATTTGTAATTATACGGCGCCTTATACGAAAACTTGGTCGTGTTAATTTCTGAGTAAAAACGGCAGCTTTTTTTGACATCGTCATCTATACTTTCTACGTCAGTCTATTCATAACTTCTGCCGTTCTTTGTTGGCTTAGATTTTAGTATGCGGAAATCCCATTTCAATAAAACGTCGGTTTTTTAATTAGGTGCGTAGTCTTTTATGAACAACCATTGGAATCTCCCATTTTTAGGTGTCTAAGGTGTTATTACACGGCGGTTTTATAGAACCGTCGTCTTTTAAAAAAACGACGATTTTCCCTTAGACCGTCGTTTTTTTCTGGTCATCTTTGTCACTTTTTGTAGTAGTGACAATATCAAAGAATTTGAGTATTCATAGCTAGGCTACATCGTAGCCCTAGTAAAAGAAATTAGTTCATGAAGAACTTATTGAGAATCATGATGGTTGATGAAGACATGGAAGACACTGAATTCTCCAAGTAGAATGCCAAGGTTGTGCAAACTTTCTTCATATTCTCCTTTGGATATTTCAACTATGAATATGAATATGTAGGATGATGATGGATAATGGAGGATGGAGGATGATGGATAATGGAGGATGGAGGATGATGGGTAATGGATGGATTCCTTGAATAATGACCTTAATTCCCTATTTATAATACTCTTACAAATCCTACTTATCTAAGGTATACTTACAATTTTTATAAAAGTAGGATTCCTCTTAAAATAGGGTCTTTTTTATTTCTCCTTATTTGACTTGATAAGACTTGAAATATCTTGAACTAGGAAATTTGACAACATTCCTTGCGACAAAAGGAATGACTTGGCTTCTTGACTTGATTTAATCTCCAATCTTCATATTCTTGCCCTTTTTAGCACACTTTCTCTATTTCATAATTCCTTCACAAAACCAATTAAACAACCAATTTAACCCAAGGAAATTAACAAATAAATAAGTAAAAGAGGCATAAAATATATATACAATATAGGCTTATCAACTTCTCATGGTATGCTCAGTACCATGTGAGAATTAGAGCATTAAGCCTAAAATTATTTGCGTAGGCCTAATTTTTTGACATTGTATCATAACCAAGCGGTTTCTATTCCAAGTTATTTCAGAAATTTTCAGATGTCAAATTTGATTATGGTGTTCCATAGTTGGAAAGTTTTGGATCATAATCGGCCTAATAGTTAGTATAGATTAAACCAACAGTTTCCTTTTATGTAAATTATGTATTATCACTACAAAAATTGTTGGCAATGGTCACTTTTTTTGTTTTTTTTCAAACTTTTGGAGATTATTGGTCACGTTTTTCCATTATTAGAAGATTATCTGTTACATTTTTTCGTGACTAAAATCTTTAATCACAAATTAGTCACAAAAAAAGGTGACCAATCATCTACAAAACTTACCCCAAAAAAGTTACTATTGCCAACATTTTTTGTAGTGATAGTACATCATTTCCCAAATGTAATAGATCGGTAATGCTAGGCTTATCATATTTTTATACCACATTATGTATCACTTTTCTAATAGAGGTGGAGCCCAACAATACAATGGGCCCCACCTCTATTGAAAATATTTCCCTCCTTACCATGTAAGTATGAGCTCCTACATTCATGTTAATAGCAGTGTGACATGTGTGCATAAGTTTTTCTTTTATATTTTTGATGAATTATTTTTGAATATGTGTTAAAATGTGATTCACAGGAAGAAGGCAAGCAGTATCCCACCTCTATTAAAGAGTTGATACACAATATGATATAAAAATGTAATAAACCTAGTATTTTCCGTAATAAATTAGTCGTGAAGGCTTTTAAATATAGATTAGAGGATTGCCATATAAAAAAATTAAAATATGTAACACGAGACTTTTCTTTTTCCTTTTCAAATGACAACATATGTGATGGTCTAGCAGCCAGCTGTTAGCCATCATATCAATTCTACAAAGTCACAGTAAAAATTAAGATAATATTTTTCATCTTGCTTTTGTAGGTACATCATTTTTTTAATGTGATTAATTTGTGTATATGTTCTTGAAAAATATCATAAAAACATTGTTCTCTAAAAACTAGATGAAAAGAAGAGTCTAGACGTTATTTGTTCCATCCCTTCTAATATGTCTTGTCAAAAACGCTTGTTAGTTGAAAAATAATAATGCTACTCTTACCATATTTGTACACTATATTTTCATATCACCTTATGTGGCAAATGAGGTGGACAACTACATCAATTAAAATTATTTAACATTTTTTTTCTTTTATGATTTATTAACACTTAAAAAAAACTGTTAATTAAACTTTCTTTATTAAAATACACTTCGTTGATTTAATTGATGTAGCATATGATATGCACATGTCACATCATGTAGTATAGAAATGTGGGATAAAAATCTGGTAAATGTAGCATTACTCTTTGAAAAAATATAAATGCATTAACTTTTTCGAGAATTAACTTTCAATATAAATGCATTATAACTTAAGTGAAGTTAATTTGTGGGCTCTTTCCTATAGATTAACCTATAAATTATACAAACGTTTGTTAATTCGTTTCAGTCAACAATCTTGATAGATATTCCTGAAGTGGTGCCTATAAATTGGGAGCAGTATATGCAATGGAAGCTTGGTTTGAACCAATCTTAAAGACCTTCAAGTACAAACATGTTTCTAAAATAAGGAGTGAGAATCGGACACGTCTCACAACATGCGTCACACAAAAGCACAAAACAAGCTTAATCAAGTGAAATGATTAATTAAAACTCTAGTTAATTAGTGTAAATCACTACCCTAATTAACTACTATACTCACCAAGATTAGCTTCATCCATCTTCAGCTTCCAAAATATACACTCATTCTATTCATCCTCTCTTTACCCTCTTCATCTCTCATCTAAGGTCATGACCAATATTACATTTGTAGTAATTATTCTCCTTGTGATGGCCTTGGCAATGGTGGCTGAATCAACCCAACACACCACCAACATGTATTCGCGTGGGCGTGCCACCACCGAATTCGCACGCGTGAGGCGTGATGCCGGTGATGGAGAAGTGGCTACTCCACCACCACGTGCATGTAATGGCAAGGAGTGTCTGAATGAGGAGGAGAACGAGGAGGAAGAAGAGGAGGACGAGCAGGAGGGCCTGCAAACTGTAAGACCTCAAGATGAAGGTAACACAAGGTATATAAGCTATGAAGCCCTAAAGAAGGATAATGTTCCATGCAATCGACGTGGCAGTTCTTATTATAATTGTGGTACATCTGGGCAGATCAATCCTTATCAACGTGGCTGCACTGTCATTACAAATTGTGCTCGAGAGGGATGAGAGCTAAATTGTGGAATTTGATTAGTAACTTAGTTTTGAGATAGGAGGCACATTTTTTTCTGTTATTTTCTTATTTTTAAATCTTCATTATTATTTCTCTTATTTTCTTCCTTTTCTGATCACCCTAATCTATTACTATGTTTTAGGTTTTTTTCTTCCTTTTCTTTCTTTTTGGAGGGTGCTGGTGAGCACCCTAACTTTATTTTTTTTAATATAATTATTTATTTATCAGCTGGTTATTTGATATTCACCACTAGGTTTGGGAAGTTTTTGTCTTGCAATATTTTTTTGCATACCAGAAGAACTAATAGGTATTGCACCAAATATGCGTGTTAAATAGGGGTGGGCACCAAGACTAGAAATCCAGATACTAAGCCATACCAGAAGAAAAAAATCGTGTTGATTAAAAAGTCAACAAACCAATACCAAACCAGATCGACCTTGTTCAAACTAGTTCCAGTGCCAGTTTCACACCTTACAAAACCACACCGGACCGGTTGTGTGATAGGACCCGACCCAAATTCCACTTTGGAATCTGAGGCGAACCCTGTGTGTGTTTGACACCTGGCAGGTGCCGGACACTCTTGACCAAAATACATTTCTAAGTCTAAATTCTTTTTCTTCAAGTTTGACTTATGTCGAAAATTCAGCAGTCTCCCTTGTAATTCGTTCGTTTCCCAAAATTTTCACCTATACAACAAGCGATTTAAATATCCCCATTTGTTCAGCATGTACAAAAATGGAATTCATACAACCAAACATATGTCACATACCAAAGTCCAAAGATACTGACATGATAACATTCATAACAGACTAAGCAGAAAAAGAAGTGTACAAATAAGCTAGGCTGATATATACAACACAGCCGCCACATAATGCAAATAATATCATATTAGGCTCACAAATGAGAATGATAATAACGAACTTATAAACTTCCCTCAAATTTTGAATTTCTCAATCAATCACTAACAACCTCAACAAGATTTCGAGCATAAAAGAAATACCTCAGTTACTAATATAAATTTCAAAATCTCATTGGCGTGAACCGAACTTTGCGACCCTATCATGACATCAGGCCTCTTTAAATAAGATAAATCGTTCTGCCAACTGAAATTGGTCTCAACCTTTAAAACAACATAATTACATTAACATATTTCAAAATAACTTAACTGAACAGCTTTTCAATCATTTGGTCTCGCGGCTGCACCTAATAACTCTAGGTTGCCTACGTACCCTTAATAAGGGATCAAGCCACACGTAGTTCTTTCTATGTGATTGCAAAACAATTCTAGTTCTCATGTTAGCGATATGCTCACCATTATTCACAAGCTCTAAAGTATATACTTTTCAACTTTCCAAATTCTCATAACAGTTCATACTCAGAACATAAGTAGGTCACTCACTGAACCTCCTCTAATTCATAAATCAATTTGTATATTATTGGCTTAAATTATATATATATAATAATAATAATAAATAATAATAATAATAAAAATAAAATAAAACCAACAAGCACCGAAGACACTTTTATCCTTTCCTTCGAAACTCACATAAGGCTCATTATATAAATATAATATATATATATGTCTACAACTTAGTTGGAATATATATATTTTCCTTTTTTACTTGTAAAACAAACTCATCGCTTAAGAAAATAATGGTGAACTGTATAAAATCCTTAAAATTTAGGAAATTCTCAATCATTGTCTCTTAATCATAAAATAGGTATTAACTTTTACTCTAAAAATACCAAGATAATATCATCAATATTAGTTAAACGTCTTATACCCAAATACTCTACCACCTAGGCGTACCCCCATTTATATTCTATCAATTCCTTTAATATGACGTCAATTACGATAATATTCCTTCAATTTCAAGTATCCTGTCAGTTTCATCCTCGCAGGCCTCGAAAACACAAAGTTAACCGAGCCGCATTCCTCGCAGAACTCAAGAACACAAAATCAACCCGAGCTGCAATCCTCGCAGGCCTTAAAGACACATAGTCAACTCGAGCCGCAATCCTTGCACCACACGGTTCAGGCATCCCTGAAACTTGTGAGGCATTATCAAAAATAACAAAACTGTTTCAAGGCAACTAGGGTACTCCTTTGGTGGGTTTGAAAACCATATCCAAAACTTACCACAAACTTTCCTTTATTCCACAATTCCATTTTTCAAATCTTTTTTCAACTTTACAAAAATCAGTTCTCAACTACCTATGAATTTACACCACATACTGTTGAGAACTAGAGTCCATAATTCATCATTTCCAAACTACTAAGTATATATATAGACATGTAATTAGATATTTAGTAACTTTTATTAATCATGTCGAAATCCAATTAACAAATGATTCCATTTCAATACTATAATGGTAATCTTAATAGTAATAGATAACTAAATAGATAAATAATTAAATAATTAAATAACTATTATCCCTAGAGATTTTGTCACCTCCAATAATGCATTTAAATCCACAGTAGATTGCATGGTAATTTAATCAATGAAAAGTATTAACCTTTAAAGAACATCCCTTATCGAATCACTTCCCAATCTAAACTCACTAAGCAAGAAATTCCACACTAAAAACTCACTTCCCAACCACATACTCTTAATAACAAATTTCCACTTATTTACTAATAATCATAACCGAGTCCAAGGCTCACTTTCGCAAACCACTAATCCGATATTCCAAGCTCGCCCATTCCATAACTTCAATTATCAATATAATATCCAGAAATTTCCATAAAACACTATAAAACAATTTCCTAATCTCAACATAATCAGAATAACTCGACTACTGGACAAGACTCCTTCACAGGTAGTTTTAGTACTTCTCGAAAGGTAAAACGACCTTGGAAGCTCATGGTCATCCGAGGGGTCAGACTGCCCAAACTTGGTCATCCAGACTTGCGGGGCCCACGACCTCTTATTCCCGATTCGGAAGGTCCTATAGGTTCAACAAGATTTAGGATACACGTACTACAAGTTTGGTCCGAATCGAATGGTCAGATTGCTTGCAATCGCACAATCGGACGGTTATCATTTAACGCAAACTTTATGTAATTGAATCGGAACATCCGGGGGTCCGATTCACGATCCACGAATTCCTACTCGATCCTAGGAATGCATAGACCAACATATACTAAAATAGAGTCTATCCAACAGTCCAAACATGTCGAACCTGAAAATATCTAATATGCGATATCCGATCGATGATCAAACGATGCCCAAATTCATATCCGAGCATACCATCGTGCTCGGGACAACATAAGGATGATTTTAGGACTCAAGGACAGGTCGAAAAGTGGCCCACGCGCTTGTCCAAAGTGATTCCGGCGATCGGAAAATCTCCAAACTACCAGTCAAGACTTATACCTACTTGATCACCACATAGAGTGGAGCAACTTTTGTTCTTGGACATACCCCAAAAAGTGGCCAGAATCGGAGGCCAAAAACTGGAAGATTTTCAATCGCTTATTACCCCCTAAACGTAGAAATTTCTCCTATCCAACACCACCACCAGCTAGAACATTTTGAAAGATTGAGAAAGCATACATGGATCAACGAAAATGGTAGCCTGAAGTGGGAGAACGGGCGACTGGAATTTTTCTGAAAAATCCTGCCAATTTTCTTGATTTTCCAGCGGTATTCGCGGTGGCTTGTGGCGACAAAGGACTGGGGCTAGAAGAGGAAGAGGATGCGATCCTTTTGGGACCAATGTAGTCCTAAGTGGAGGCCGATGGTGGCTGTGGTGGCTCTTGGAGCCACCGACTGGAGAGAAAAAACGAGGGGGAGGGGGTCTGCTCGCGAGGAGAGAGAGAGAGAGAGAGAGAGAGAGAGAGAGATAGAGAGAGAGATTCTGGTTTTAAAAAACAATTTTGCCCTTACTTGAATTTTGATCGTATCTCTCTTGTTACAACTCGGATTTGAGCTTACGTGTCTACGGACTCATCTCAATGTGCTCTACGCAACAGTATAATTGAAATTCCCAAATTTCTTCCCGAATAAAAAGTCAACTTTTAAACCATTAAAATATTCCGGGGGTAAAATTATCTTTTAATGGAATAAATTAATAATTAAATATTAATTTAGGTTCGGGTTATTACATTGTGTATTTTTATTTTATTTTTTAAAATTATTTAAGTCCAATGCGAAATTTCTAATTCTATAAATAATATTTCCCCAAACCCAACTTCAAAGCACCTCTCTTTTACGAGCCCAATTATCTTTTTTTGCATGAAATTAGGTAATTTGTGAATTTTTAAGCCCAAAAATAAAATTTTAGTTGGAATTTGTAAAAAACAAAAATTTGAAAAATATATAACAAAAAATCCGATCCAAAATCGAAAACTGCATCGAAATTGGTTTAAACCGGACCGATCGGTTTCATAAATTTTTTCATCAAAATCGGACTGAATCGCACTAGCTAAATAATACTGATTTCGATTTCGATTCCAGTGTGAGGTGAAAATCGAACCAGACCTCGCCCACCCCTGGTGCTAAGTATCACAAGTGGTAGGATTTTTAGAACCTGCGCAATAGGGTTAAAATCATTGAAAATACTTGCAAGAACACAAGGTAATTGTAGTATAAGTGCTCATACAAGGTCGTTGTCCCCAAAGATTATTTGACTAATTTGTAATTAAACTAACTCTTAATTAATAATTAAAATAGATTTTATCAAAGATTTGAAGTTTATGAATTTGAAAAGACTAAATTAACAGTAAAATAAATCTGAAAGTTGGGAAATAATAACAGCAAATAAGAAAAATGTTTTCTTTTTCTTAAAAACTAACAATTTAGAGAAAACTAGAGTTTAGCCATCACCGTCACAATCCTATGCAATTCTATCAATTACTTATGAATTTCCACATATATGCTTTGAAGGTTAGGTTTTCCTAATGCATATTTTCCTTGTGATGTTCAAGCAAAAACATATATCCAACATGAAATCCTTCTGTGATCACTACTACAAAAATTGAAATAGACGACGGGGAAATACCGTCGTCTTTTTCTTTTTCAAACCGTCGTTAAATCGACCGTCATCTTTTTGAATGTCAAACTACGACAGTAATTAACCGTCATCTATTTCATGTAAAGACGATGGTTTTTAAAAGAACCGTCGTCTATTACATATAAAGACGACAGTTTTTATGAAAGAACCGTCGTCTATTAGATGTAAAGACGACAGTTATTAACTATAAAACTAACGTAATTTTACATTTTAGTTTTTTTGTTGTTGTTTCCAATGGTATTAGAAATATATACTCAAATATGCTATTACCCACGCCATACATATATGTACTCAAAAATTGTTTCTTTCATAAATAGAATATCAAGAGTACAATAGAACAAAATAAAATCTAAAAAATGAAAGTACTCTAGGGCTGCTAGCTGCAAGCCTAATTACAATAAACACATCAAAATTCCTATACTTAAGTATCCTTCAAGTCATCCATATGTACATTCATCATCACCAATTTTCCTCTGCCTTTCTTCAACTTTTACCACTAGGAGTAGCTTCGTTAGAATCACTTCCATGGCCTAGGAAACTGCTTAACAAGCCAAAATAATGTAATAGTGAGATATACAATCCAGATAACATTACCACTAATGAAAGTATTATTAATATAGTGCTACCTAGTATAATTACTTAACTTGAAACAATGAGAATCATAGATCAATAGAATAATGCCAACTTGGAGTAAGAGTACTATATTCTCTATTGGATGCTGATTAACTCCAAAAGTTGAGATATAATACAGATTTGGAATATTTCAAGTATCTTGTGACAAAAAATTCATACCATGGTTGTTGGAGGAAGCCTGTGTAAGATGATGGTGCTTGTGCTTCCATAGCACCCAAAGTATCACCATGATAAGATCCTTTAAGAGCCAGGACCTGAAATAAACAACTCCTACGTCAACAGAATTGAAGAAAATCTGACCATAACTTCCAAAGTTACATCACTTTAACGGATTGTTACAATAGACAAGGCAATGACTTGGCCCAACTAGGCAAAAAGTAGCCTACACAATCATAACTAGAGAAAAAGCAGCAGCTAGAAAAGTTAGCTGATCTAAAGCTTACACCATAATTCTTACCCCATCCACCTCACATAAACTATTCTAGTACTAGCTAAACATATACAAGTGAAACAAGGGAGATAATAACATTGAATTCAGACTATAAGTCTAACAATTGAATCCATATGTGCCAAATAAAAAACCAGATACTCATGGTCCAATGCTTAAGATACTTAGTTAAAGTACAAATGCCAAAATAGCGTGTGCTTTCAATATCATTTGTCATCTCAACTATTTAGGAATATTTTCCGAAAAAAATTCATTTACTCATATCAATTCAGTTGATCCACAAAAGCCAGAGGAGCTTAGGAATTTTTTAACCAACAAAACTTTTTCTTTATTGGTTTCAGGGAGCAGAGATTTTATTAAATCAGAAATTACGCATTAGAAAATTACTTGTTGAATTCCATGTAATGATACCTGTAGCTGTTGTACCATGGGGCAGTAAGACAATCAACCATGGTTTCAACTTGATGGCGGAAAAGCAGAAACATGAATGATTTAACAAATGCAGCAAGTATCTAGTTATGTCATCACCTAATTACTTCACAGACAATGATTTTAACAAATATGCAGATGCCAAATTAACAAATTAGACAGTCAGAATGAGAGCCAAATGGTGAGTCAAATGTAAAACCTGAGAGTTCTTGGAATGAGCAAAGGAGTGATCACTCAAGCTTGGGTGGACTTCATTGACTGTCTTAGAGAAATCAAGAAGCATGGCAACATGTGCATCGTGGCCACAAGCATGCATTTTTCCGTCCACTTTGCTCTTGTGTTCCCATTCCACCAATTCCTATACTCATATGCATATGCAATGTTGTCAATACAAAGTGCTTTTTGATTAAGAACATCAAATTGAACACTGCACTTGATGCTTTTGATTATTTCTCTCTTTTGTCATGTTCTGTATGACATTGCGGGGGAGATAAAAGGGTTCTCTGTTTCACTTCACATGCTCATCAACAAAAGCTCGAAAGGCTACGGTTCTATGGATCAAGGAAAAGTAGCCTGCTGTACCATTTACGTCTTAGTCGTTTTACCACAATTACTTGTCACAAGCACTTTGATTAAAAGCTAATGAAAACGAATACAGAGCAGAAATATACATCTATGTGATTAAAACCCAACAATTGAATTGCCCTTGCAAAAACAAGGGTAAAACATTTGTATCTGATTTCCTTGACACAAGTATAAGGATCAAAGCAACAGAGTATATCAATCTGATCAAATCCAACAATTAAGGTAAACGAATTTAAACTAAGTTGACTTAACTGACCTGAATGGGCAAAGCATCCATATCTGCTCTCAGAGCAACAAAGGGCAAAGTTCATGGATAGTGTTGACATGTGCGTCGACTTTCTGCAAAGGTAAATCCTGCACAAGGCACATCCAGAAATAAAAACAAGAAATTCAATTGCAAACACAAGAGAAATTCAAAACCCAAGTTAAATTTAAGATTATCTGTGAGTTCTGAACAAAATAAAAGCAAAAAGGTTAAAAAATGCAACCACTGAACCATATACAGCTTAAATCAAGTCAAATCCAACCACAAAAACATACATCAATAAGCATCGAAATTAAAGAACAAACAAATTGTAACCCTATATCTTAGACAAACAACCATCATAAACAAGAAAAAATAAAAATTGAAATCAAATCATAAGAATCCTAAGTTGACCCTAGAAAAGTAGCTTCGTACCTTTCTGATCTATGAGGAAGAAGATCTAATCTAAAGCTCGTAAAATGGAAGCACAAGGGAGATGGCGAACGCAGGGAGCTCGGTGGACTGAACAGCGCGATAGAGATGGTGCTCTTGGTGAACTCAGTGTCCTAAACGGCATGACAGAGATGGTGATCTCGGCTAGTTCGGTGGACGGCGAGAGGGAGATGTGCTTCATCGATGTGAGGGAGAGGGTTTTCTGAAAGGAATTTGAGATAGTACAGTGCTTTGAGCGAGCGAGGGTTTTCTGAAAAGTTCCGCGCTCGCGAACTTAAAGTGAATTTTCGTTTAGCGCCTCCTAAAATCACGACGGTCCTAATAAGGTATCGTCGTAATTTTAAAAATCAACCCAATACATCAGCGTATTAGGTACCTTACAACGACGGTTTTATAACATTCGTCGTCTTTTAAAACACCACAACAGTTTTTATATAAAGGGTCGTCTATTGGGTGTCGTAGTTTAACAAAATTGTAGTAGTGGATGTTCAGATCAAATATAAACATGCAAGACTCATTAAGTTTTGTGAAAACCCTTTGAGAAATCATGCAACCCTTAAGAGCGTGATGTTCGCCTTAAGTGAACTTACAACTACTAATCACAAGAAGCCCTCCTCAATTTCAGGGTGATGTTCCAACAGAAATTGCATCAAATTACTTGTCTACATATCCTAATGGTGATTAGTCATTAAAATAGATAGATAGTTTTAGACGCAGTGATTAATAATTCAAAGCAAACATGCATCCATTCATAAGCAAATTAATAAAATTACATATTCATGCTAAGGCTTATGGCCTCGCCGTAGCAATTTGAATTAGTTACGCATACCCATAATTAAAATCAAAGAAAATATCATTCAAATGAATAGGAATAAAACCACCTTGAAGTAGAAGCTCTTCAAAAACCCTAGCCAAAGTCTCTGTCTTCCCCAGAATTGCATAAAAAAAAATAAAAAAAAGTCCGCAAAATTGCTGCTGGAAAGAACTTAAATACCTCCTAAAACCTAGCTACCCAATCCCCACCAGGAAACTAAGTTAAAATAAAATAATACTACGATATAAAATCCAAATTGGATTAGGAGAATCTGTCCACAATCTGCCCAGCCACGTTTTGGCCTCAAATCTCCTCCAAATCTGGACCAAGATAGCTGTTGTTAAAGATAAAAACATTCTGAACACTTCTCTAGAAGGCCACGAACCTATCCGAGGTCATCTTGAGCTCCAAAAATGCAATAAAAGTCCAAAACGTCACTATTCTAGCACCGAGCACTGCTCCTTTATTTTATTGCTAAAAAATAACCACTTGGTAGAAAACTCTAAAATTTTGATATGATCAATCTAAGTGACTCGCGAACGTCCTCCAAGTAGAATTACTCCAAAATTCGTCCATTTGATTTTTTTTTGCTCCAGAGGAAGTCGAAAGCCCTATATTGGAAATATAATTCAAGTATCAAAATTCTTCCAAAATATGAACCAAAATATACTAAGAATGAGGTTAAATATATAATATAAAATATACCCATCAACAAGCACGTTGATGATGATTGTCAGGCCAAATGCTACATTCTGGCCTCTATGAATGAGGAGCTCGAGAAACAGCATGAGCATATGATCCATGTTGCTGACATGATATTTCATCTTTGTGAGCTTTATGGAGAAGGCACATGCAACATGCATTATAGCTCTATGAGTGAGCTTTTGAGAACCAAGATGGTTAAGGGAGCACCAATTCACCAACATGAACTGAAGATGATTGGACTTATTAAGCAACTGGAAAGTCTTGATAGTCCATTTGACTATAATTTGGCCACACATCTTCCTTGCGTCCCTTTCTGATTCCTTCTCCCAGTTTGTTATGAACTACAATGTGGGGAAGACAGAACACACACTTTCAGAGCTTCTAAATATGTGTGTGATTGCTGAAAATACCTTCAAGAAGAAAGAAGGGAATGGGACGGTAGCTATATTTGAGAAGGGATCAACTTCTTCTACTAAGCCTAATCAGAAAGAGAAAGGAAAATTCAAAACCAAGAAGAAGAAGAAGGGGAAACCTACTTTGAAACCCAAAGAAGGTGTCAAGAAGAAGCAGGAAGAAGATAAGGAGGTGAGAGGTGTTAGAAATATGCCCTTAAAGCCAACTAATTATATAATAGTTAGAGTTAAGGACATCTTTGATAAAAGACATATTATGTTATCAATGGCAAGAAAGGTTGTTTTATACATTAAATCATCCTATATTATTTTTCAATATGTAGAACAACCATAGTCCAAGGAATACACAAGTGGATATGAGAGCTATGTAATGAGATTGCATACATGGAGACTTCTCATCATCCCTAAATCCTGAATATGTTCCTGGTCATAGGAATATTGATCGGGTGGCAATATTCTGCAAAGACCAGTACACACAGTATTATCTCTATATGTAGGGAATGGCAAGGTCTCAAGTCATTAAGTGTGGAGACACATCGATATGTGTGCAGGTGCTTGTAGAAGAACAAGGACACTGAATGCGGTTCAACACATAAGTTACAACATGGAAGTCTTTACTCACCTGTCAAGCTAGAACTCATAAATTGCAATGGTGCAAATTAATCCTTAGACCTGAGGCATGATAGATGTTTTGTGGTTTTGTTGTTAATCTTTGAGGGCACTATACGATCATGCTGAATTAGGCATAGCTTAAAGGTGCTCATCAGGATTATCAATAGAGTCATGAAAGCAAATGAATGTACAACAAGGAAACCCTACTCTCAGTAAAAGAGAGAGAACATTCCAAGATATGATTGGTCAAATCTCTGCGCAGAGTAGTAGATAAAACTTGAAAGAAGAAATCTTTAAATCTTACCAGAATAATCATATAAAAGGAATGAATCACATTAGGATATTGAAAATCGGATTCTATGATCTAATAATGTGAATAAGGAGTATTGACATAAGAGAAGGATTCAATTGCACGGTCATTCCAATTTGAATAGGTTCTTTCACAACGTTTCATTTAGCTTGGATAACTGTGACTTGCTGCTAGGCGACAACCATGGTTTGTGGATGTCCTAAAAGGTTTCAATTAACCTTTATTAATAGAAAGAATTCAATTGTGGAATTTAATTCGTATATCATCTTTGAGGAGTTGAGTCAAACCACTACCTTACTAAAGATAACCTATGGATCTGCACACCCGAAGAATATGATTAGGGTACAAATGAGGAGAAATGAAATGGGGAGACACAAGTCAATGGTTGATAATCAAATGACAAAGTCAACGATCAAAAGTCAACATGTTGACTAGAGCAATTGACCAAAGTCCAATAGAAGAAAATACAAAGAAAAAGAAATATATGTGCTCGACTTACCTTGGGATGCACAACAACTCCTCTCTTCTACAAGTAGTACAAATTCTACAAGATCTCTCTCAAGCTAGAAAGTATAGAAGTTAAGTTTGCGATGTGAAATAGAGGTTGGCATCCTAGGACAAAAAGGAATGGCAAGCCTATTCCTATTAGGAACCTAACTCCAAGGAAAGTCAGAAGCCCACTCCAATTGGGAACCCAATTCCCAATTGGCAAAATGAGTCTAACTCACTGAAGAAAGCCCATACACAGTTGAAGAGCCTGAAAAATAATTTCATCTTCTACATGCCACACAAGAGCCATGCAGAAGTTGGGGGGCATTTGTGGGATCAAACATTTTCGTCTCCAATTACGGCACGCCACATGGAAAGAAGAATATCCCTTAAATTAATTAATTGAGCCCATTTATTTCGCCAATTAATTAATACCATAAAATTGAGATAATATCTTAATTATGTTATATTCTCTTTATTCAATAAGATAATACCGCTAATTTAGATATTATCCTAATAAGGAGATATTATCATCATTAAATTAAGAGATTTGGATCGCAATCAAATCCCTAATGGACTCAATCTCTACAATTTGAGGAAAGAATAAACTCCTTCCTAATAAAAGTTCTATTCTTTATGAACCTTAGCCTCTGAGGCTCCTATAAATAGATGGCTTCATTCATCATTCAAGGTACTTCTAAACCTAGCTCCGAAACCCTGCAAAAATACCCGAGATCTTTCTCCCCTATCTCTCTTAGACAGTGGCAACTCTATTGCCGCCTCTCATATTGCTCTTTTCTCTCCATATTTTCTCTACATAGCTCCACCCACCACACACGGCTCTGCCCACCTGGTTCTTACCCTAGAGAAATCTCCGTACCTTTTTTTTAGCTATTGTTTCACCTAGATTCAATCGAACTAACTTAGGCATTGGAGAGCCTTTGGCCAACACCACTCTACTTAGGTTTTTATTACAAGAATTGAGGAAGAGAGAGAAAGAAGTTCAAAGGACAAATGATCTAGAAGCGAATATTCTCCCATGAGATTATTTGCACAAACAGTGGGCAAGACAAGAACTAGACCAATTGAGGCTGAATTAGATGAGAGTGATAGAGCTTTATTTATTTATTTATTGTAAAGTTATAAGAGTTTGGAGCTATTTTTATAAGAGAATTTTATTTTAAACCCATGTTTCGGCTTCTTTTTATTTTATTTTACTTTTTATTTTCTCACACACTGGGTGCGGGATTTCCACCGACCTCTAGGTCCATGGCGTGACAACATAAGTCTCATACTATTTTCATATTATAGTGACTTGTTATTTTACTCTTATGATAATAGACTACATATCATGGTTGAAAACAACAATTGTTGATGCTCTTTTTGGGAGGGTCAACTTAAAGAAGTATAGGATCTTCAGCAGGGAAGAAGGTGAGGACCTTCGGAGTTAGAAGAACTTGTAGAAGACAAGGAGGAAGAAGCAGTCGTCAAGCTTTGGACACCGGTGTGGTGCCTGCCGAAGGCTCTCCGATGCTTAAGTCAACTATATGTGGTAATTTTGGCAAAGTAAGAGAAAGGTGAGAAAATAGTTACCCTTTTTACTCGGGTACTATTCCTTATTTATAGGGAAGTGAAAATGGGATTCTTGCACAAAGTTTCGATGTGGGACTTTGTGCAAGCTGCTGTGGTGGTGACACATGTCCCTGAAGATTAGGTTTGATAGTAGTGAGTTTTGGCAGGTGGCTGCTGCTTCAGAAGAGTGTCTTCCTTCGGCATGTCGGAAGGTGATGGCGTCAATTACTTTCTAGGGATTTGTCTGTGTGTCCCTTTGGGGTATTTCAGCAAGGGAGAAGGCGTGTCTGTTTTAGTGCCAGTCGTTTTGATGCTGGATATGCTCGGTTGATTATGGTGTAAACAACAATCTTGCCCATTTGTGATGATGAAATATACAAAAAGAAACATTAAATATTTGACTATAGAGCATATTTCTAACAAATCTTTGCCCTCGTCATCCCACCCTTGCTCTTAGGTCTGCATATTCAGCTGCATTTAACTGTAGGTGCACCGTCTTTTGCGCCCATAATGTTCAAAAAGATATTTTTATAACTTCTCCAAAATCGTTCGTAAGAAGAAGTGGAAAATTTTGTTTGCAAGGAGTAGACAAGAATACTTGATATGATAGATTTTTATTTTTATTTTTGGTTATGAGAGAAATTCATTAAACCCACAGTGGGAAAAACAAGAACAACAAGCAGAAACTTGAGGCATAGCTTGTACTTGACGTCGTAGCTTAGCACCAGCCAGACATAGCTTAGTACTTGACGTCGTAGCTTAGCACCAGCCAGACATAGCTTAGTACTTGACGTCCTAGATTGGATCATAACAAGGCATGCAAAATGAATTGGGCCGGGTTAGCCGAAGTCTTACCCAATACAGGCTTTTGCAAGTGCAAATAGGAAACCTATTATTAATGCCTTTAAACTATATTTTGCTATTAATTATGTCACAATAAGATTATAGGATTAGTCAAGGCATCTGCTGAATGTTTGTTAGAAAAACTAAAATTGACATCAATATTATTTGAAATTTTAGGGATGCACGTGATTGCTACATAGACTTTTAATTTGTACTATTAACTACCTTAACTTTATAAAGCGTGGAAATTTACCATTTACATGTAATCCCATTCAAGTTTTGTTAATTGAATTTGAAGCCACATGTGGTATTTTTTGGGAAATTTTATCAACTCACTATATAACTAAAAACCTTTATAATTTTAAAATAACATATTTTAAAAAATAAAATAAAAAAAGAAAAATAATTTTCCCTTGAAAAAAAGTGAATATGAAAACAAGAAAAATAATTTTTAATGAAATTAAACCTAAATATTAAATCTAGATGTCTCTTTATACATCGAGGATGACTAAGACAACCGACCTTTTTTTCACGTGGAGTGGGCAGGCAAGCATTCTTGGTTTGAAAGGTACCTGTTTATTGTCTAGCTGAAAAAGGTTGAAAATTTATATTTTAAATGCCTTATTTTCTTATGCGGAAATTAATTTAAATAGGTTTGTTTTGGTTCAGTTTATTGGTATGTGAGCCGACTTATTAAAAATATGTATAATGACAAGTTGCATTATTCTTCAACAGTTTCTGTTATCGTATCCGGTGGAAACATGCGAGCCTGCCATTTCTGGGAGAACTCACCACCGCACCGTGCAGTGAGGAAACCCACTTTGTAAGTCACTGCTCCTGCATGTCTGGTAATTAATTGCTCTGACGAAATGCTGTTTGGATTGCACGTAGCCCGAGGCGAACATAAAAACAGATCCCAATGCATTTGTGTAACAGAAATAGCAGTGTTTTGCTATTATTATCTAATCCATTAGTTCAAGTGATAACTTTTTATGATACAATGACACAAGGAAAATTAGATACATTTTATGAGTTGTGTTTTTCCCCCCCTTTTAAATAGTTTCATAAATAATTTTCAATAGTTTGAATAAGTACTTTACATAACTAACTAGCATTTAGTTTAGTGATATTTGTTTTAACTTGATTGAGCAGGTTTTATCTTTGATATTTAGTTATGATGATGTAACTTTATTGCAGGTGTATTGATTGTTAGATATATTAACCCTTTGTTTCAAAAAAAGAAAAAGTACTTTGCATTGAGAAAAAGGAAAGTGGAGTCGCGTTACAAGTTGATCATAAAGAAGTTTTTCTTTATAGTAAATATTGCAGGCATAAACATCAACTATGAATGCGTTTTATATCATAGAGTGTTCATTTAATATTATAAGAGCATCCATAATAGGCTCCCTAAACTACCTCATTAGACAAATTTTAGGGAGGAATCTTAAAAATGCAATTCCAACCATGCTCTCTATCCACCTCCTAAAATAGGGAGGCCTCTAGGAGCTTCTAAATTTGAGTTGAGAGAAATGACTCTTAGTGGAATAATTTAATGTTGCTTTATTTAATGAGTATTTCAAACATTTATTTAATGTTAACTATTTTTTATTTTATTTTTTAATAGAGATGGACCAATCAAAAAAGAGTTATAGTATTTATGACTCTCCAAATTATGGTGTATGGTTGGAGTTGAAATTTTTTAGAGAGCTCCTAAAATAGCTTTATTATATTTTTAGCCAAATTTTAGCTAAGAAATAGAGAGAATCATTGTGGATGCTCTAACTCCACCAAAATAAACTAATGCAAAGAAGAAAGTTATTATCATATAGTTCAATTAACGAAAAAATGAAACACATCCCAAAATTCAACCTTTACACAACCAAAGAAAGGAAAAGAAAAGAGTTCAGAAGTGCATTAGATGAGGGAGAGCTTTGAGTTAGGGGAAAAGGGTATATGATCGAGTTGCACGGAGAGAACATGAGTTTTGAAAAGTTGAGCCCTTTTGATAACCATTTTAGTTTTCAGTTTTCAGTTTGCAGTTTCAGTTTTTAGTTTTTAATTTTCATTTTTCAAAACTAAAAACTGAAAACTTATTTGTAACTAATTTCAATTTTCTAAAAAAGTGAAAATTAAAAATTGAACAAAAGTTGTTTGGTAACTGATTTCAGTTTTATGTGGAACTTGGAAATGTATTTTTTTTTTTGGGTTAAATTACGAATTTGAGATCATAAAATGAAAGTGCATGTTACAAAGAGTTCGTAGTATTTTTTGGAATTAAGATGATTTTTTTGGTGAATTTTGGATCTGGAGGTCTCGAGGTTTGGATTTGGTCTATGGCCAGTAAGAATAGAGCAGCCAAGTCCAAGTCAGGGGGTCACAAATACCGAGTTTTGATTTTTGTAATTAGGATTATTTTTTGGAACTGGAGTGTATTCATGTGGTGAAATTAATGAATTAAAAAGAAAAAAAAAAAAAAAAAAAAAAAAAAAAAAAAAAAAAAAAAAAAAAATTTTTGAAAAAAAAAAAAAAAAACACTTTCAAGTTGTTTTCAAAAAGGCTTATTTATTGTAGTACCCCTTGAAACTATGGTCAAAGTGATGGTGGTTGGGGTGTAGGAGCAGTAGAGCCGGTCGTACTCGATGATCATGTGGTCAAGGTCCTTGTCGTTGGTGACGAAAATGAGGGCGTCGAGATCTTCGCCATGGACCTGGTACTTGAAGCAGACGACGTCATTTAGGGTGTTGGAGAAGGAGGCAAAGTAGAGAGCTTGATTTTAAATCTTTGAGTCCATACTTATAACCATAGTTAACTTTTTGATTTTAAATCTTTTAAGTAGAAAATGGGTGGTGAGGAAATGCATTTGGTGACCAATAATTTGGATTAAATTCGATTAGATTATGCCTAATCCTGCAAAGGCTATGTATAATATCGTGCATATTTTAGTTAATCCTCCCCTCTCTGTAAAATAATTGGTTTTTATTTATTTATCCAATGGTAGAGATTGGATCCATTCAAACTCTTTACTTTTATTTTTCCAATGGTAGAGATTGGATCATGCATGCAGACTGCAGTCATCTGGTTCTGACCAATTAATACCACTGCCAGATCCAGCTTATGATTTTCATGGCGATGTTCTCCCATGCTGAATGTTGATATTTTCCACGATTATTTCATCTTATCGAAAAGGTTTTTTTTATTATATGGATAACTGGTCCATGATTACAATTGAATGCTGACATAATAACCCGAACCAACTTCTTTGAATGGTCCAACCCATACTCTGTAAAATAATTGGTTTTTGTTCTTTTCCAATGGTAGAGATTGGAGCCGTTCAAATGAGTTAGTTGGGGGTTATTATGTCAGCATTCAATTTTGTAATCATGGACCGGTTATCTGTAAGAAGAAAAAACCAATAATTACAACGTAAGCTTTCCTTTGCAAAACGCTGCTCTAAAGCAAGGAATCATTTACTTTCGCTTCACACCAGGACAATAGAGACAACCACTCCTCCTTCTGCCTTCAAAATTTGTTGGCAGCTAATAAATATGGAGTAGAATTGAAATATGGATACCGACTTTGAGGTACGATTTGAATCATTTTCTTAAAATGTTGTTTGCTCTCATTCAATTAATTGAGTTTGTTAACAAATTCTTGGCAAATTGCGAACAACAAAATTTGAAAAAATTCCCTTAGAAATTAGAGAGAGTAAGAAACTGTTTAGAAATTAGTTTTGTTAGCAACATGAAGTACATTGGTCGGCCCGTACCATTTCAACCAAAGGTATATTGATTGTTCTATACCATTGCAACGAAAGAGCATATTGGTCGTTCAGACACTTAACCAAATTCATTATAATCATATATACGTGGGCTCGTTTGGGAGCGATTTTGGAGATGCTAATAATCACTTTTATGAAGAATCATTTATCCAAGTAAGTGATTTAAGTGATTTTATGAAAGCACATGGGAGATACTTCTCCCAAGAATTACATAAAAGAACTAAAAGTGGGTTTGTCCCATGAGGTTGTCCTAGGAAGGTTTTAACGAGGCTATTGTATCATGTTGTTCTTTGTACGTCTTTGGTTCTATGAATGAATTCTCTTTCTAAAAAAATAAAAAAATAAAAGTGATTATATGAGGAAGCACGTGAGAGGTGATTCTCCTCAAAATAAACCTATCTAAAATCACTTCCAAACGAGCCATATATATATATATATATATATATATTATCGAAAACTTGAAAATCACCCCAATCTAGATACTCTACTAGTGATAGTCTTTATGTTCTTTTTGTGCTTATGTCTAAAATATGTCTTTTTAGAATTCTATATAATTACCTTTTCAATATAAATTCTAAGGACACGCTTATCCTTTCTACAAATCACAATTTGACACACATATACAAAACTAATTCATCAAAAACACACAAAAAACTTAACCCTCACCCCTTGGATGAGTTTTCAGCATAACACATACGTACCAATAATATCACTAGAAAATCTTTTTCCATTCTTATAAGATACAGCTATTTAAAGAAAAAGAAAGGTGAAAATTAAGTGGTCGTCTCTCGATTTAATGTTAAGCCACCCCTGTATATTGGAAGGACAGTGATCATGAATCATAGCAGCTACTAAATATGTTTTTTTTTTTTTTTTTTGTAGAAGATAGAATTCGGGAAACTGCTATAAATGCACAACCGATGCGTTATGAAGGAAGTATAATTTCTAGTAAAAGCAAAGAAGATGGAGGTCGGGAACTTGGAAGGACTAGAGCCAGTGAGCCCAAATGGCCAGTACTTCAGCAGTGATGTGATAACTCTTTCGGTTCTTGCTGTTTTGGAATTTGAGATTCCAATTGATATCGAGTCTCAAACAATGTCATTGCTTAAGAACGTCTTCCTCCCCATCAGCCCCCGTTTCTCCTCTATCATGGTGATCTCTCTCTCTCTCTCTCTCTCTCAATTTATAATAATATATCACCTAGTGTGAATTTTGTTTCCAAGTTTTATCATAGACGAAGTTGAAAACTTGAGCGATATTTGATTTTGAAACAGGTTGAAAATGATGGAAAGAAAGAGTGGAAAAGGGTCGAAGTGAAGCTTGAAGACCACGTTAACATCCCTATTTTCCCTTCCAACCTGTCGCCTGAATCATATGACGAATATCTTGAGGAGTATTTGTCAAAGTTATCAACAGAAAGATATCCACAAGGCAAACCACTATGGGAAGTTCATGTTATCAAGTACCCAACTAGCAATGCAGCTGGTAATATAATCTTCAAGTTTCACCATGCTCTAGGAGATGGCTACTCTCTCATGGGTGCTCTCATTTCTACTCTACAAAGAGCTGACAACCCTTCTCTGCCCTTAACTTTTCCTTCACGACAGCTGTCAGAATCGAAGAAGAGGGAGAATTTTTTTGTGACTAAGATTTTCTCATCTGCATGCAACACAATTTCAGATATTTGGTGGGGCATTTCGAAGACCTTGAAAGAAGATGATCTAACACCAATCAAGTCGAGCAACGATGCAATTGAATTTCGGCCAAGTACTATAGCAACTATGACCTTCTCTCTTGATCAACTCAAATCAATCAAGAACAAGCTTGGAGTGGTAAGATGACTCAACTATTAGGATTTCATCCGAGGACTCTTGTATGTGTAATGTCTTTTCTTTTTCATAATTGGCTTCCAGAATCTTTAGTACGTAGTGTTAAAATTGTTTAAACTCGTGGACAACATATTTATATGAGGTAAGATGGGAGGTTATAGAATGACTTTAAAGGGGTTAAGCTAAATTTACTATAGAATTTAATTCCAACCCAAAATCAGTTGAGAATATTTGAAGCAATCTAAGGATTGCTTTTTTTGGCCAAAAATCTGCTTCACTTTAAAGTTAAGCAGTTTAAGGTATTTGGTAAAAATAAAATATCCTGATTATTTTAAAAACAGTGGCCTTTTGACAACAACTTTTAAAAGTAGGTTTTAGGTTGCTTTTCAAAGCTGTTTTCAAAAGAAGCCGAGATAAGCCTTTAATGAATTTTTTTAATTCCCAAAATACCATTATTTATATTAAAAAAATGACAGCACCTCCACTTCCACATCCATCTCCACCACCACCACTACCATAACTACCACCTCTTCCACCACCCCCACCTCGTCCACCACCTCCACAACCAACACTACCACCACCATCACCACCACCACCTCCACCTCCACAACTGCCATCCCCACCACCACCACTACCACAACCACCAACTCCACCTTCATCATCACAACCTCTTTCACCACCACCTCCACTCCACCACCACCACTACTACCACATGATTAGAGCATAACACTTTCAACGTCATGTCTATTTTAGTCATTATTCACTATTATAACAGTTTTACATTAAAATTTACCAAACTGTTTTAACACTGTTTTTTGTACTAACAACACTTTAAAAATATTATTTACCAAACATGGAGCTGCTTTACTTTACAGCTAATTATTTTCAAAGCACAGCATAATCAACTTTTTTTTAAAATAACAACAATCCCAAACTGGGCCTAAGAAATCATTTTCATTGCTTTTCACATATTTGAGTCTTTTTTGAAAGACAACGTTATCTCATAATAACATCAGTATATAGGTAGCAGTTGTCAGAAAAGCTACCGTCTGTTTTGTAGTCAGACATCTCATGTTATAAAGTTTTTTTTATATTCTCTATATTTAAATGAAAATGAAAATGAAAATTGAAATGGGTCAGATATTGATTTATTTGTAAACCATCATAACTTTTTAATATTATATACTACATTGAAATAGATGCATTTACTGCCTCTTGAAATAAGTCAGTACAGAATTTGGGAAGCGGTTCTTCCACATTTATACAATGTATTTAACTTTTTTACTGACTCTATTAGACTCTAAATGATGTTCTCACCGGGATGATCTTCTTCGGAACTCGACTGTACATGCAAGAGATTGACCAAAGTTCAAGCACAGCAGATTGTACAGCAATGGTGTTGCTGAACACAAGGATCATGGGGGATTATATGCCGATTGAGGAGATGATCAAACCCAACAGCAAGATGCCATGGGGAAATCGTTTTACATTCTTGCAAGTACCCATACCCAAGTTAACTGAACTCTCAAATGCGGACGACTTTATCAGGAACACACACAAAATGATAAAGAAGAAGAGAAACTCTTTAGCTGTTTATTTCACTAGTAGGCTATTGGAGATTGTGAACAAATTTGGAAGCCATGAGGTTAGTAAAGTGAAGACTACAATATGATTTACGTTACGCCGTCACTTCACTACCCGATTAATTTGAACTAATTCAATCTCCTTCAGAGCTCAAATTCAGATTTGTTTCTTTTAGTGTTAACATATTGTTAGTTTTTCAGGCATCCAGCAGATACATTCATCGCACATTGAAGAACTCGAGCCTGGTAATCTCGAATATGATTGGACCCGTGGAGCAGATGTCTTTGGCTAATCATCCAATTAAAGGTTTCTACTTTTTGGTTCCTGGTTTACCTCAGGTATGTCACACATTGTTCTAAATCTTATAAATGTTGAAAGATATATTGATCAATTACTCCCTAACACTCTTGATACTTTTTCAAAATACCTGGAAATCTTGACCACATATTCCTTAATAGTAAATTTGGCATATATATAATGTAATTTGGTTAATAATACTTGGACATATCTATCTTACATGGCAACATATTTCAACTTTGAGTTTTAGTTAGTGGTTTAATTGTAAGTGGATTTCTGTCTCGGATATAAGAGTCGTAAGGGCTGTATTGGCCTCAGTCATTCCTTAAACGAGTAAGTACTAAATGCATGGTTCAACAGAAAAGAAAATGATGTTGAAATTAATGAATTTTCTTCTGGATTTTTCAATTTCAATTTGCATTTATTAGTTATTCCCGTTATGGCATTTAGCAACTAGTATAACATGACTACCATGGATTTGCAGGGCTTTGACATAACCATTGTAAGTTATATGGGAAAGGTGAGATTAGCCTTCAAGATGGAAAAAGGTATCATAGATCCGCAGAAGTTAAAGTCATGCATGGAAAATGCCTTGGACATTATAGTCAAAGACTCCAACAAGAATCCGAAGCTCAACAATTAAGAAGCCGTCGAAGTTCTACCACTATTTAAAATAATAATAAAAAGGGCTTTATTTTGTTGAATTATTATTATTATTATATATATTGTAAACTGAATTTTTTTAAAATATAAAAGTCTTAAATTAATAAGAAATAATTGATGCAATTTCATTCTTCAAATATTTTTTGTGCTGCTTTCGTTTCAACCCGTTCGTGGTGTTGATCAATAATCTCTTCTAGTTTTTGCTTGTAAGAGCCTCTAGTGCTTGATATGCATTTTCTCCTCTTACCACTGGCCCCAATTTCTCGGCACCTTCCCTTCACAACCATCTTCAGCGCCTCGACCACACGACGGTCTCCTTTGCTTGGATTATGATAGCGCTAGCTCTTCGTAGCTTTGGTGGCTTGTCCACCACCATTTTCTGTCTCGAGCATTGTTTACTGGTTCCTCTTCGGTGGGTGTGGGCTTGGGTTGATTGCGCAACTGTTCGGTTATGGGTAGTGTGACATTATCCCTGCTTTTTGTATGCATTTTGCTTTTCTCTGCTTTATGTCCTTCCTTAAGTTTTATTCCTTCATGTGTTGCATTTCTTTTTTTATTGAGCTCAATTTGTTGTAACCAGCTTTTACAAAAAAAAAAAATAATCAAATATTCTGAAAAAAAAAAAAAAAAAAAAAAAAAAAAAAAAAAAAAAAATATGCAAATCTTGCGATAGCTCAAATGGAAACTTTTAATGTATTCAGTCAGTGCTGATTGACCAAAATGAGGATCCCAAATTGCATGAGCAATGGGTCTTACATGTAAAGGATCCTATACCCATGCGTCAAAATTTCCTTGCCAATCTACATGAAACAGATTTCCAGAAGTCCACAAAAAAATTATTGCCAATCGTTACTTTTGCTTTAGCCTTATTTCATGACTCAGTTGTGGGAGTAAATATTTCGCCAACCAATCATGAGACTCCACGTGGACAATGGGAATATTCCTTCTATAACACTAAGCACTAACTTGTTTATCAACTTTTCTATACTAACACATGTGGCACATGACATGACAACTCATGTCATCTACCATCTCATATGTTTTAATTACATAATTTGTTATAATAAAAAATAAAATAAAAGAATTTCACACAGATAAAATAAAAACAAAAAAGAAAAAAAAACCCAACGATTTTAGATTTAGAGATAAACCCCTCCTTCCTCTTTGAATAACCCTAGAAATTCAGCAGTCCTTCTATTGAAGAATTGAAGAAATTCAACGGTCCTTCTATTTAATATGGATCATATTCTAATTTTTCTTATGAATTTTCATTGTGCCTTTTGTTTTCCTCCACTTTCTGATGTACGTACAAAGGGGAGGTCATATTGACACATCTGGATGCCATAAGAAATAGAATTCGTATTTGTACAGCAATACCTAAACAATTGCAATCTCTCCGTCTGATAAGTATATATTTGTTGAGGCCCAAAATGTCACAAGAAGCCTAATATAAAAATAGGCAAATAATACACTTTTCTATGCGAAACTACCCAACAAGCTTAAGTGGGCCTAAGCCACATACATGCATGGGGTTTGCTGAGCGAGTTGTGGTGTAGATGGTTACAAGGATCTATGAGGCCCATCGAAGGGTTCAAGAAATAGAGGTTTTGGGCTGCTTAGGTGTGCCAAAAACCCAAGCCCATTTCTAGCAGGGAACATGATTCCTCAGCATTTATTACCCGATCTCCAATTTTCTACCTGACAGTACAAAAACCACTGCCAGTCTTGCTTCAGCAGCAACCATTGCCCAACCCCCCATTTTCTACCTTCTTGTAATCTTCGTTCTATAGTGGATTTGTGTTGGACTGAGGAGTCCTGTGTATTTTCCCTAGAGGTGAGGTTTTATTACATAAAATAATTCTCTACGTATTCCTTTATTTTATGTTCAGCACGTTTCATGATTGATAAAACATATCAATTTTGCTATCGAAGTTTATTGATTGTAATTTTTAATTGGCATATTCACCTCCTTCTAGGCATTTTTAGTCATCCTACAGGTAATTTCAAACATGTATTAGTTAAAGCTTAATTGATGGTACACCTACCATAAGTAGTCTTAAGTCTAGGAGTAGTTGCAATTTAGCTTTTCCTCATTGAAAGGAAAATTGAAGGACTCTCTTTGCAAAGTTCTTTGTTATGAGTCAAAAGCATACATAGGTTTCATGTGTCGAACTGGTGTGCACGTATACGATGCCAATTTGCCAAAAGTTCGACTTTCGTGTTCAATTTGTCTCCAATAGTATCTCACTCTAAAAGGGTTCGGCCCTGAGCATTAAGTGCGCAGAAGTTAGATCCATATCATCATCATCCTCATTATTGCACTTTTGACCTGCCGTGGCTGCCACGCCCATACATTACACCAAGAATGACGCAAATTGTCTAGATTTTAGGCCTAGGCCCCACCTGACCGAGATTATTTTTAAATCCACACACTTATAAAAGAAGAAGAACCGAAGTTTGCTGCCACTTAATAAATGAAATATCTGTGGAATTAATTTGCTTGAGATTTTCCCCAGATTTTTAGATTTTTCTAAGCCTCTTAGAAAAGGTTTTGCCATTAATTAGTGTAATGATTCATGCATATATATAATTTCATGCCAAATTCATCATACTTGAATAACAAAATGGGCCCTTTGTGCTGGGAAATGTCAAGGAACATGCATATAGTGAGTTTTGCATTTCATTTAAAAAAACACGTGCGTATAGTGGTGAGCATAGACCTCCTATAAATATGCAATCGAAAAATAACGAAACTACAACTTCTAATTGAGTTACCTAATATTTTACAAACCCAAATATTTTAGCCATTAAAGCAGAGCAACAGAAAATAAAACATGAAATAAAGAAGCAAGACCATTAACAATCAATCCAAGTATGCATAGAATAAATAATTGTCAAGGCAAAGATCTTAATAAATCTAGAATACTAGAAAGGCTCAGTGAAGTATACCTCATCATAGTTGATGCTTCATGACAGAACCTGCACAACCAAATCGCCGCAAGTAAAATGCACAATTGACAAATACACATTTTCTCTGCTACCCAAATGAAATCTGAAACAAAAAGTGACAAATTAACAATAGGAAAGACCACATGCCTTGAAAATCGAAAGACATTTACGAAATACCAAAAACCCATATGTTAATTTATACCAAAAAAAAAAACAGAGACATGAAAAAGAGAACTGAAATCTAACTAATTGAGACAGAGGACATAGAGACAGAGAGGGTGAGATCGTGAGAGAGACGGAGAGGGTGAGATCGTGAGGGAGACGGAGAGGGTGAGATCGGGAGAGAGACGTAGAGGGTGAGATCGGGAGAGAGAGACAGAGACGGTCAGAGGCAAACGAAGATGGATGAGATGAGAGAGAGACGCAAAGGGAGAGACAGGGGGATGAGAGAGAGACGCATAGGGAGAGGGAGTGTTGGAGGCGGTTGCTAGGTTTCTGAAATTGCCCATTTTTCACGTTCGTTGGTGAAGAAGGGGGAAATTTGAGTTTTGGCTGGAGTTTTTTTTTGGTCAACTTGGCTGGAGTTATTTGGCGGTCAATGAAAAATGAAAGAGCTATTCCCCACACCAATTCCCAAATAAATAAAAAGAGTAAGTCAAATATCCAAAAATATATATATAATAAATAAATTAAAAATCAGAAAAATATACTGAAAATTCATAGGAACTCCTTGTGATATTCTCTTCTATTTAAAACTCCAAAATTATAATTTTTTTTCTTCATGTTATGCGTTTTTACTCCAAAACCTACTCTCACCTTCTCCAAGTAAGTTTTTGTGAAAAAAGTGCCTAGGAAAAAAAACTCGGGCAGAAATTGGCAAAAAAAAAAGAAAGAAGGGAAAATAAGCAACAGGTGGCGCATGTAAGAAGTTGCCACTTGTCCATCAATTCAATTTAATATAAATTTTATATTATTTAACTCCTAAAAATCATAATGAATACATTATATGATTTAACTCATACGAAGTCCTAGTGACATTCTCTTCGTCCTAAAGCTTCAAAAATCTTTTTTTTACTTATAAAAATTTAGAGTGACAACAAAAACTCAAATTAGTTTGTGTAAACAAACCAAACACTAGTTAATGTTTGATAACCTAACACTCTTGCTTCTTTGATCCAATCATTACCATGAACTCAATTATGTGGAATCATGATTTTAGCCTCTAAAATTGAAGGATTTATTGTTAGGAGTGCATAGCTTTTTTCGGTGTATTTTTCTTATTTTTATTTAATTTATTATGAATTTTTTAAGATAATCATTTCCAACGGTCCCTAATTATTCTCATAAATAGAAAATTTATTACCGACGACCATATGTTGCCCTCGGAAATAAGTTGTGATTTCCAACAAAAGTGAATATGCCCTCGGAAAAAAGCACAACTATTACCATTGAGTATGAATTTGGTTGTAAATGTAATGGCATTTCCGATAGGACAAATTTTTCCTCGGAAATAGTCAAACAATTCTGACGGAATGAGAAACCCCTCGGAAATAATCATCATATTCCCTACAGACATACTTTTTGTCGTTAATAAAGTTGGCGTTAAGTCTTCCTGCCAAATAAATTATATTTCTGACGACCATAGACACTTTTTCCGAGGGTATTTTTTTTGTCGGAAACAAATTTCAGCCTTTCATGGACATATTTCCAATTTGGACCAACCATTTTTTTGGTCGAAAACAACTTATTTACTGAGAACTGAGTTTATTGAGAAGAATTTCAGAAAAAAAAAAAATTTTTTTGGGTCAAAATGTAATGGTGACACCCCCCTTTCTTTTTTTTTTTTTTTTTTTTTTTTTTTTTTTTTTTGTAGTGAGAGCTCAAGAAAACACGTATATAAATTAGATAAGCAGAAGAAGAAGAAGAAGAAGAAACGTAGGATGGAGTATGAGGTGCATGGAAATGAGCCCCGTGAGTCCTACCGGGCAATGCCTCAACAGCTCTGTGCTATCCATGTCAATTCTTGGTGTTTGGGAATTTGAGATTCCAATCAATGAGTCGAAGATCTTGTCATTCCTTCAGGATGTCTTCCTCAATATCAGCCCTCGATTCTCTTCCATCATGGTTTTTTTTTCCTCTCTATTCTTTTATACCGTAAACCCTAGTATATATATATATATATATACACATTTTGCTTCAATTTTGGAATTCCTCAAAATATTTGCCGTTAAAAAACAAACTGTCAATAACAAAAGCATCTTATCGATACAAAATCGATCCTTGAAGAAAGGATTCCCATATATATACATACATATGGTTAAATTTCTTAATTAGACTATTATGGTGCATATGAATGTATACTTCAATCTATATTAGAAGAAAAAGAAAAACACATTCATTTTGTGCATTTGTACTTATTTTGGATCATTACGAGTAGATATCATATTTGTTTTCAATTAAAACTTTGGATGTAGCTTTGTTTTAATACTTTATGCATTCAATTTAAAAATTATATGATGAGCATTTTATCATATGATTAAAAGGAAACTAAGAAAAAATATTGAAAAACCTGCAGGTTGACGTTAACGGAGGCAATGGAAGAGGGTTGAAGTGAAGCTTAGAGATCACGTCCATGTTCCTATTTTTCCATCTGGAATGTCACCTAAATCTTATGATGATCATTTTCATGACTATATTTCAAACATAATACTTGAACAATATCCAAAAGACAAACCACTATGGGAAGTTCATATAATCAAGTATAACCTAATATTGAAGCTTCACCATGCCCTCGGTGATGGTTACTCCTTTATGAGTGCTCTGCTTTCTTGTCTTCAATGAGCTGACAATCCTCTTCCATTAACTCTTCCTTCGCACCGGGGATCACAGCGGGGTGGTGACAGTGGAAGTATTTTCAGGCGGGTGTCTGAAACTTCTGCCTCTGTTTTTGACACTGTGAAAGATTTTAGCTGGAACTCTTTGTTTCAAGATGATTGCACACCAATAAGATCTAGGAATTATGGAGTTGAGTTTCTGCCAATGATAGTATCGAGCATCACATTATCCCTTGATGAAATCAAACTTATCAAGAACAAGCTCAACGCGGTAACAAACTTATCAAGCATGACATTCTCTCAACTTTACCTAGTTCGTTTTCATTATTTTTTACACTTAATTTACTTTACTAATTTTCACACTTAGTAACAAACTTTAATTACAAGCCTCATGTCCTCTTTCTTACCCACCCGATATTTTAATCACATTTTGAGAAATCACAATCCCCTCTTTCCACCATTTATTATCCCTACAAGAACCCTAATTTACTAAGAAGCACAAGTAGTAACACCACATTGAGTGTACAAATTTCCCCACGAGAATATTCGATTGGAAAGATTCCCCTTTCTTCTTCGCCGCCTCCTTCTCCCTACAAAATAGAACCAATAAGATGACCAGACCCGGGGGGTGTTGGCCAAAGGCCCTCCAATGCCTAAATTAGTTCAATTGAATCGTATAGAAAACAATAGCTAATAGGATACGGAGATGTGTTTATGGTGTAAACCGGGCGGCCGGAGCCTTATGTAAAAGAGAGAGAGAAAGGAGGTGGCTAGGGTTTGAGAGGAATTTTCTGCAGAGTTTCAGTAGGGATTTCAGACGTACCTCAACCCTTGTGTGTGGCCATGCTTTTATAGTGGTCTCAGAGGCTAGGGTTTCAGAGGAATAATTCCGTAGATGGAAGGGAATTATTCCTCCTCTATTTGGAATTGATTTGATTAATTAGGGATTTGATTTATTAGGGTAAATCAAATCCCTAATTGTGGTAGGTATCAAATCAAATCCCATTTTAATTAGGTAACTCCTCATTTAATTGGGAATCGTGGTAGGAATCAAATCAATTCTCAACCCAATTAGGTAATGTCCAATTTAATTGGGTAATTCCCAATTAAATTGAGTAACTCCCAATCAGGTTGATTAATTCCCAATTAGGTCAAATAATCCCCAAATGGAATGAATTATTTCACCTAGGGTTTTGATTTAATTTGGTTACCACAAATGCCCCCCAGCTTTTGCATGGCGCGCGGTGGCATGTAGGAGATGTGAATTATCTGTTGGGCTGTCCAGCTGTAACTGGGCTTCCTTCTTGGATTTTGACTCCTTTTGCAGATTGGGTTCCCAATTGGAATGAGCCTTTGACTGTTCTTGGAGTTGGGTTCCCAGTAGGAATAGGCTTGCGATTCCTTCTTGACCTAGGATGCCCAACGTGTGTAAATGCAGGGCTTCTCTTCATTCTTCTTCACATCGAAAACTTAACTTCTCTACTTTCTAGCTTGAGAGAGATCTTGGAGAATTTGTACTGCTTGTCGAAGAGAGGAGTCGCCGTGCATCCCAAAGTAAGTCGAGCACGTATATTTCTTTTCTTCGTCTTTTCTTCTTTTTTGCGGCGAAGGTTGGTTGGGGGAAGTTCGGCTAGTTGTTATCGTGACATGCGACGGTTGGCAGTGGGTGGCAGCTGTGGTAGGGCATGTCTGCGCAGATGGACCAGCTGCTGCCTATCATCACAGGCCTGGGCTGCAGCATGTTGGGCCTCGTGCGTTGCAGGCCTCGTCAACTAAGTGGGTATCCGGAGAAAGTTGGTGGTCTGCCTCCTGCCCAGGATATTGAGAGATGGAAGCATAATGGTCCAGACTTGGATGATCTGCTGACTGGGCAAGAGGAGTGTTCTGCCGGACTACCCTTCAAAAAGGAAGGTTGACGTCAAGTCTTTAAGAAATGAAGCTGCGAATTCGCTGGCGAAAGATGCGTCCCCGTTGAGGAAGAAGCCAAGGATCCCTTATGCTGAGAAGACTAAAGTGAGAGCTGTTTCATCATCATCTACAAGGGTTAAAGATCTTGTTTGTGTAGATAGTAGGAAGGTTGGTGGTATGCGCGGTGTTTGCTGTGTTTTGCCCGAGCCTTCTACTGACAAGCTTGAAAACCATGATATACTTCGCGAGGCAGCTCGTGCCCGATCTAGTTATGTCGAGCGTCAAAGAGATGCAGACATTCCTCCTCGAAGTTCGAGTCGTCTGCCTCGGTCAAAAGATGGACATCGAAGCAGGAGGTCTGCTCATGATCTAGCTGTTGAGTCACGGGCAATCAAGCGTGGAGTTGATTCAGTATCATTGACTCCTTTGGAAGTGAGGTTGGCGGAGGACAAGAAGATGAGAGCGTCATCTGCCCAGGCGAAGGGATCTTCAGTGTCGGCGGTTGATCCCAAGGTAAACAAGTCCAGCCCTGCAGGGGATGCATGCGTGTCTGACCTGCTCAAGACAGACTTTCTATCAAACCCGTCCTCTTGTGCTGAGTTGGTCGATCACATCTGTCAGGCTGGCGATCTCGACACCTTCTCGAGTCTTTCCTTGGAAAAACAAAGGGAAGCAACATTTCATCTGCTTAAAAATGAGTAGTTTTTGTTGCTGAAACTATTCGAAACTCATATGCGGTTGCCCCCTCTTCTGCTGCTGACTTGGTTAGTCGAAAAGATGCCTACTTTTGTCTTGAGCGCAAGAATGCTGACGTCTCCTTTAGTTGTGACAAACTTCTGGCTAGATTTCACGCATACCACAAGTCCGCAGAAAAATCCAAGTCTGAAGCCATCATAGATGCGTACAAGTTGGGCTACCTGCACTGCGCAGATAGGACTACTCCTTTGTATGCAATTGATGACGTAAACATCGAGACGCTCTGCCCCGACTCACCCCCTGTGGAAGGAGGAGCTGAAGAGCAGGCAGCCAGAGAGGATGAAGCAGAGGAGGACGCAGTAGATGAGATGATGGCAGATGTCGCAGAGCAGGCAGATGGAGCCATTGAAGGCCTGGATGATCAGGCGGAGGCCGAAGAGGCTGCAGCTCAGAGATCTCCTACTGGCGTCCCAGAGTAGATGAAGACTTCTTTGTTTCTTTTCAGCTTTTGTAGTTTGCTTTCTTGCTTAGAATAATTGGTCTTATTTGACCATATTCTCTTTGTTGAACTTGGCCGATTGGTCAGCTTGTTATGGAAATTTCAGTTTATTTTTCACTTCAATTTCCTTATTCATTTGTGAACCACTTGAGTAACCAGCCTGTGTTTTGATTGCACATCTTCTTCAGAGATTTATGAGTGACAGGGTTCCTTTTGAGGGATTCCAAGCGTATTCTGCATATCCCGCAGGATGTTTTTCCCTTAGGAGGTTGGCGAGTGCCAGGGTCCCCCTTGAGGGACTCCGGACGTGTTCTACACATCCCTTAGGATGGTTTCCCTTAGAAAGTTGGCGAGTGTCAGGGCCCCTCTTAAGAGGCTCCGGGTGTGTCCTATACATCCCTTAGGATGGTTTCCCTTAGGAAGTTGGCGAGTGCCAGGGCCCCTATTAAGAGGCTCCGGGCGTGTCCTGCACATCCCTCAGGATGGTTTCCCTTAGGAAGTTGGCGAGTGTTCTGCACATCCCTTAGGATGGTTTCCCTTATAAAGTTGGCGAGTGCCAAGGCCCCCATTAAGAGGGTCCGAGTGTGTCCTGCACATCCCTTAGAATGGTTTCCCTTAGAAAGTTGGCGAGTGCCAGGGCCCCCCTTAAGAGGCTCCGGGCGTGTTCTGCACATCCCTTAAGATGCCTTGGTCGTCGCCATGCATCTCCCGAAGGACGCTGCTTATGGGCAACTGTGTGACTATCCTACCTCCCTTAGGAAATGGATAAGAATCTGGATACTTCCCGCAGAAGGCATGGAGACCTCCTTTTAAGAAATTTCTGGCACACCTTGCGTCTCCCTTAGGACGCCTTTTACGGGTTGCGTCTCACGAAGGACACTTTGGTAGTCGCCCTGCGTCTCCCTTAGGACACTGCTTATGGGCAACTGCGTGTCTATCCTGCCTCTCTTAGGAAACGGATAGGAACCTGGATACTTCCCGCAGAAGGCATGGAGACCTCCTTTTAAGAAATTCCTGGCGCACCCTGCGTCTCCCTTAGGACATTTTTTATGGGCTGCGTCTCCTGAAGGACGCTTTGGTCATCGCCCTGCGTCTCCCTTAGGACGCTACTTATGGGCAACTGTATGACTATCCTGCCTCTCTTAGGAAACAGATAGGAACCTAGATACCTCCCTTAGGAAATTCCTGGCGCACCCTGCGTCTCCCTTAGGATGCTTTTTACGGGCTGCGTCTCCTGAAGGACACTTTGGTCATCGCCCTGCGTCTCCCTTAGGACGCTGCTTATGGGCAACTGCGTATCTATCCGGCATCCCTTAGGAAACGGATAGGAACCTGGATACTTCCCTTAGGAAATTCCTGGCGCACCCTGCGTCTCTCTTAGGACTCTGCTTATGGGCGGCTGTTTTGCGGTGATCTGCCTGCCAATGAACTGTGAGCCATTGTCGGTAACCAGCGATTGTGGGTAGCCAAATTGTCAATTTGCATTATGTTGATTGGCTTTATTTCTTCAATGCTTGGTCAGTTAAGGTGTTCGACTAGGATGGAGCGTCTGCATGCGCGTTCTCTGCTCGGGGGCATTTGTTGGATGGTGAAGGTAGAAAACGCCTTTAACAACTCCTAGACTTTGTCAAGGTACAAGATCATCCTTGGATTCTTCGCCATGTATTCTCCTGACGCTTGATTCGTGATCAGTTGGGAATCTAAGTAGATGGCTAGCTTTTTGATTACGAGTTCTTTTGCCAAGGGCAGGCCGGCGAGAAATGCCTCGTATTCTGCCTCGTTGTTCGAGGCCGGGAAGCCAAGCGTGATAGCGATACCTGCTCCAGCTCCTTTTTGGTTTGACGCTCCGTCTACCCGCAATTGCCACATGTCTCTGGGTTGGCTAGGTTCAGCGGAGGTCCCGTCTGCTTTTGAACTTTCCTTATTTTTATTGACCAATTTATCTTTTTCGGTCGATGGGGTGAACTCTACTATGAAGTCTGCTAAAGCCTGGGCTTTTATTACAGCTTTTGGCTGGTAAAGGAGGTCATATTGGCTTAGCTTTATAGCCCACTTCATGAGTCGCTGAGAAGCGTCAGGGCTATGGAGGATTGATCTCAAAGGAAAGTCGGTCATGAAGATGACTCGATGAGCTTGGTAGTAAGGTCGCATCTTTCTCGCGAAAACTACAAGGGCCAAAATGAGCTTCTCCAATTTCGGGTAGCGAGTTTCTGCATCGAGGAGAGTTTTGAAATGTAGAATACCGGATGTTGGGCCCCCAGCTCTTCTCGGATGAGACCTGAGCTGACGGCTGAGTTGGACACTACCAGGTACACGAACAAGTCTTCACCAGGAATAGGCTTTGATAGCAGGGGAGGTGAAGTGAGGTAAGTTTTCAGATTCTGGAAAGCTACTTCGCACTCTTCATCCCATTTGTCTCTTTGTCCTTTCTTCAAAGCTTTGAAAAATGGTCTGCACTTGTCCGTAGATCTCGAGAGGAATCGGTTGAGGGCCGCTGCTCTGCCCATCAGACTTTGTATTTCCTTTACTGTGGAAGGCACTTCATCTCGAGAATGGCTTTGATTTGACGTGGGTATGCCTCGATACCTCTTTGCGTAACTAGGTATCCCAAGAATCGGCCGGAGGATACACCAAATGTGCATTTACTTAGATTCAACTTCATGCGATACTGGCAGAGCAGGCTGAATGTCTCGGTGAGGTTTTTGAGGTGATCTGCACGTTTTAGGGCCTTGACCAGCATGTCGTCCACGTAGACTTCCATAGTTTTGCCGATCTGCTCCTTGAAGATTTTATTCACGAGCCTTTGGTAGGTTGCTCCGGCGTTCTTCAGCCCAAAGGGCATGACCTTGTAGCAGTAGGTCCCTCTCTCGATGATGAAAGAAGTTTTCTCCTTATCATCCTCGTGCATCAAAATTTGGTTATAGCCGGAGTAGGCGTCCATGAAGCTGAGCAGCTGATTGCCAGAAGTGGAATCCACGAGTTGGTTGATTCTCGGCAATGGGAAGTTGTCTTTTGGGCATGCTTTGTTGAGGTCAGTGTAATCGACGCAGACTCTCCACTTGCCCTTCTCTTGCTTTGCCACCAGAACAACGTTGGCAAGCCACTCTGAGTAGGAGACCTCTTTAATGAAGCTGGCAGCTAGGAGTTTGTCAATCTCGGCTTCAATGATAGCGACTCACTCGGGTGCAAAGTTGCGTCTCTTCTGCGCCACTAGCTTGCAGGCAGGGTTGACGTGGAGTCGGTGACATATGATTTTTGGGTCAATGCCAGGCATGTCTGACGGCGACCATGCGAACATATCTTTGTTGTTCTGGAGGAAGGTGGTAAGCTCCACCTTCTCGTCTAGGCTTAGGCGCGAGCTGATCCGCGCTTTTTTGTCTGGCTGATTAGGATCCAAGGGTATTAACTCAACGTCTTCCTCGGGTTTCTATCCTTCTTTAGGAAAGACCTCTAGACGGATTTCCTCGGCTTGTTCCTGATGCTTTGATTGCTATAAGAGAGCAAGATTCAGTTGTTCAACCTCCTTCAGATTTGCCTGGCTCACAGGGAGGAATTGCGCTTGTTTGCTTTTCTTCAGCCCTTGGGCGGAGCATTTCCTCGCCATTGCCTGATCGCTGTTGATTTGGCCGACACCGCCCCCAGGGATTGGGTACCAGATTTTCTGATGTGTGGCAGAGGTGATGGCGTTGATCTTGCCAATCCATGGCCTGCCCAGAATGCCGTTGTAGGGTGAGACCTCATTAATGACCATGAATGTTTGCAAGCAGACTACAAGTGGGGAGTACACGTTGAGGTCTATCGTGCCCACGATAACTGTTGTTGCACCATTAATGCCGGTCAGCGATCTGGCTGATTTGTTGATTTTTGCCTCCAAGCCTATCTGCTGGATGACAGCCAGCTGCAGGATATTGGTTGCGCTGCCCTCGTCTGCATGGATTCGGTCGACCATGGCCTGGGCGATTTGAATGCTGACTCCTTGGCGTCGGCTAGGATTGTGTTAATCCTTATGACCTTATGGGGTGGTTCCTTGGCGGTGTCTCGATTTTCAATTCGTTGGATGGCCTGATTCGCGATGAACTCCGTGCAGTGACCTTCTCTCATGAGTTCTTCAAGGTGTGCTTTCCAAGCGAAGCAGTTATTGGTATTGTGCTCGTGTGTCCCATGGAAGGCACAGTATTTGCTAGTATCCCTCTTGTCTGGATCTCCTTCAAGGGTGGTGGTCTTCTTACCCAAAGTTTGTTTTTCACTTGGGCTAAGATTTGATGTATGGGGATGGTGAACTTGGTGTAGTTCTCTCCTACCGCAGCGTCTCCGTGTAGGTGTGACCTGCGCTTGTACTTGTTCTTGTTGCTAAATCCATCGCTTCTTTGACCTGGCCGCTTAGTCGACTAATCCTCCTGCTTAGTAGACTTTTTTACAGCGATTCGATCGTCATCCCAGAGCGCGTAGCGTTCCGCGGTCGCGTAGACCTCTACTAGAGTCTGGCTGGGAGTGATAGTCAGCTCGCGGTACAAGTCGTGTTCAGCTGGAAGACCTTTCTTGAAGGCAGATGACGCGATCCGGTCATCACATCCTACAATGTTGGCCTTTTCTACTTTGAATCTCTTGATGTAATCTCGAAGGGATTCGTCGGACTTCTTGCGCAGGATGTACAGGTGGTCATGGTTCTTCTTGATCGCCCGGTAAGAGGTGTACTCTTTGTTGAAGACGTAAGTCAACTCCTTGAAGCTGCTGATCGACCCGGTTGGTAGGGTGTGGAACCAATCTTGGGCTGCCCCTCGCAAGGTCATTACAAATACCTTGCACATCTGCGCGTTGTCGGCTTTGTGGAGGATCATGACACTTTTGAAGTGTTTTAGGTGGCTCTCGGGATCGGAATCCCTTTTGAAGTGGGTAAACGAAGGCATTGAGAACCGCTTCGGGGGAGCAACCTGCTCAATTTCGGCCGTGAAAGGTGTGGAGTTTGCATGGTCGATCTCCTTACGTAGTACATCTTCGAAATTCCCGCCGGTCTTCAATTCTCGAAGTCGGTCATTCACAAGCTTCTCTACGTCCTCCACACACATTGTTGGTCGGTCTCGTTGGCGACGCAGATTGACCTCCTCGTTGGTCTGCGAGGGTCGACCTTCTCGTCTGCGCTACCTAGGCGGCGTGTTGGTGGACTGCGCTTGCGAGAGATTCTCTGTAGCTTGTCGACGAGAACCGTCTCTTCGAGAGTGAGCAGCGGAGCGCCTTTCCTCGTGGTCCTCATTGTGAGGATTATCCGGTTGACCACCCTAGGGACCTAGGCTTTCGTGAATGCTCCTCTGCAAGTGGACAACTGAGCGTCTTTCTTCACGATCCTCGTTGCGATGGTTGTCTGGCTGACCTCTCTGGGGGTCTAGCCTTTGAAGTACATTTCCCTGCGGGCCCAAGCGGGCGTGGACGTCAAGTCGTGGGCTTAGCCTCTCGCGCACATTGTTCCTCAAACTCAATCTGTTATGAGTGGGGCTTGCAGATGCTTGTGACATGTCGGCAGGCCGATCAAGTTGTTGTCCCTCGCCTTGTCTGCCCACTTCTGCTCGACCTGCTGGGTACCCGTTGAGTTGCCTACCTGTGCGTTCGTCCATCCTTCTCTCTTCGCCCGGTTGTCCAAGGCCAAGGTTTTGAGCCAAGCTGATTTGGTGGAGGAGTTGCCTCATTAGATCGCTTTGGTTGTCCAGTCTCTGAGCTAGCTGGTCAACTCTCAGACTAAGGTCTGCTTGACTTCGTGGATCGGGGGGAGAGAAGTGTGTGGAGCCCAATTGCACACGGGCTAGTGTTTCATTGGAGGTGTGCGCGGGAGCGTGTGTCGAGCGTGGAGGCAATGTAGGGAACGCTTGAAGTTGCTCCAAGACCGGGCCTAAGTCTGCGGTGGTAATAAGCCCACCTTGATGGGAGGTTCCACCATGTTCGGCGGCGGGGGCCGATGCGGTGGTGAGAGGTGGTGGTGCCACCATGTCGATCGTGGAATCATGGGCTGAGTGGCTTTGGGCCGTCGCGGATTTAGCCATCGTGGCGGTTTTGCCTCTCGTCTTCATGCTTCCAACCATGGTTGTTTGGAGGGCTTCGATGGATTGGAAAATAGGAGGAATGGATTCCTTGAGCACGCGTTGAGTATAACTCGTGCTCTTAATGAAAGTACCAATTTGAGTGTACAAATTTCCCCATGAGAATATTCGATTGGAAAGATTCCCCTTTCTTCTTCGTCACCTCTTTCTCCCTGCAAAATAGAACTAATAAGATGACCACACCCGGGGAGTGTTGGCCAAAGGCCCTCCGATGCCTAAATTAGTTCAATTGAATCGTATAGAAAACAATAGCTAATAGGGTACGGAGATGTGTTTATGGTGTAAACCGGGCGGCCGGAGCCTTATGTAAAAGAGAGAGAGAGAAAGGAGGTGGCTAGGGTTTGAGAGGAATTTTCTGCAGAGTTTCAGTAGGGATTTCAGACGTACCTCAACCCTTGTGTGTGGCCATGCTTTTATAGTGGTCTCGGAGGCTAGTGACAGGACCCGCCCCGGAATTTCCCCCGAAACCAGGGCGGACCCCGTCTTGGTGCCGACATCACATCGATGCCGGGCCCACTTACTAAAAACCTAAGACATCCTACCAAAATTTTGGCAGAGTCTCCCCTGTAAAATGCTCAAGCCCAACAACATTCAACCTGCATAATTTACATAATATAAATCTCAACTGCCAGCATGCTTTCAACATACAACAATTCAAATAAAGTGGCCTCCGGCCTCAAGTAACAACCTAACAGGGGCGATAGCAGAGCATCTAACAGGATTTGTTTACAACAACAGTAGAGTAGAAGGAATTTACACGAATCCTATCTACAGATGGAAAGTTTGGAGCTCGCAACCTGCTCGAACGCTTCCAAAAACAACTACTGCCTGGGGGGCGCAAAACAGAAATATGTGAGTGGACAAAAATAAAGCTTGCATTTAAAACAACATAGTAACCCCACCGTGTAAAAATAATGCTCAAGCATGCAGTTTCCACATCCATAAATCAAATACTCAAACATAAAATCTCAAAACTCTGAAAAATCTCAATCCACAACTCCATTCCCAAAAGTATGCAACTCTCATCAACCCATACATATGTATACATATATAAGTATATATATATATATATATAATATAACGTATACTTCTCTCCATACTAATGTACCGGGGAAGACAATCCAACCGGGGGATTGTTGGCTGGTACGCAGGTTTTTCGAACATGAACCCGCGTCCAGGGATGAGTAGTCCAACCGGGGGACGGAACTCCATAGCTCACACGCCGGCACTGCCAACGACACGTGTAGCTCACAAATCTCATATCAAGTCCTACGCGCGCAGACAGTATCATCACCCCACCGGTACTGCCAACGACATGTGTGATGATACTAAGCAATATACATACTCTTCCCATACACCGGCACTGCCAACGACATGTGTGATGATACTAAGCAATATACATACTCTTCCCATACACCGGCACTGCCAACGACATGTGTGAGACCCGCAATCTCATGGCCTTCCCACCCCACCGGCACTGCCAACGACGTGTGTGGGAAGCCTAGTAACCAGGGAATGGTACTCACCTAACATACTCATACATCTCACAACCATCCCTCAAACTCATATCTTTCCACAATCTCACAACAACAACTCCTCGTACTCTATACATAGGCAATATAGATAGATATCCCAAAATCCATATAAACATATCCATAATACTCAAACATAGCCATACTCAAAATATATTGCCAATACGTATATGAATATCCAAATCCATCAACCAAATACTTAATAAATCACATTTACCATTTAAAAACATATGCACAAATCTTTTATCAATAAAACCATGCAAATGCTTGAAAACAAAGTCCACTCACAGGTAATCCCACGCTGCCCGGCCCCGAGAGGGTCCTGCCTGCTGCGAATGATCGACCGAAGTACCTATTTCGAGATACGAACCCTTGGTTAATATAATACACTTCGAAACGGGAATTCACAAAAGAGAATACTTAAATCCCCAAGTTCCCGGTGCGTGTACGTCCAATAGGATATCCTAAGGTCCGGTTACAGGTTTGGGAATCGCTTCCCATCCTACGGTTATCGCTAATCCCACAAACTTAGAATTAATGAATCGGAACATCCGGGGCTCCGATTCACGATCCACGAATTACTATAGGATTCTAAGAGTACCTAGATCAACATACTTCAATTTGGAAACGATCCAACGGTTAGAACCTATCAAACCCGAATAACGCACAATATGCAAAATCCGTTCGATAGTCAAACGACATCCAAATTGAGATCCGCAAAATCCTACGCACTCGTGGCAACCTAAGGATCTCATCAGGATGAAAAGCAACTTCACCAGCCTTGCCCACGTGCCGCCACACGCGCCTGCAGCGCGTGGGTGTGTAGAGAAATTTCCGGCGACGGAAAATCTCCACACCAACGCTCACCCTTCCTACCCTAGCTTCTTCTCAAGGTCAGGATCACTTTATTCAGCTACCACGAGGTCCAATTCGCACAGGAACTGGCCGGAATTTCAAATTGAAAACCGGCCAAAACCTAGCTTCCAAAATCAACTTCCAAACTTCAAAATCGTTCTAATCTAACCCCAAAAACAGCTAAAGCACGTAAAAAGGAGAAGAAACCTCACCTGGTTCGCCAGAAATGGACGGCGGAGACGGCGGTGCAATAGTGCGAAAACCTCCGGTTTGAACCAGTCAATATCGTGGCCGGATTTCGAGCTTTCCGGTCGGGATAATAGGTGGGTTTTGATCGGAACTTCACGACGAGTCGAACGGGATCGGTCTCGAAGGCTGAGGTGGCCGGACGTGACGGTTGTGAGGGTTTTCCCGATTCGGTGAACAGTGAAACACGGGGAAGGGGGAAATCACAGAGGGAGGAGACGCGGGAGAGAGAGAGAGAGAGAGAGAGAGAGAGAGAGAGAAAGTGAGGGGTAAAAGTGAAAAATCTGATTTTACCCCAAACTCTTTTCAAATTAATTACAGTAGCGCCACCGAACCTAATTTGCTCGCCAAAACTTCGTTACAACTCCGATTCAAGCCTACCGCCTGTCTACGGATTCGTCTCAGTACCACCTACGCAACCAAACCACACGTGGTCCCAAAATCCTTCCGGATAAGAAAATGACCAAAATTACCCTTAACCCAAGAGTAAATTAATAATTCTCTTAATTTAATTAAAATAGGAATAAATTTGGAGTCGGGGTGTTACAGCTAGGGTTTCAGAGAAATAATTCCATAGATGGAAGGGAATTATTCCTCCCCTATTTGGAATTGATTTGATTAATTAGGGATTTGATTTATTAGGGTAAGTCAAATCCCTAATTGTGGTAGGTATCAAATCAAATCCCATTTTAATTAGGTAACTCCTCATTTAATTGGGAATCGTGGTAGGAATCAAATCAATTCTCAACCCAATTAGGTAACGTTCAATTTAATTGGGTATCCAATTAAATTGAGTAACTCCCAATCAAGTTGATTAATTCCCAATTAGGTCAAATAATCCCCAAATGGAATGAATTATTTGACCTAGGGTTTTGATTTAATTTGGTTACCACACACATGGTGTTGTGATTATCACACCAAGAAATGACTCCCAAACTTAAAGCGGAGAGTTTGAAATTTCCCATCCAAGAAAACAAGATACACTTGTTTGATTGTCATATAACGACCTATCATCCTACCATTAACCACCAAAGACCAAGTCGCCTGTTAGTACTAAATGAGAAAGTTGACTACACATAGGGCATTATTTTTACAAACATCATTTCATGTACACCATTGTACGAACTGACTTCTTTCATGTATCACCTGTTTAACTCTTTTTTATTTTTGGTGGCAGACGGTAAATGATGTGATATCTTGAGCACTGTTCTTTGCCACTAGACTGTACATGCAAGAGAAGAGCCAAAAATCAAGCACTGCAAGTTGCACTTCCTTGGTTCTGGTCAATACCAGGATCACTCATGGTGATTACAAGCCGATCAAACGGATGATCAAACCGGATTCCGAGATGCCGTGGGGGAACCGAATGGCCTTCATGCCGGTGACCATGCCCAAGTTAACTGAATTTTTAAACCCACTGGACTTCGTGTTCAAAGCACAAAAGCTTATAAAAAGGAAGAGAAGTTCTTTTTCTGTTTACATCAACAAGAAGATGTTAGAAATCGTGAAGAAAATTGGAGGCTATGAGGTGGCCATCATTCCTAAATAAATTAATTTCACTACAAGAAAACATAATTAATATTCATTGACATCCGTGACATAAAATGAGGTGGCTGAAAACTCTGTTGGCTTAGGTCCTAATATAGCTAACACATGATTATTTGTACCCATTGTACCTTTAGATCCTAATAGTGCTTTTAGCCAACTCATTTGTCACATCATACTAGTTGCTATTAATGCTTTTTCTTGTAGCGTAATGTATTTGTTTTCCTACGTACATAGATAGATAGAAGAATATATAACATAATGTATTCCTCCTTTATTGGAATTGGTACCAGTGTTGCAGGGAGCATCAAGATGCATGTACAGCAGATTGAAGAACTCGAGCCTCATGATATCAAATATGAGGGCCAGCGGAGCAAATGGCTTTGGCGGATCATCCAGTTAGAGGATTTTACTTTATGGTGTTAGTTATACCGCAGGTATGTGGTTATTACTTATTAGTGTCTATTTGCAGAATTTTATCGTGTGCCAATTATATTTTACATTTCTCTTAGAATACACATCACATAATTACAATGATCCGCAAGATAAATATTATATGTAACCAGTTTGATATTAGTCTTTTTTATTGCAACTTGCGATGGGCTGTGACATTGTGGTGGGGTGGAGGGAGGTTAGGGATGCGGTGTGCTTCTACTTAGAGGTTTTTCCGCATGTTTTTTCCTAATTTTGGTGAGTCCTTCTCATGTTCGGTCCTTGGATAGTTGTAGAATAAGGGCACGTTGTATAATTTGTTCACATGTTATAATATCACTAGATATTTATTAATCTTATTCTCTAAAATAGGAAATCTTAATCATATCGTCCATTCATGTTATAACACGTGCACGGATTATACCACGTAATTGTATTCTAGTACCGTACAATAATTTCCATAGTCTGATTGAAATAATGTTTCAATTATTGATTTTACAAGACCTTATCGTAACAGTAGTCGATTATATGGGTAAGCTGAGGATTGCCATCGGAACTCAAAAGGGCCTTATTGATCCCGAGAAATTCAAGGCCTGCATGGAAAATGCCTTTAAGATGATACTTGAAGCCACAGACAATATTTCTATGCGGACATATTAGAAGCGTCTCTCCGCCGTTTGGCTTCGTTTAATCATATATGAATTGTGCTAAGTGAAATAAAAATCATGTTAATCTCTGCTATTTTAATATGTTTGGTGTGGTTATGTACAAAAGACCTCGATTTGGCGTTTACGATCATATCTGAATTGTGCTTAGTGAAATAACAATCATATTAAATCTTTGTTATATTATATGTTTGTTTCGGTTATGTATTAAAGGGGAATAGTATAGAGAAGTAATGTGAGAAGCATAAACAGATAATGGAATTTTCTATCGCAATTTGTGTTCTTATTCAACTTTGGTATCCACTGTTTACATCCTTATAAATGATGAAGAACTCATAATTTGTTGGTTAAAAATATAATTGTGAGAGCAGGATTTCATATGCGAATCACAAAATTACACGTTGATCCAGGTGGATCTTTTCAAGATAATTAAATAATAAATATTATTTAAATTAAATAATTTATCAACCATTCGACTCGAATGGTTTAAGAAGAAATGGTTCTGAACCATTTAAAAATTAATGGTTTGAATTACCTAAAGAATTTAAACCATTTAACATTTGTGGTTTAAATTCATTTATTATTTTTAGTTTTCTATTCTAGGCATTCAGGCTTGTATATAAACCATTGTAGTTGAATGAATTAAAACAGGCAGAACTCAAAGCAGTTCCTTAGCTTCTTCCTTTTGTTTCTCTAAATTGTCTTAAAATTCCTCTCGTTCCCTTATTCCTATAAACTAGGAATTCATAGTTCTATCGACTAGAAGTTTTGGATCAAGTGGTATCAGAGCACCAGATCCGAGAGGGTGACGGTGGTTTATGGTCTCAACTCGCAACCAACGCAAAGCTTCTGGAGAAGAACTTTTAGGTCCTTTGCTCGTACACCGAAAGCCAAGGTCCAAGAGAGACAATATGACTGGAGAAAACAAACAGGATACATCTAGTGATGGCGATCGCATCACTAAACTTGAGCAACAAGTTGAAAACTTGTCTGCATCAATCCTTAAACTCGTGGAGAGTTTGAAGACTGGAAAATCTTCACGTCCATCAACTTCATCTGAGCCTGATCAAAAGCTCAAGAAAAAGGTTGTTGAGGATAGCGAAGATGAAGACGACATACAAGCTGATCCAACGAAAAAAGGAAGCTGAATCAGGTGACAATAAAAATTCTATTGATACCTTAAAGATTGATTTTAAGGTTGACATCCCTATTTATAAAGGAGATATTGATCCTGAAAAGCTAGATAACTGGATAGACACATTAGAAACTTATTTCACAGTTTATAAGTATTCTAATGTGCAAAAAAATAAAATATGCGAGTTTGAAACTTTCAAGCCATGCCCTTACATGGTGGAAGTCCTATCAGAGACGGTATGATGTCTCAGAATTGACTTGGAAGAACTTCAAGAAGCTTTTGAGAAAACAATTTTATCCAGTTGGCTATGAAGATGAAAGATGGTATAAGTGGCAACACTTCAGACAAAGATTTGGGCAGCCTGTACAAGAGTATACAACAGAGTTCCACAACCAAGCTATGGTTCTGGACATTGACGTTGACGACTACGACGTTTTCATGAAGTATACCGGAGGTCTTGCCGACTACATACGGAAAGAACTAAAATTGTTCACCGTAGATACTATTGAAGATGCTACTGTGAAGGCCATAGCCATTGAGGCAAAAAATAAAAGAACTGACAAGAAGGATGACAGATCAAAACCTGTCAACAAAACTGACTGGCAGAAAAAGGGGAAGCAGAGCAAGGAAGGTCAGACACAGAATGTCTACTGTGATCACTGTCAAACCAGCAGACATGCCAAAGACAAGTGCTGGATACTCCATCCAGAGTTACGGCCAAAGCGCGAGAAAAACAACCAGGGGAGAAATGACAGAAAAGCCACATTAACTGCACAACGGGCAGAAGACCAGCAGATACTGAAGACACGTACAACCGTGAAGAGCTGTTTCATGTGAATATCCAGGTGAAGCAAAGTGTTGTACAAGCTATTATTGACCCTGGAAGTCAGAAAAACCTGATTTCAGAGGCTTTAGTAAGAACAGTGGGTTTAAACACCACACCACATCCTAAGCCGTACCCGTTAGGATGGATTCAAAAGGATGTTGACTTACAGATCACGAAGCAATGTACCTTCAAATTTGCTATCACCAATCGATATATCGATGAGGTGACATGTGAGGTGGTTCCTTTGGATGTTTGCCAAGTCATATTAGGTAGTCCATATTTATGGGACCGAGATGCCATCCATTATCGAAGGCTTCGCAAGTATCGACTTGTGAAAGATGGGAAGGAGTTCCACATCAACGCTTGCAAGCCTCAAGCTACAAATAATTTGCTTACAAATAATTTGCTGACAGCTAACCAAGCCAAGAGGTTAGTCAATTCATGTGGGCGATTCGTTTTGTTGATGATTCGACCGCAAGATCAGAGTTCTAGAGTTGTGACATTGTCTACATTGTCTTTATCTCCTGCACAATGCTCAGACATAGGGAAATTACAGGAGAAGTTCAAGGACTTATTTCATGATGTGCAGGGTTTGCCACCACGGAGAGCTGTGGAGCATGAGATCCAGTTGGTAGGAGATTCACCTCTACCAAACTTGGGTTTGTATCGTACATCTGTGACGGAATCTGACGAGATCAAGAAGCAAATTCAAGGACTTCTTGAACAAGGAGTCATCAAACCCAGCTGCTCACCATGTGGTTCGCCAGTGTTACTTGTGCCTAAGAAAGACGGAGACTGGCGTATGTGTGTAGATTATAGGGCACTCAACAAAATAACCATTAAGAATCGGTATCCATTGCCGAGGATTGATGACCTACTAGATCAACTACATGGTGCACACTACTTCACTAAGCTTGATCTCAAATCTGGCTATCACCAAGTCCGCATCCATGACGAAGATACTTGGAAAACTGCATTCAAAACAAAGGGTACGACACAGATGCTGATTTCAACTCAGCCTATGCCAAGCTGGAACAAGGAAAGACTAGTGAGTTTCAATTGAAAGATGGACTAATGTATAAGGGAACACAATTGTGCATTCCAGAAGATGGTGACAGATTGCAATGGATTCGTGAGGCTCATACTTCTAAAGTAGCAGGGCATTTTGGAGTTGAGAAGACTTTATTGAATCTTCGTCGCTATGTGTATTGGCCAAAGATGCATCTCGATGTTTCACGATACATTCGAGGTTGTGTTCTATGCAACACATCAAAGCCTTCCAACAGGAAGTTAGGACTGTATCTTCCATTACCAGTACCTACTCGACCTTGGGAGAGTATCTCGATGGATTTCTTAGGTGGCTTGCCTAAAACCAAGTCTGGAAATGACTACTTGTTTGTGGTGGTAGATCGTTTCAGTAAGATGGTGATTCTCATTCCATGCAAGAAGACCGTAACTGGAGAAGGAGCTGCTAAGTTATTTTTCCAATATGTTTGGAAGCATTTTGGCTTACCTACATCAATTATTTCTGACAGAGACAGTCGATTCTTAGGCCATTTCTGGAGGTCGTTATGGGGAATGATGGATACTAGATTGAAAAGAAGCACTGCATTTCATCCACAGACAGATGGGCAAACGGAGGTCGTAAACCGGACTATGGTACACTTGTTGAGGGGTTACAATTCCAAGCATCCGAAGACTTGGGATGAAAGTCTCCCTTACTTACAGTTTGCTTTCAACCGAGCAATTCATGGCTCTACACTCAAATCTCCATTTGAGGTTTGTTTGGGTTATTTACCCCAGAGTCCTTTTGATTTAGCATTCACTATGAGTGACCAACCATTATGTGGGAAAGAAGAAGAAGAACATATTCGAGCCAATAAATTTCTCGAACGAGTCAGAAAGATTCATACTGAAGTGGAGGCACAATTGAAACGTTCTCAGCAACGATATAAAGCTCGCCATGATAAGCATCGTGTGCCATGTAACTTCAAAGAAGGTGACCTAGTATGGTTACACCTTGGAAAGGAGCGGCTAACAGGTGAAGGCAAGAAACTGAAGCCTATTCGTTATGGACCGTTCAAGATCATCAAACAAATTGGTGATAATGCCTTTCAACTTGAATTACCACCATACATGCATATGTACTCGGTCATCAATGCCGAGAATCTTAAGCTTTTTGAGCCATCTCTACTTGATGATGATCCCGACGAAGACATTCGGCTTCCATCAGTTGATGACTTAAAAATTGAACTAGAAGACCCTTTGCTGAAGGATTGTATCTTGGAGCAGAAGGTTCGTGAGACCCGACATGGAAAGTATGAGTATTTTCGTATTGGCAGTAAAGGGCAACTTCCCAGCAAATCGAAATGGTATATTCGAGACAAGGCTACTCAAGAATTTCCACATCTCACCATTTAACTTGAGCAGGAGCTCAAGGTCTTAAATGGGAGAGCCATGATCCAGGTGGATCTTTTCAAGATAATTAAATAATAAATATTATTTAAATTAAATAATTTATCAACCATTCGACTCGAATGGTTTAAGAAGAAATGGTTCTGAACCATTTAAAAATTAATGGTTTGAATTACCTAAAGAATTTAAACCATTTAACATTTGTGGTTTAAATTCATTTATTATTTTTAGTTTTCTATTCTAGGCATTCAGGCTTGTATATAAACCATTGTAGTTGAATGAATTAAAACAGGCAGAACTCAAAGCAGTTCCTTAGCTTCTTCCTTTTGTTTCTCTAAATTGTCTTAAAATTCCTCTCGTTCCCTTATTCCTATAAACTAGGAATTCATAGTTCTATCGACTAGAAGTTTTGGATCACACGTGGACAAGAATTGGAAGAATAGACAACACCTCCCTTCAGCAAGAAAAAAAATAGAAGACAACCGTTGATGCCAAAGTGCCTATATTCCATGGCATTAAATTCATAACCATTTAAGACCAACTACCTCACCATTTCTTTTTCACTAACTCTCCACCATCAACAACTCTTTAATCGATGATGATCCCTTCACTGCCCACCATGAATACATTAACCTTCTACTTATTCATTGCCCACTATAAATTTGTCGTCCACTCTTTTTGTAAAGACACACCATTACGACATATTTCATTCTCCATATCTTTCAAAGAATATGTTTTTATTGTAATCAGTTGCTAAAACTCTAGCTAAGGTTAAAGGAAATGTTATTTGAGTAAGTTTGTGCCACTACAAGAAAATTGGCTTTTTACAGCGTGAGATGCGCGTCGTAAATGACCATTCACGGCGTGCTACCACGTGCCATAAAAGGCCGTGCCGTAAAAATTATTTTCTTTTACGGTGTGCATTGGCTTGCCATAAGTGTTAATAATGCACGGCATGACAGAGCTCTCATAAAAGTTTGGACAACTAATTACAGCGTAGTTCACGTGCCGTAAAATAGCTTTCACGACACACATTGCACGCTATAATAGAGTCATTTATTAACATTTAAGGCCTGCGAAGCACGCCGCGTTTAAGTTTTAATTAATTTCCTCACTACCCTTATTTCATATTAACAAATATACTTTATCAATTATTGCCCTGGACACATGATTTCACAAATAGAAAGAAGTATAGCAAACAAACTTTAAAGAAAGAACCATTTCATTGATAACTATACCAATTTCAAAAACATAATCACTGCTTGTGCAAGAGTAAACAATAAGGCATCTAAACATACACAAAACTTCCATACATGGTTCAAATTCAATAATCACTACTATAAAAATGACAATAAATGACGGGGAAACACCGATATCGAAAAACATATAGCAATATAGAAGCTGGATTTTTGTTCTACCAACGTTGCATTAGCAGAGGCCATATATAATCATGTATGCAATTGCTTCTGTATTCACACTGAGGAGATAATATGCAAAGTTAGAGAAAGACTAATTTGAATCAGCCAGCAACAGCTTTAGAAAAAGAGCTGGAAAAAAAGAAGATTATATTGAAACTTACCACATTGCAGATTGGAGATATTCGTGCATTTGACAAACTGATCATGAAGAAATAGTGAACATTTTGGGCAGTTGACGTCATGCATACCACATTTGTCTCCCTGCAATCTGTCATAATTATATTAAACCATAATGTATGCATAAGTTTCACGGGACAATACTTGCAAAGTATTGAATAAAATAGAAAAAGGGGGATTCACTATTATACCCAATACAGGGGCCCAAATTATAAAAATACCTTATATAAAATGTACTTTAGAAACACACTCAAAGAGCTCATTTACAACATAACAAAATTGTCCTCAATTCCTTAAAACAAGCCCAACCCCAAAACCTCATAAATAAAAAACCCAAAACACTCAATGCGGCATCAAAGTAATTTAATAATCAAAATTAAATTCAATAGGGCTAGCTATCATTTTTTGGGTTATTTTTGGGTTTATTTATAAAAATTAAATGATGTGGGGTTTAATAACACAAGGAAATAAAAATAAGGGGTTCTTCGATATAAGTCCAAAATCTCTAGCCGTCATTAGATTGAGTCCACACCTTTTTTGCTGTAGATTTGGATCCATTGTTTTTTTATTAATTTTTTCTTGTGTCAATTTTACCCTTTGAGGTAAATAAGAAAGGAACATTAATTGAAAATCCAAATTAATATATCGATCTTTCTTTCTAAATGGATTTCATATTTTAAATTTTGAATCCTTCCATTGCCGACCATCGACCAACAAAAAAAAAAAAAAAAAAAAATACTTTAACAATTAACTATTGCAATATTTATCTAATATATAGATAAAATATAATTTAAGTCATGAAAGCAATGACCCACATATTTTATCTTACAATGAAAATTAAGACCCATAGGCAAGCACCAACATAAAACTGTACTTATCCATAAGGTTGATTCGTGAGGTTTCAAGCATAAGAACAAATAAAAAAAGTTCATATAAAACAATGAAAGTAGGACTATTATTGATGATGTCTTCCCAACAAATATTTACCTCATTACTAGGTAAATATGAGATAATATACCTAATTATTAGGTCAATATAAGATAATGTGCCTCATCACTAGGTAAATATAAGATAATATACCTAATTATTAGATAAATATAAGAGAATGTAACTACTTACTAGGTAAATATAAGATAATATACCTAAATACTAGGTAAATAAAGACAGATCACAAACAACCAACATACATGGAATTGTAGGATCTGGCTTCCCAATTGTACCACCTGTTCCAATATCTGGCAGCGGAACCCGGAGCCCGAGCACAACTGGTCCCTCTCCCAACACCAAACCGTCACCCCCACCCGACACCAAAACCCCAAACAACTCCTGTCAAAAGAAGAAGGCATCGCCTCCACCACGACCGTCAGACAAGGAGGAGGGCGCACCGGAGGAGGCACCAGCTCCCTCGCCAAAACCTCTGGGGAAAGCACTAGCTCCAGTACCTCTAGCGAAAGCACCGCTGCCACCTCCACCTCCAAAGATTAAGGCGGCATCAGCTCCCTCCTCAAAACCTCGTCCAAAAGCACCGCCTCCGAAACCTCTGGTGGACGCACCTGCTCCGAAACCTAATTTGGTGCCCAAAGCACCTACTTTGAGGCCTAATCGGGTGCCCAAAGTACCAGCTGCACAACCTCCACAAAAAGGACCTGCTCGGAGACCTAATGGGGGACGGAGAGCACCTGCTCCACTGACTTGTTGGTGAAAATTGCAGAGATTGTGGCTGAGAGAGAGTCCGAATTGGGTTAGGGTAGACAATATCATAATTATTATCATAAAAATTAATTTCTTACCTTATTAATTTTTAGGGGCACGATGGGAATAATGAAGTAATTTAAAAATGGAAAAAAAAAATTATGTAAATATCAAAAAATCAAAAAAGGAATGTAATCACACATGGCACAAAAGTCAAAGGACTTGTATCAACAACAATAACTACGAGGATAGCATCCAAATTCTGTTTTCGATTTTGGACTTATACCGAATTTTCTATAAAAATAATATGTGCATACCATTTTAATGCACATGAAGTATTTATGGAAACAAAGAGGGGAGGACTTGAAACTTAGACAATGCATGTACATACCATTTTAATGCACATGAAGTACTTATGGAAACGAAGAGGGGAGGACTTGAAACTTAGACAATGCATGTACATACCAGATGGTTCTTCACAAAATTCATCCAGACTTACAAGGTCTTTGTGCTTTACCTTAGAAATTAGCCTCACTTCTGTTCAAGGAAACACACTACATAGAAATTAGATTGATAATCAAACTGTGTTTCCTTGTTTTTTCAATAGAAACCAGACGTGATTTGTGATTTCTCTCATTTCAAGGCATAACAAATGTGCAAGACTAAATGCCAAAAGTCCCAAAAATTAAAGAGATTATGCAGCTATATATCCATGGTGACGACAATCAGGTTCACATTAAAGTTTATAAGTGGACTAAGAAAACATGGAATACTTAGCCCAACAAAAAAAATCATATTCATAATCAGAACAAAAGCACCTGCATCAAACTCTCTTTGTTCAGACCTTTCATTGAACACTTTGGGGCGGCAGATCCAGACCATCAGTTGAACACCTGCTATCTGCCAGACATGACTTTATTGTAAAGGAAAACTACAAAAGTAAAACAATAATGAAACAGGGAAAAGAAATTGGAGCAAAATCTCTTTCAAAGAAAAACCTACAATATAATTTCAAAAAAAATTACCCCAAATTCTATATAAAACTGAACATATTTTTGGGACTTACAGTTGAATAGCCAAATAATATAACGTAATTTAATACGCAAATAAGCCTAAACTACAATGCCAAGTTGAAATTTCAAATCCTCACATTCACAACTAGAAAGAGAGAGTAAGAGAAAAGGGGGTGTTACCTGTTGAGAGTGAAGGTTAATCTGTTTACACCATAATCAACCAAGCGTATTCGGCATTAGACGACAAATACTTAGGCAGACACATTAGCTGCCAAAGGAAAGAAACACTCCAATCAGACACACAGACAAGCCCTTAGAAGATGAGTGACATAACCGCCCCAGGGATCGGCCCCATGCCTTGACCAAGATCTATAAAGATTGTAGGGCCCGTATCTTGGAGCTTTGGCCAAAGCCTATCCTTATCCCCGTTGACCTTGATAACCCGCGGGCTCCACGGCAACGACTACCGCACTGGCCCTAGCTACTGTGGCAACTCGTCACAACCCCAATGCCGGATCTACCTTGCAAGGCCCCATGGTTGGCACAATCGTGCACCTTCACGGGTCCACCGCCGTGTCCTTGCCGCCACATCACCTAGTGGCCGAATCTAGCCACCACCATGGCACCACTGTACACTGCGAAACTTCCCATCATGGTGATTTTACCGCCATCACGAGGTACAACCCAATCTTGGAGCAAATACATTCGTTCCCTCCTTTGTCTTCGTGCTCGACGTACTCTCCTGCGTACACCTTCATCGAAACCCTAGCCCATATGCAATTGGGCTCACACAATTCTCTCCTTTCGGTGCACAAAGTTAAGTAGACCTCAGTCTTAGAGTCAACCAACAGGCCCAAAGAATGGACAACCAAAACGAGCTGTTGAGACAGCTCCTCAACCAAATAGACTTGGTCTAAAATTTTGACCTTGGACAACAGGGCGAAGAGAGAAGGATAGACGAATGTGCCGACAGGCAGTTTGAGAGATCTCAAGCAGATCAAGCAGGAGCGAGTAGACAAGAAGGAAGACAAAAACGTGACCTGCAAGCTGGCATGTCACAAGCATCTGCGAGCCACGCTCCTAGCATATAAAGTATCCAATCTAGATTGAGTTCAAGGACCAATGCATGCACGAGGCTGGGCCCGCAACTCGATGTTCGTGCCCTTTTGGGCCCATAAGGAAATGCTCACGAAAGGCTAAGACTGCAAGAAGGTCAACTTGACGACCCTCACAATGAGGAAATGCGCTTTGTTGGCTGCTCCCGAAGAACCATTCCCGTTGATACCCCACAGGAAATCCCTCACACTTCAAAAGGGATTTTAATCTCGAGAGCCATCTGAAGCACTTCAAGAGTGTTATGATTCTCTACAAGGCCGAAGACACGCTAATGTGCAAGGTGCTTGCAATGACCTTGTGAAGAACAGCCCAAGACTGGTTCCACACCCTGCCGTCCGGGTCAATCAGAAGATTCAAGGAGCTAGCTTACGTTTTCACTAAGGAGTACACTTCTTATTGAACGATCAAGAAGAACCCTAGCCACCTGTTCAACCTAAACAAGAAGTCCAATGAATCCCTGCAGATTACATCAAGAGATTCAAGGAAGATCTTCCTTACTACGGAATGCTACGAGCTCTAGGATGACGATCGAATCGCCGCGAAGAAGTCTACAAAGCAAGCAGGTTAGAGAAGCCAAGATTTCCCAGGACGCCATGCCCTTCTATCTGTTGAAGCTCGTTGTACAGTTGTTGCAAGGATATTGGTAGCTGTGATTCATTAGGAGATACTATAACTTACAAAGTTTTTAACTGGGTGGGTGTAGTGTAGTATATGAACTTGAAAAGTTAATTTAATAGGGTGGGCAATTTTGTTGGTAACAGACCTTATATTCATGATTTACAAAACAAACCTTTCTATAATATAAGGGAAGCTTGAAGAGCTTTCTTCGCATGCTTGAGCGCATCTTTCCCCTTTCTATTTTAATAAGGTTTTGAAAAGGTAGGTTTCTTGTTTGTTAAGGAACAAAGTCTTCTTTATGATCCAACTCCCCCTTTTCACTTAAAATTAAAATTAAAGAATTAGTTTTTGTATTCTATTCAAATACAAGCTGTATGAAACCCTCAACACATATTTTTGACAGTATGCTGAACCCGAACCCTAAATGGTGCATTATTCTTTTCAAATGTCGAATAAATAATAATGTATCTTGTTTGGGGCAAACACGATTGTGAAGTTAAGATGCAGGCATATGAAATGTTGAAGTTTGTCATTGACTAATTGTGCTGAAGGCTTAATTATATTTGTACATTTCCAAACACGTCTTATATGTAGCTATCCAAATTACAAAATTACAAAACAAATACTTAAACCTAAAACATTTCTTACTTTTTCATCAATTTAACTGCCAAATTCAGAAATGATAGAACTAACAGCAGTAGGAGGATTGTATTAATGCCCTTCAGTATATGGATTACTTCAGCATATGCATTAAGTTCCTTCACATACACCTGGTTTTGAATGTCAGATTCAGTTGGGGTGTTGGCTGCTGTCACCCATTCATAGCCACTACACCTTGTAGCTCCCTAAAAAACAAAACAAAAAAAACTACATTTTTCAGTTTGGGATTACAATGTCATACCATATTCTTTTATCTGGAGTAGTTTCAGTTTGGGATTACTGTTTATTATATACAGCTTATTCGGTTTAACATACGAGGTTTGGGAAGATTATACTTCTATATGTTGTGAAGCACTTCCAATACGGTCTGCCCAGATTCCTTTTGGATTTGGAAATTATCTTCACCATCTCAGCATTGCAGTGCCGACACCTCTTTGCTTTAGTGTTTGATGAAGAAATCGACATCGCTTTGCCCAGAGTTGAAAATGAAGAAAACAGAAGAATTATACCCTTCCAAATATTTGGTCAAAACCCCCAAATTATTGTCCTCCAATTCTGAAAATGAATTGGATTTTATTATTTGGTCAAAATATATATGGAGTTTGAAGTTTGAATTCGCCTTTTTTGGTCCTGACAATCCGTGAGTGGGAAATACCAAAGTTGAATATATATATATATATTTTTTTTAACCCTAATGCATGAGCGGGAAAATAAAAAGCATTGTTGTGGGGAATTTTTTTAAAAAAATTTACCCTAAACACTCCATAGTAAACCCTAAACCGTAGCCTTAAAGGCGTTTATCAAATGAAAATATAAGTAAGACAAAAATTAAAAGGAAAAGGGGCGTGTGGCGGCATGGGAATGCGCCGCGTGTCGCTGAGGTCTGCAGCTCCGCCACTTGGCATTCCGTGTGTATTTTATTCCTTTTTTTTTCTTTTTTTTCAGAAAATCGTAAAAAATATAGGAAAATTCAAAAAAAATGGGGGACAATTCCTAAGTATGTATCGGGATGAAAACTTCGTACTGAAAGTACAATAACAGATTTTGGTGTGAGGGAAAAATAAAATTAGGGAACAAACCCTAGTGTTGGATGATGCAAATGAAAACACTAGTACACTTTTCAAACCCTAGACTCTTATTTGTTCGATCACATTAACTCCGTATGGATATTTATATGACGCGGCCTTTTTCCGGATATTTCATGGAAGGAAATGTCGTCACGAGTTCGAAGGATTTTTTCTGGAATTTTCCCCCTTCAATTTGATTTTTAATGAATATTTAATTGGAAATGAATAAAAAATTTGAAAAGGGGCGTGTGGCGGCATGGGAATGCGCCGCGTGTCGCTGTGGTCTGCAGCTCCCCACTCCGGCTCCGCCACTTGGCATTCCGTGTGTATTTTACTCCTTTTTTTTTCAGCAAATCATAAAAATACAGGAAAATTCAGAAAAAATGGGGGAAAATTCCTAAGTATGTATCGGGATGAATACTTCATACTGAAAGTACAATAACGAATTTTGGTGTGAGGGAAAAATAAAATTAGGAAACAAACCATAGTGTTGGATGATGCAAATGAAAACACTAGTACACTTTTCAAACCCTAGACTCTTATTTGTTCGATCACATTAATTCCGTATGGATATTTATATCACGCGGCCTTTTTCCGGATATTTCATGAAAGGAAATGTCGTCACGAGTCCGGAAGATTTTTTCTGGAATTTTTCCCCCTTCAATTCGATTTTTAAATGAATATTTAATTGGTAATGAACAAAAAAATTTGAAAAGGGGCGCGTGGCAGCATGGGAATGCGCCGCATGTCGCTGAGGTCTGCAGCTCCCCACTCCGGCTCCGCCACTTGGCATTCCATGTGTATTTTATTCCCTTTTTTTTTCTTCAGAAAATCATAAAAAATACAGGAAAATTCCTAAGTATGTATCGGGATGAATACTCCGTCAGGAGTTTTGACTTATACTTCTCAAGGAGTTTTTGGTTAAATACGCTATTTAAATCATTTTGTTAGTCAGAAGGGATTTCCGGATTATTGGATTGAAATTTTGTATTTTTGTTGTTGTTGCAACAATCGTAAACATTGCATGACAAATTCCGAATGTGAAGGAGAAAAACCCAACACTTATTTCCCCTCTTAAATTCGATATTTGAATCATTATGTTAGTGAAAATAGAATTTCGGATTTCTTTTTTAAACTATTTTTTATCTTTAAAATATAGTTTCAAATGCAGGACAAATCAAGAAATGAGGGGAAATTGAAAACGTAATTAAAGGATCACCAGAGTATCTTAGAAAATCAAGGATGGCTCAGACCTGGTTTGACTGAAAGGATAATCCCTCATGCGTTGACAACACACAACCTCCTTGGCATTTTGGTGTCTATCATCTTCAACGAATGACTGCTTCGGGAATTGGAACCAGCAAATCCCCATTTCAGAACACATAGTCAAACCATAGGACCCAAAACCATCCAAAACATATGCACGCAAGCTATAAAGGTCTATGGAACACAAACGTCTACAAACCTGTACTTAAATTGGATCTTAAAAGTGCATCGATTACAAAAACAGACATTCAAACCATAAACAGGACTTAAAACCACAAACGTCTACAACATTACCATAAACAGACCTTGAATTAAAAACATTAAATAGAAAGTAAACTTCCCCTGTAAATAAAAACAAACAAAACCCAAAACACACTTTAATACCCATATCATACCATGGATATTTAATTTATTAAATCCAACAGGTCTCCCTACGGAGTTTACGCTGGAAGGAGTACAGCTCCCTCTTCCATTTGCAGGGTTCACAGCAGTTCCAGGTAGCTACCATGTTAGAGTAGTCACCCGCCCAATCCCATGAGAATTTGAAATACCACTCCCGATTACCCTCACAGTTAACGTAGGTAAGAAAAAAATTTCTGTCAGCAGTAAACTTTGAAAGAGTTGGAGGAGTCACCACGCCCGAAATGGTATACCTCATCAGTCGATTGAAAAATGATGCCCTGCATGCTTGCATGTCAATTTTCTTCGTTTTGCTTAGATGGCACAACCATTCCATCGCATCCTCTTCGCCCTCCGTAAGGTTCACAGCCCTAGCAAGCCAACAATGTAGAAGGATTCCATATGCCCTGCCTTAGCTGCCACCCGGAAGTTGTTGACAGCCTCATCATCTTTGAATATGAAGAGTTGAGTTACAGCTTCTCTGTAAATGATTTCTGGATTGTTGTGTTCCTTGCACTTTTGCAAGAACTCAACAAGTTTCTCTTGATAAAACCCGTACCATTCAGGATGCCACTGGTACTTCTCTACAGACACGGTTCACCAAACCTCAGGATCATTCAGCATTTCTTCAAATAACTTGCATGTCCCCGCCATGCTGTACAGATCTTCAGAGGAGTGCTTTGCAACCAAAAACAACACCTTAAACCATGCCAAGTCTGGGATATCCATTTGGGTTGTTGGAGAAGAGGGAGTGCAAAAGGTATGTGGAGGAATAATGAACGGTGTGTCTAGACAAATCAGGAAGAAAGGTATATATTGGAACGAACTGTAGTCACCTAAACTATGGACGAAGACAACATTGGGTTTAGATCATGTATTATTGGCTTCGTTTCCCAACCGGTGTGACTGAAAGGACAGTTCACACACCTCGATGATCCAGGTTTTGGCTGTAAATTGGTCTTCTCGTGGCTCCATGCCTAGGTACACCTCGTGGGTGTTCGCATTTATGATACTACTAATCAACGTCAGCAGTCAAAAAATTAAATATACTTTTTATGATAATGATTATGCAAATATCACATCGCTACTTATGGAGGTAAAATTCGTTGCATTTGAACATGACCATGTGAATAATTTAACAGCCAATTATGAAACAAAATATCATATCAACGCACCATTAACAGTACAAAAAATGAAAACAGTGTTTATGACATCACCAGTTATGAAGGTAATCTGAATTTAACATGAACAAGTAAACAATTTCATCTTCTGAAATATGATACTAAATATGAACGCACCATTAACAGTAAAGAAAATGGAAATAGTGTTTTATGACATCACCAGTTATGAAGGTAATCTGAATTTAACATGAGCAAGTAAACAATTTCATCTTCTGAAATATAATACTAAATATGAACTCATATCACCAGTAAAGAAACAAAAAATGTGCTTGTGGTACTTATAATGCAATCTCACATCACAAGTTGTGAAGGTAACTTACATTTGAACATGACCAAGTCAACAGTTTCATCTTCGCAAATATGATACTAAATACGAACGGTAAAGAAAATTAAAATATCGTATATGATACAAATAATGCAAATATGACATCACCAGTTCTTAAGGTAACTAAAGTTGCAGCTCCCCACTCGAAGTCAACATTGGCATTTTGGCGGGTAAAATGAAAATGGGGACTGCTCTATAAATACCAATGTAAGAGTATTTTACCTCCCATTGCACCTCCACTTGCTCCAAACAAGCCTAAACTCAGAATGGGTTCCCCTACAAAAATTCCCCCATACTTATAACAACTCCAGCGAAAAATGCAGAACCTTTGTCACAAAGGAATAATAAAGCTGAAGATGTTGCTGATGGAGCTGGGAAATCCATAAACTTTTCATCTGAGGACCACGATGATGTAGCTCAAATCGGCAAGATGAGGTATGATGCGTTGATCATGGAAATCAAATGCTTGAAGATACGTCTAAGATGGTATCAAGAAACATTGGGGAAGGACAAAAAGAAAGCGAAATTCCACCTTCGATCAGTCCAAATAATGAAAGTGAGGGTTTGGCTTGCGAAAGGAAAAGGTGTTCGAAGGTTCAGTACTTCGAATGAGTCTGTGCATATGAGGGAAGCAGAAACACGCAAAGGGTTTGACCTGTTCCACGAGTTTGCAAGATGTGTTGTCCCAAGCTACAACTGGGACGAGATCGCCATGGAGTAAACCGTCCCTGTATAAAGTTCATTTTGGGGGTTGTCAGTATTTTGTTCGGAACAAATGTGTGGTTCATTTTGAGTACGTTTTTTGGCATTTTGTGTGGGCTCCTGAAGGTGTAAAAACTGTGGTTTGAAGTGTTCATAGTTCTTAGGTAATGTATCGAACTGTAAGATGTGAAGGACAACTGTAAACAAATGGGGAAACTATTTTGAGTTTTTTAAGCGTACTTTTGTCTACATAAATTTTTGTGCTTTTATGAAGTTTGTTTATATTATTTTCTGATCACATATTTCTTTGTGTTATTTTATAACGCCTAAAAGGCATGGAATAGAAACAACAGAGGTGGATTTGTTGATAATCCAGGTATTTATGTCGCATAGTAATCAAGTAATGGGGGGTTGGCTTTATCTCGTTCGTTTAGGGATGGCAATGGGTTGAATCGGGGGTGGGTATGCCATTCCCATGGCCCGCCCCATTAGGGAAGAAAAAACCAATTATATAACTACTATGTTGAAAAGAAAAAATAGCAGTACGACAACATAATGAATACATACTTAGAAGACAATATAACAATGTTTATATATATGTTGGAAGTTAACTAAATAAATAAGTACTGTGGCTTAAGATTTGTATACAATATAATCTACTAATATAAAATATAAAACTTAGTCGATACTCTGTATGTTCATAGCATATTTATATATGAGGTAAATGCTCTTGTGTGTTTCCATTTTGGGTTATTTGGAAGTTTGTTTTTGTTTCACCATTTTTTAAGTAATTGGGTGAGTTTTGAGGTTTGAGCATATATTTGATCACTTATATGGTAGCTAATTATGTTCGTAACTTGGCATTTTAGATGTTTGCTTATTGGTTTCAAATATATAATTTTAGCAATGAAATAACAAGAACCATATTGTGTCTGTCAATTGAAAAGAGAAAATATAGAAATATTTTTCCGAACAATTATATATGAAGCAAATGAAACTGATACTTGTGTTCTTATAAATTAGATAATGAACACTAAGGAAGTATACTTCTAATTTTTGCAAAATATAATGTTACGGTTCAAAGGAAAACAAGTTATCACCATATTCCAACGATGGAGTGTTCACTCTGTATTGTCACATCAGATGAAATTAAGTACGAAATTAAGGACATTGCCACGTGTACGCCACAGGCCATTGCCACGTGTACGCCACAGGCCATTGCCACATCCTTCCTTTATGTGTGAATTTAAATGAATATTGCTATTTTCTTACAAAATTCATAACTAAATATAAAAAAATCGGGAAAAAAATTCGTAAATTGCTACGAACTCATTCAAACTTGATAAATCTTAATTCAAGTGCGTGCTAACATTTTTACTAATCATGCGAGGTTCCTGTGATTAACTAAATCAAATACTCTGATTACTTTTTAAAAAAAAATTTAAAGTGAAGGGACAAAAGGAGAAAAAACAAAATGGAAAACTTCCGGACATAATATATAAATATTGTTTTATGCCTATGGGATACTCATGCCTTACATCTCTCTTTTCTTCTTTCCAGTCCTCTTTTTTGCATACAAACCTTCAACTGAATCCCCCAATCTAACGATTTTTTCAACCTGTCCGCCAGTTCAAGCGCCAAAGCGAATTAGGGGGACTCCGATGGCTCATGGGAATATGCCCCCGATTATCCAAGGTCCCGTCCACCATCGCTGCCTCTTCCAACCTCCTCCGCAAGCGAGGGGGACTCTGATGATCCTGTTGTGGAAATAAATGATATGAAGAACAAACTGGAACACAACTCTTCCTTGGTCCATTATTGGACTCAAAAGTATGTCGGAGCTTAGCAGAAGTTGGCTTATTTGACTCCACAAGTTAACAAAGCTTGTTATAGAAAAGAGAAGCAGAGAATTCGTGCCCAAAGAAGAAAGCACACATCAGAGGATTTGCATATGACAGAGGAGGAGGCGACAACCAAGGCCAGACAATGTCTGTGGCTTTCAACGAAGGTTTTGAGAAATTCCGACAGTTCGCTGCAGATGTCCACAAAGATATTGACTGGGACGCCATAACCCCATCTGCTGCACAGGAAATCATCTCCAGCGGTGCACACCGAACAAAACAATGCCACCAACCAGCAAAAGGCAACGATAATGACTAGTGATAGCCATATCACTCTGTAGGCAATCCCTTAGCAGTTGTTTGTTTTTAAAATGCCCGATCTGCGTTACTGTTTTAATGTTAATGCCTGATCTTGCTTACGTGCAGCTTATTATTTCCTTTTACACTACTATCAAACCTAGAGTTCAATCACAGTTCGATCACTAACTTCCGGATTAGAAGCGTTCATTTTGTAATGGTGCTCACAATTTTTTGTTTAATTCATTGTCAGTGTAGAGACAATTTGTTTCAAGATTCTTTGACACAGATATTCATTGGTTGAGACATTACAAAGACATAGTGATTGTTTCAAGATTCTGTTACTGACACATAGTCATGGTTTCAAGATTCCCTTGGATATTTTCATATTCATTGCAACCATTGCAAATTTGTGTAGAAAACCCCTTGCATGATTCCCCCAAACTCATTCTCCTTCAAACAAGGGCTTCAGGTTCTGAAAATCCCAAAGCCCCAGAGGACATCCGGGACATCCACATTCAACAAAAGATTTTTCCAGCAACTCAAGGTTACGCATTGAAAGCGTGGTGCTGTTCACGACCAAAAAATATGTAAATAGGTATCAATAAATGTTTAAACTCCAGGACCATAAATGAAATCAAACTCTTCCAGATAGTTATGTGTTTAATAAACCATAGTTCAGTATCAATGGACATGAGGCGTTTACCTAAGATTCACTAACGCTTCCAGATACTTTCAAAAACGATGTAAATAAGTATCAATAAGTGTTCAAACTCTGGGACCATACATGAAATCAAACTCTTGCATAAATGACTCTGTCATAGTAGGTTCACTGTCCTGCGTGCTCTGAGTGGGCTGCAAATTCTCACCAACTAGACCACCAAGTTTTGTGTCGGAAGATGAAGAGCTGCCATATCGGAAAAAAAATAATAATAAACGTCAACAACATAAATTTCAAAGCACAATATGACACATATTCACTTACGGGCTCGCAAGTTTTGGACAACTCCATCTATCATGATTAGTCTTCCTACATTCAGTGCACCGACGTTTATGTCGTTGCGTTGCCTTCTCTTTTTCTCCTTTAACTCTTTTCGCACGCCCTTTTACTTTCACTCAATGTGGATCTTTGATTCTGAGTTGGGGATAACTAGTTCCGACATCTCCATTGGGTTCTTCAACATGAGCTCTTGATGACACCAACCTTGTAAGCTTCCCACGAATGTCCTCAAAAGATTTTTCCAGCAACTCAAAACCTTCATCCCACAACAAAGCCAAATCAATCAAATCACTTGCAACTTTGCAAACTTTCGATCTCTTGACCAAAACCAAACCATCAATGCAATTGTTAACTTCTTTGTAATTCTTATCATATATTACACCACTTTTTGCACTTTGAAGCCATCGTTTCAATATTTACTTGTCTGACAAGTGCTCAACTTGCTTCATTCTTAAGAATGCTAGGATGTGCCAGCACAGAATACCCCAAATTCAAATCCTTTGCAGCTACAATAAGCTTTATCGGCATCTTTATCATGCACAAGCTCCTTCATCCGTGTCACTCCCGGATTTACCCGCTCACTTACTTTGTATCTGCACTGAGTCTCATCTTGCTCTACAAGTTCGAACAAGCATAAAAGACTTCTGAAGTCTTCCCTTTCAAACATTTCCAGAATTTCTCGAGCGTAAATGCGTCCCATTTGATGTTGCATTGGTGTTTTAAATGGCAGTGGAGGTTTTTTATTGTTATCAACATGATCAGCCATTAACTCCTTGTGTCTTTGTGAAGCAAGAGCTCTCTCAAAACGTACAATGAATTCCATCAATGTGTTTTTCCAGTTAATATATTGTTTGACAAATGAATGACAGCTTTCGGCCCGTTGACTACTTGACATCCCAGCCGAAAACACATGTTTTACATATGATGAATTGAGCTTAGCCACGCAAGTCGAACAAGCATAAAAGACTTCTGAAGTCTTCCCTCTCAAGCATTTCCAAAATTTCCCGAGTGTAAATGCATCCCATTTGATGTTGCATTGGTGTTTGAAATAGCAGTGGAGGTTTTTCATTGTTATCAACATGATCAGTCATTAACTCCTTGTGTCTTTGTGAAGCAAGAGCTCTCTTAAAACGTACAATGAATTCCATCAATGTGTTTTTTCCGGTGAATATATTGTTTGAAAAATGAATGATAGCTTTCGGCCCGTTGACTACTTGACATCCCAGCCGAAAACACATGTTTTACATATGATGGAACCCAATTCTCCCGCATAGCATGAATTGATCTCAGCCACGCATGGTCTAGCAACCCATTGTTTGTGATGATTTCCTCCCATTTCGCATCAAATTCTTTTTTCTTGTCCATACCCCATATGCATTTGCACATTTCCGAAAAACATTCTCCAATGCCGGGTTTCTCTGTAATCTTATTCAAGATATGCCATATGAAATATCTATGGAATGTTGTCGGGAGAGTTACATCAATTGCCTTTGACATGGTTGCATCTTGATCAGTGATGATAACTTTGGGTGGCTCACTCAACATGGCTTTCTTGAATTCCTCTAACAACCATACAAATGAATCCGTGGTTTCGCTAGTTAGGAATGCACAACCAAACAACACTGTCTACCGATGGTTATTAACGCCTAACATAGGCGCAAAGACCATCCCATAGTGGTTCGTGTTGAACGTCGTATCAAATACCACCACATCTCCAAAAAAAACCCATAAGCTCGTCTTGATCTTGCATTTGACCAGAAAACATTACCCATCCTTCCTTCCGAATCTACCTCCATCTTGAATTAAAAGGATTCATTCTTTTCTTGCATAGCCATAAAATGCTCCTTAAGCAGCTCTGCATCATGGCCAATCACCTCTCCATGCACGTCCCTTAGATAATTATAGACATCTCTCTTAACAAACCCAACATTTTCCATTCCCTCTACTTGCATCTTAAGAAGGCTTAACTGTTTATGTACCGGAATATTAACTTTGCTCATATTTGCACTATACACCTTTGTAGACTCTGTTAAGTTACGGTGAGATCTTAATAGATGGACTTTATCAACTGTGGTCATGTCATGGTTGTGTACCTCATTGAATCTTACAACAATGTACTTATTCTTGTCTTTCACCTTCAATATCGCAAGTTTAGCCTTGCAACCAGTTCGAGTACAACCTCGCTGTCTTCTCTTACGACTAACAATGCTTGTCAACGCATACCCCTGTTTACAACATACATATTCCTTCCTTGTTACCTCTCCTATCAGTGTGCACGTCCTCGTTGTAGAACACCGAATGCCGAATCTAGCTTCCACAACATACATATTATAGAAATTGAACACATCGTCACAACAATCAAATTCAAGTCCCAATTTTGGTTTCAACTCTGACCTTGCTTCTGGTGTTACCTGTCCTTCACAATCCATTTCACAGTTCTTGCAATTTAACCCTGAATTAACCACCATCATACCAACATTGGCACATGCTTACAAAGAGCTTTAAAATATATATATTAACTAACATATGACATGAAAATGATTCCCTGGTGAAATATTAAAGACTTACATACAAACTAATGTAACTCATACTTATGCCCAATAATAAACTTGACAAATACAGTATAAAGAGCTTCGAAATATATATATTAACTAACATATGATATAAAAATGACTCTCTGGTGAAATATTAAAGACCAACATACAAAATGATGTAACTCATGCTTATGTCCAATAATTAACTTGACACATACAGTATAAAGAGCTTTAAAATATATACGTTAACTAACATATGATATGAAAATGATTCTCTGGTGAAATATTAAAGACCTACATACAAACTAATGTAACTCATGCTTATGCCCAATAATAAGCTTGACAAATACAATATATCACTTACCTCGTGAGTCATTTCCAACCCCTGTTTCTCTGGACGTCAACCCCACACACTTTTCTTCTTCCTCAACCCCTGTTTCAACTATGCTCAATGATTTCAAAACCAAGAGAACAGCACAACGGTCACGGTCACCAGTTTCCAACTCAAGACGTTGCTCAAGGATTGACGAATGTTCCGACCAGAAAGATCGAATGAGAAACCGAACAGCCGAATGAGAAACCCAGAAAATTGAGGGCTATACTTCTGTGTTCTTCTTGGAATCGAATAAGGAATAACAGGGGCGCTCTCTCTTCAGTGTTATTGGCCTTGCTTATCAAAGCTGATAAAAAAATTGGCCACTTAGTTGAACAAACCAAACAGCTGGATTGGAGGGGACGTCTGTTTTGGAGGGGATGTCAGTTTTTGACTCGACGTTTTGGAGGGAGGAGAGAGAAGAAGGCCTCGTTCTAATACAACATTTACACTTACAATCCATATATACCAGTCACAACTGGAAAGTCGGTGTGTGTGAAGAGTTGTGTGCCCACGAAGTGCCACGAAGTGGTTGTCACGACATGAACATTATCCAGAAAAATCAAAACTTCCCTCCATGATATCTAACTTTTTTTTGGTCTAATCCATGATATCTAACTTGTTTCTTCACCAAACCAAGCAAAAAATATATCGATTTCATAGTATTTCTGAAGGACTACAACCTCATCCAATTGGTTTCTTAATAACATGTAGGAGATTCAAATTAACAAATTTAGTTATATACTCAATCTTAAACCTAATCTTATAAAGAAACCCTATACTGTTTAAAAACTATAAACACATAAATAAAAAATCCAAAAATTGATAGCTGTTAATTTTTTAAAAATTTAATAGCTACTTTTTAATTTATTTGTGTGTGTCAAATACCTATACTGCCCTTGTACTATGGATTTGAGAGAGAAAAATAAGATCTGCTAACAGTAAATTTTGATAATAATATTAAATTACCAACAAAACCAAATTAGATTCATTTTATCCTTTCTCGCTACTGCTTTCTCGGTGTTGGAGCAAGAAGAACTTCCATTGAAGCTCAATCTTAGGTTCAACTACATTCTTCATCTCTAATCTACAATTTTCAATATCTCACTTTTGATTTCTTGTAATAAAATCATGCTTCTATTCATAATTTTTTTTTCCGGCTTGTTCGGAACCTCGAACTAACCTCGGTCATATGCTCTTAGCTCTACTCCTCATCTTCGAGCTCCGATTTCAAATTTTTTGCTTCGAATTCTTGTGAAATCTTTATTATACTTGGATCGTTGGTTTTCTTTTTGGATGTTGGTTTGTTTTGTTCTTTCTTCATCCTTTGTGTGGTAGACATGTATTAGAAATAGCAACATGACAACCATTAATCAACTAGCAGTGTTATTACCCTCGACTGGAACATTACAGCCATTAATCAACATGACAGTAAACTACCAATGTTATTACCCTAGACTGGAACATTACAACAATTAATCATCGTGACAGTAAATTAGCAGTGTTATTACCCTAAACTGGAACATTACGACCTTTAATCATCGTGACAGTAAATAGTAGTGTTAATACCCTAGATTGGAACAGTACTGCCATTAATCAAAATGACAGTAAATAGCAGTGTTAATACCCTACAACCATTAATCAACATGACCGTAAACTATAACAGTATTATTACCCTAGTGGTAGATGTAGTTGTGTTCTTTGAAAAAAGAAAAAGAAAAAACCGGCTACAATTTTCGAGACGTTTTCTTTATAATGAATTGCTTGGGTTTTTTATTTATTTATAAAATTGGGTTGGTCTTGTTTTCGATGTTTTTTGAGTTTTTTGTGTTGGGCTTTTTTGTGTTGGGCTTTATTTATAAAATTGGGTTGGTCTTGTTCACGTAATTTATAGGAACTTAAACACCAATTTCTTATGTAATAAATGAGTTTTGGGTGTGTTCCTAAAATGCATTCCATGTGGGTTTTTTATTTGTTTATAATTTCAGTCCCTATTTTGAGTATATTAATAAAGACCCCATTAAAATTTGGTATGTTGATGGTTCCATATTAAATTTATACAAATTTATAAATAAACCCAATCCTAGACATGTATTTATAAAAAAACTCAAGCACTATTTAAACATAGAAACACACCCAAAATCAACCCCAAAGTCAACTTTTTGGGTGTGTTTATAAATGGGTTTTGAGTGTGTGTAATGATGGGTTTTGGGTGTGTTTATATGTTTAAATAGTGCTTGGGTTTTTTTATAATTTCAACCCCATTTTGGGTGTTTTAGTGACACTCCCTTAAATTTAAGCCTAAGGACAACTAATACTTCAATATGTCCCAGATGTAGCCATACAAAGAATCAACAAGAAGCATACTATAATTTGAAAGAGAAGAATTCTACTCACCTTTCAATTACAAGAGTGCAACACTCCCCGCTTTTATTATTATTATTATTATTATTTTGTTTTGCTTTCACTATGAGAGTTACGGTTTTTCTTTTTTCTACCTCCCTCCTATCCTCTCTTCATTTCTAATGTATAAAGGGTTTTGATTCCTTTTTTAAATTAAGCCAACAACCTAGCAAAAAATTAGGGAAAGCCCAATAGTAAAATTAAATTAAATAAAACTAATAGGAAAGCAACCCCAAAATTTCGTAGCAAAGAAAACCCCAAAAATTCTCATTAAAGGGATTATGACAATTCTACCCTTGTTAAACAAATTTCCTCCTCAAAACTTACGTACTTTATTTGTCGAATAAGTAAGGCTACTTGGTTCTCGTTCTAACTCCAATTCTCAGGAAGCATAACCTTCATCATGAGTATTCCATAACACTTGAACCAAAGGAACCTCCTTCCTACGAAGCTGCTTTGTCTTTCGATCAACAATACGAATTGGTGTCTTCACATAGGAAGCATACTCCTTAAAAATCAATGTACCTTGATCAATGACATGCGATTAGTCTCTGTTTATACCCTATCTGATGACTAATGAGGAGGTCAGATGTGGAAAATTAGAAGCCATTGGTAGGGGAGTGTTCAGCACCCCTTACTACCGAACACAACACAAGACCCCTTTGCCAATCATTTCATTCTGGGACACGTGGAGCCACCACAGGCAATATCAACAATCTCACATGGAAGTTTCACTCAACATGCAAACATCCCAAGACTATAAAAGTGGGCACAAGTCCCAAAAAGGAGGCAATAGAGACGTTTAGCAATTCATCCATTACTTTGTCCAAATTACTATACACTTTATACTTATTTTACTTAAGCACTGAAGAGCCTTCTGCCGATACCACACCGGTGTCTAAGGGCTTACCAAGTGTTTTCTATCTTGTAGATCGATCGCTCTACCAAAGCTTAGAAGGTGACCGAATGTCAAAGCATCACTAAATTGGGCCCAAAAGTACTGAACCATTTTTTAGCATCAATAGTTTGGCGCCGTCGGTGAGAAGCGACACTAATCGATTCACAAACTCTATCATACCTAAGATGGGGATTACATCCGTACCGTTGTTCTTGCCAACATAAGGGTTATCGTTTGGAGAGCAGGGTGGAGCAAGCCGAACGCTGCCCCTATGCACTTCAGTTGGTGATTCGTCAGCACAAAAACCACTACCGACGCAGAACTCTTAGCCCAGATCATGGTAAAATTGCAGGAACGCAACAACATTCTCTCATCCAAAGTGGATGAAACACAACAGCAACAGACTTAGAACATTCAAACCGATTAATCTTCCCAGAGCTTGCAAACCCCTAATTTGTAGAAGAAAGGAACAAGGGGGGAGAAGGCAGCACCCCCACCTTCTAAGCACTTGGTCGTCTTATCTCCCAGGAATAATTCCATCTTCCACAGAAGGTTTAGTCCGATTGTCGCCACCGCTTGATGGATCGACAAGAGGAAAGAGACAGGTCACCGATTAGGACTTAGGCAAGCCTTAACGATACTCAAACATGGATCTTGGGTAATAAATCACCCATTCGGCGAGTGGAGTGTTTGGAATCCACTGGGGACTTAGGTCACTAGTATATTCCATCTGAGACTTAAAGGGCTGCCCACCGTTCGGCAACGCCTACGCGATACTTAGAAATCTACTCCAGGAGGTCGCCACGCTGTTTGAAAGATTATGGAGAAGGAGAAATCCCTAGCTGAGATCCCGTCATTCGCATTCTTTTACAAAAGGTTCAGAAATTGCAGGATGACAGAACCCATTCCTAAGAACCAGAGTGGAGTACGCTTCGACTAGGATCGTTCACCGAACGCATCAAAAATTCCAAACAGGATATTATTACAAGACGAGGTTGAGCTCGCCATCAACAAGATGATTTTACAATTAAGAATTATTACATGAAAGTTATTTTTTAATGCTGCAATAGATTCTCAACTCCAAGAATTAAATAGTAGATTTAGTGATCAAACAGTAGAGCTGCTTATTTAGGGGTCAGCTTTGGATCCTCGCGAAGTGAATAAATATTTTAGAACTGATGATATTTGTCAATTGGTAGATAAGTTCAACCTGCAAGACTTTGAAGATCATGAGAAGATAGGTTTGAGAAGACAACTTCAACATTTTGAGAGTGACGTAGTTCGACTTCTAGAGTTCATAAACTTGTTAGCAATTTCTGATCTTTCTCAATAGATGGTAATGACTAGAAGATCAACGACATATCCACTTGTTTATAGAGTGGTTGTGCTTGTGCTTACTCTTCCTGTTTCTACAGCAACTGCAGAGCGATCATTTTTTGTTATGCATATAGTAAAAACTAGGCTTCGTAACAAGATAAAAGACGAATTTCTTACAAACTCTTTGATTATGTACATCAAAAGAAAAATTGCAGAAAGGTTTAGCATTGACTCAATCATAGATGGTTTTCGAGATATGAAAGAATGAAAAGTGTTATTTTGATTCCTAATTGAATAAACAATTATTTCCTGCCTTTAATTTTTCCAAACATTGTTAAGGTTGAAAAACTGAAAATTTTAATGTCTTGTTTGGTTTATATGTTGGCCCCCCAACACATAAATTCCTGGCTCTGCCACTGGCCATATGAGTGGATCTTACTAAATCTTTGGTGCCTCAGGTTGAGTCACTGTTTTACCCTTTGAAGACCTTGTAGCCTTTCCTTTCTTTGGTGCCTTTTGTAGAGCCAATGTTTTTCCCTTTGAAGACCTTATACCCTTTCCCTGCTTTGGTGCATTAGGTTTTGAGAAATCCCCAACATCATTCACTGCTTCTTGCTCCACTATCTTCACCTTATGTGGCTCAGGGTATTTAGTTGGCTGTTCAACATTGCTCTTTGTCTTATAAGGAACAACAGGACTACAATAAGCATATCCTAGATCCTCAATCACCACTGACCTTTGTTTTTGTGCCCCGGAACCTTCAACCCTTTGCAGCTCCATCTGTTTGTGTGTTGTTTAAAAAGGTATAAGGGTCATCAGCCAACTGTGTCAAATAAATATCTATCTCCCTCACTCTTGGCACACATTCAAACATTTTCATAACAACTTTATCAGAGAGAAGCTTTTCTATAGAAGAAGAGTTGGGAAACTCATAGTGATATAACACTATACCTTCATAGCCTAACTCCTTAACCATCAGACCAATTTCAAGCATAGACATTTGGTCTTTATCTCAAAAATCAATGAAGTCCAGAGTCCCATTTACATACAGGTTGTCACATATAGAACCCCCACGGTTCATTTGAATAGTAAAATTATCACCTTCACCTACAAAGCCACATAACAGTCAAACCTATCAATAAACAATTGTTGAATAAGAAATGGTGAATAAGAAGGACATAAACAAATGCAGAGGTCTTGGACCACTAAGTATTGTCTGGAATCAAAAGCAATTTGGTATGACAAAAAAAGTGCTTTTTTATGCTTTTCCAACAATTGACCGACAGAAATCGACCTTTTATGCTTTTCCAATAACACACCGACAAAAATGGACCACAAATATCACTTTCTCAAGCACACTTTAAAGCAAATCAAAGGTTCAGAAAAAACAAAACCGCAAGCCCTTTACGATGAAACCAAAGAGCTAGAAGGAATAAAACCCCAAGCAACTTATAGTAACTAAGAGCACGACAGCCAGGAGGACAAAATCCCCACGACATCTCGACTTACAGTCACCCAACCTTCTCTGTGGTTTCGATCGATGCGAAATGAGGATTAGGTTTCAATTTGGGGTATAAGTTTCAATTTGGGGAGGAAATCGATTTGGGTGGGGGAGGGGGCTCTGGACGATATGGGTTTTTTTTTGTTTTTTTGGAATTAATGAGCGCCACGTATTGTTTGGGCATGAAACCCGTGGATATGAGATGTCGAAAATGCCCTTAAAAAATCGTTCAGCTAGGTAGATAACGGATTTTCTGATGATCTCGCTAACGGAGGGGGCAAATTGTATAGTTTCCGTGAGGTTGAGTATGTACTGGTAAATGTCTCTAAAATTGGGTATGAACTTGAAAATGACCCTATAGGTTGGGGGTTTTATTTAGTTTGTCCTGAGTTTTATTTTTTTATTTATCAAAAGATGAATAAGTTTTTTACACAAAGACTGATACATCAATAATAAGTGAAGTCAGCGATGGACCTAAGATTTTGTCAATATGCAAAATATATTCAAAGAATAGGAAGAATTAAGCTATGAGATTAATTAGTAGGGGCTTTTAACTGTGCTAACTTGATTTTTTTATTTTTTTATTATCATTAAGTAGGGGGGCAAAGACCCTAAGTTGAATTTTTTTTTCTTTAATACAAACCGATTAAACTAAAATACCCCCCATATGTATTTAATTAAGACTTGACTCCACTATAGTTTTTCCTAGTAATTAAGATAACTTTTTACATTATTCGTAATCTCACTAAGTCAAAGTAACAACGGGCCTCTACAATTAGGGTCTTTAGATCTAATGGTCCCTGAATTTTAACCTGATTCGCATTTTGGTCTCCCAATTTTCAAAATTATTCTCTTAGTCCTTCAACTTCAGTTTCGTTAGGACAAATGGTCTTACCGTCAATTTTGTTGTCTTTTCTGTTAAATGCATGGGCAAAATGATAATTTTGTATTATTTTTAATTTCCACCATCTGAATATTTCTTTCACCCAAAAATTAAAATAAAAACTAAAACCTTCTTCCTATCATTGCCACAGTAGCCACAACCTCTCCAACCCAACCCCACCTAAACACACACAACCCACATGGCTTTGTTGCCAGGGTGGTGTGTTAATTGGCTCGGTGTCTGGTAGAAGTTGTCCATGGCTTTGTTGGATTGAATGAAGGGAGATATATCATTCTTCGATTGGTGATGGGTTTTAATGGGCTTGACTTGGGGAGGGAGGAAGATATATGGATGGGGAGAGTTAAGCCACAATGGTGGGGGAGTGAGTGTGGGTTTGGGTGAACTAGGAATTGCCCATGTACCCCGGAGTGAAGCAATTCTTGATTTTGACCCTCAACAGTACACCATGCACCATGCACCATGCACATACTCAAATTTAATAGAAAAAGTTAACAAAACTGACGGCATGACCATTTGTCCTTACAAAACTAAAGTTGAAGGACTACGGGAACGATTTTAGAAATTGAGGGACCAAAATGCAAATGGAATCAAAATTCAGGGACCATTAGACCTAAAAGCCCCTACAACTATATCCATAGATGCAATTGGATAAGGATTACTCCTATTGTCAAACAAATCCACTACTTATTTCATATTCCTGGGTATATTCATCACATGCAATTAAGCCAATTGGTTACGCATAGTTCGGGCTCGTTTGGGAGTGCTTCTTCCCGAAGCGCTTATGCTAGTAGAGTTTATGCCCATAGCGCTTATGACATAAGCGCTTCTACAAAGAAACGAGTTCGATTTCGAATTGAGCAGCAACATTAGACGTCACAACAGAGCCACCCCCACCAACAACACCATAACCCAACTCAGCAGGCAATGTGAACAATGCAATCTCTCCCTTCATCATAGAGATGACGCCATGATCCAAACCCTTCACCACTTGACCCTCACCGAGCTTAATGGTGAGAGCCTCATCTCTATCTCTGGTCGACTCGAATTTCGTCCCATCAAGCTAGTGCACTAAAATTATAATATAATTTTTGCGGGTAGTGTTTTGGTTTTAATATGAGAGAAAAAAAGAGAGAAAGAAAGAAAGAAAGAAAGAAAGGGTATTTTGGCATTTAAAAAAATTAAACATGGGTATTTTTTGCATTTTAAAAGTTTCATTAAAGGGAAGGAGCCAAGTGCTTCCTGTGTTTTTGTCCTACAACGCTTGTAAGAAGATGCACCTCTCAAGTGCTTCTTCCAAAATCACTCCAAGTGCTTTTGGATCTAACCCAAAGAACTTTTGCAATTTCTGCCAAACACCATTTTTAAAAGACAGAAACGCTTTCACCCATTTAGAAGTGCTTTTCGCTATTCCAAAAACACTCCCAAACGAGCACTTCATGACTAAAACCACTAAGAATGGTATATTCGAGAGGGGGAGGGGCTGCGGTGGAGGTGGTGGTGGTGGTTGAGGAAATGAGCTATGTGAGAGAGGAGATGTGCGTAGGGGGTGCTTTTTACTTTTTTTTATAAATAATTTTATTAATTACAAAATACAACTGAAATTTGGACGCAAATTGTGAGAAATGGGTGGGTAAAGAACATTTCGGGGGTGTGTCTAGATGATAAATTGCTATAAAAAATTTGTTTGGGTGGTGAATGGACACACCCCTAATAGTTTAGATGGTAGATGAGTAAAATTCCCTTATTTTTATTAATATCTTATGTAGAAAAAAAAAGAATAATATTACCTAAAATTATCTTTTAAAAACAACCCTCATTAGAACACTTGTGTGAAACGGGGATAACACTATTTTGCTATCTCCGGCCAATCACGGCATGCCATGCGTGATAAATTTTTCACGTGGCTATCTGTGATTGGTTGGGGATAGCAAAACAGTGTTATCCCTGTTTCATACAAATTTTTTTGCCTCGTTAGGTGCAACCCGAATGACCCCAACGTTAGCATCCAGCCCCATTCTCCTCCTTTATTTTCCCTTCTTTCTCTTTCCTAATTCGGATGGATCAGTCTCTAGTTCGCTTTCCTCTTCTTCTTTCGCTGGTTCTCTTTCCTCTTATTCTTCTCTCTCTCTCTCTCTCTCTCTCTCTCTCTCTCTCTCTCTCTCTCTCTCCTCTCTCTCTCTCTCTCTCTCTTTCCCATATGGCACTTGATCTAGTTTGTCTTTGCGAATTAATAACCACCAAACTCACCGAAGCAAGTTCAAGCGGCGTCGTTTTATACAGATGTGTCAGAGCTTTGGGTGATCTTCGAGCCAAGCATTGTCAGTGCCATGTTTGTAGGCGGTTGGTGGTTCTGGGTTGACCTCGTCATTAATGCAGCTTCATCAAGGTTTGATTCATCTACTACCTCCCTGGTTTGACTCAACCCGACCAATTTATTCTCTCTCTCTCTCTCTCTCTCTCTCTCTTTGTGCCACTAGTTGATGGTTGGTAGTGGTTTGATTGGGAGATGATGGTCATTAGTAGAGGTGTCAAGTGGATCGGGTCAGTCCGAGCATGGCCTACTCTCTCTCCTCTCTCTCTCTCTCCCACTAGTTGATGGTTGGTAGTGGTTTGATTGGGAGATGATGGTCATTAGTAGAGGTGTCAAGTGGATCGGGTCAGCCTGAGCATGGCCTAGCACAGCTCGTATCTTTGAGCGGGCTAGGATGAGGTAATCAGGCCTAATGGGTTGTGCCGGCTAGTTTAAAGCTTCTTTAGTACATTATATTTATTTTAGAGAAAAATAATACATAATATTACTACATTTATATCTTAAATTTAAGTCTATTTCTTTTCTCTAATATATTAAAATTTAATGTTTTCTTTACATATAAAATAATGATTTTGTTTTTCAAGTTTCAAATTTTAAAATTCAAACAATAATGTAGTCATTTTCAATTTAAATGTACTTTAAATAATTTTATTGGCCTCGTTTTTCAACAAATAATAAATCTTGCTTGTATATACATAATTGTAAATATATAAATAAAAAACATAAGTCAAATTTGGTGTGGGCCCATCTCGTCCCGTTTAGTGGCCCGATACGAGCACGGTTCGAGCTCATATGGGATAAAGCCGAAATTGATGATTTTCATAAATAGATGGGCCTGACATGACCCATTTATTAAATAGGCTGACTCTAAACGAGTAGAGCCAAACTAACTCAGCACGCCCATTTGACACATCTAGTGATTAGACTAGGTTATGGTGGTGATGTGGATTGAGTTTTTCCGGGTTATGGTGGTTTGAAGAAATGGATTTGCCTTTTTGTGAAATGATGGTTGAGATATGAACTTCTTTTTCCATGATATGATTTGTTTTTCTTTTTTCTTTTTTTTCCCGATCTCTTTATTCTTGTTTTTATGTAGTTGCAATTTAGCTTTTCCTCATTGAAAGGAAAATTGAAGTACATTTCTTTGCTAAGTTCTTGGTTATGAGTCAAAAAGCCTACATAGGTTTTAGGTGTTGAACTGGTGTGCACGTATACTATGCCAATTTGCCAAAGGTTCGACTTTCATGTTCAATGTCTCCAATAGTATCTCACTCTGAATTCAGCCAAAGGGTAAGTCCTTATCACAAGGAAGTACACAAGGCGCACCGAAAGGGTTCGGCTTCCAGAAGTTAGATCCATATCATAATCATCCTCATTTTGCACTTTTGACATGTCGTGGCTGCTATGCAACGCCCACACATCACACCAAGAATGACGCTAATTGTCTAGATTCCGGGACAAGGCTCCACCTCACCAAGATTATTTTTAAATCCACACACTTCTAAAAGAAGAAGAACCAAAGTTTGCAGCCTCTTAATAAATGAAATTAATTTTCAATGGTCTGTGCAATTAATTTGCTTGAGATTTTCCCCAGATTTTTAGATTTTTCTAATCCTCTTAGAAAAGGTTTTGCCATTAATTAGTCTGATGATTCATGCATATATATAATTCATGCCAAATCAAAATGGGCCCCTTTGTACAGGGAAATGTTAAGGAACATGCATATAGTGAGTTTTGCATTTCATTTAAAAATACACGTGCGTACAGTGGTCAGCCTGGACCTCCTATAAATATGCAAGCGAAAAATAACGAAACTACAACTTCTAATTGAGTTACCTAGAGCTCAAGAAAACACATATATAAATTAGATAAGAAGAAGAAGAAGAAGAAGAAGAAACGTAGGATGGAGTATGAGGTGCATGGAAATGAGCCCGTGAGTCCTACTGGGCAATGCCTCAACAGCTCTGTGCTATCCATGTCAATTCTTGGTGTTTTGGAATTTGAGATTCCAATCAATGAATCGAAGATCTTGTCATTCCTTCAGGATGTCTTCCTCAATATCAGCCCTCGATTCTCTTCCATCATGGTTGTTTTTTTCCCTCTCTATTCTTTTCTACCGTAAACCCTAGTGTATATATATATATAGCTTTAATTGTGGAATTCCTCAAAATATTCGCCGTTAAAAGACAAACTGTCAATAACAAAAGCATCTTATCGATGCAAAATCGATCCTTAAGAAAGGATTCCCATATATATACATACATATGGTTAAATTTCTTAATTAGACTATTATGGGGCATATGAATGTATACTTCAATCTATATTAGAAGAAAAAGAAAAACACATGCATTTTGTGCATTTGTACTTATTTTGGATCATTACAAGTAGATATCATATTTGTTTTCAGTTAAAACTTTGGATGTAGCTTTGTTTTAATACTTTATGCGGTCAATTTAAAAATTATTGATGAGCATTTTATCATATGACTAAAAGGAAACTAAAACAATATTGAAAAACGTGCAGGTTGACATTAACGGAGAGAAGCAATGGAAGAGGGTTGAAGTGAAGCTTAGAGATCACGTCCATGTTCCTATTTTTCCATCTGGAATGTCACCTAAATCTTATGATGATCATTTTCAAGACTATATTTCAAACATAATACTTGCACAATATCCAAAAGACAAACCACTATGGGAAGTTCATATAATCAAGTACCCAACAAGCAGTGCAGCTGGTAACCTAATATTCAAGCTTCACCATGCCCTTGGTGATGGCTACTCCTTTATGAGTGCCCTGCTTTCTTGTCTTCAAAGAGCTGACAATCCTCTTCCATTAACTCTTCCTTCGCGCCGGGGATTGCAGCGGGGTGGTGACAGTGGAAGTATTTTCAGGCGGGTGTCTGAAACTTCTGCCTCGGTTTTTGACACTCTGAAAGATTTCAGCTGGAACTCTTTGTTTCAAGATGATCGCACACCAATAAGATCTGGGAATTATGGAGTCGAGTTTCTGCCAATGACAGTATCAAGCATCACATTCTCCCTTGATGAAATCAAACTTATCAAGACCAAGCTCAACGTGGTAACAAACTTATCAAGCATAACATTCTCCTAACTTACCTAGTTCGTTTTCATTATTTTTTTACACTTATTTTACTTTACTAATTTTCACACTTAGTAACAAACTTTAATTACCAGCCTCATGTCCTCAATCTCACTCACCCGATATTTTCATCTCAATCATATTTTGCCTAGTACGTAACACCACATGGCATTGTGATTATCACACCAAGAAATGACTCCCAAACTTAAAGCGGAGAGTTTGAAATTTCCCATCCTTTAAAACAAGATACACTTGTCATATAACGACCTATCATCCTACCATAAACCACCAAAAACCAAGTCGGGTGTGAGCACTAAATGAGAAAGTGACTTTCGCCCAAAAAAAAAGAAAAGAGAAAGTGACTACACATAGGCATTATTTTCGCAAACATCATTTCAGGTACACAGTTGTACGAACTGACTTCTTTCATGTATCTCGTGTTTAACATTGTTTTTTTTCTTTTTGTGGCAGACGGTAAATGATGTGATATCTGGAGCACTGTTCTTTGCCACTCGACTGTACATGCAAGAGAAGAGCCAAAAATCAAGCACTGCAAGTTGCACAGCCTTGGTTTTGGTCAATACCAGGATCACTCATGGTGATTACAAGCCGATCAAAGAGATAATCAAACCGGATTCCGAGATGCCGTGGGGGAACCGAATGGCCTTCATGCCGGTGACCATGCCCAAGTTAACTGAATTTTCAAACCCACTGGACTTCGTGTTCAAGGCACAAAAGCTTATAAAGAGGAAGAGAAGTTCTTTTGCTGTTTACATTAACAACAAGATGTCAGAAATCGTGAAGAAAATTAGTGGCTACGAGGTGGCCATCATTCCCAAATAAAGAAAACATAATTAATATCCATTGACATCCGTGACATAAAATGAGGTGGCTAAAAACACTGTTGGCTTAGGTCCTAATATAACTAACACATGATTATTTGTACCTACGGTGCCCTTAGATCCTAATAGTGCTTTTAGCCAACTCATCTATCACATCATACCAATCACTATTAATTTTTTTTCTTGTAGCGTAATGTATTTGTTTTCCTACATACTTAGATAGAAGAATATATAACATAATGTATTCTTCCTCTGGAATTGGTACCGGTGTTGCAGGGAGCATCAAGATACATGCACAGCAGATTGAAGAACTCGAGCTTCATGATATCAAATATGATAGGGCCAACGGAGCAAATGGCTTTGGCGGATCATCCAGTTAGAGGAGTTTACTTTATGGTGTTAGGTATCCCGCAGGTATGTGGTTAATACTTATTACTGTCCATTTGCGGAATTTTATCGTGTGTCAATTATATTTCACATTTATCTTAGAATACACATCACATAATCACAGTGATCCGCAAGATAAATATTATATGTAACCAGCTTGATATTAGTCTTTTTTTATTGCGACTTGCGATGGGCTGTGACATTGTGGTTGGGGATGGGGTGTGCTGGTACTTATAGGTTTTTTCCTAATTTTGGTGAGTCCTTCCCATGTTCGGTCCTTGGATAGTTGTAGAACAACTGAAATCTTAATCATTTTGTCTATTCATGTTACAACACGTGCACGGGTTATACCACATAATCGTATTCTAGTATCATACAATCAGTTTCATAGTCTGATTGCAATGTTTCGCTTAATGGTTTTACAGGACCTTATCGTAACAGTAGTCAGTTATATGGGAAAGCTGAGGATTGCCTTCGGAACTCAAAAGGGCCTTATTGATCCTGAGAAATTCAAGGCCTGCATGGAAAATGCCTTTAAGATGATACTTGAAGCCACAGACAATATTCCTACACAAGCAGTGGCAGATCCAGGGATTTTTCAGGGGAGGTGCAATATTTAAAAGGCTAAAAATTTGCAAAGGACTCCACAAGGTCCAAGGTTCAAGTTTAATATCCATGTAGACTCGTGGACATATTAGAAGCGCCTCTCTGCCGTTTGGCTTCATTTAATTATATCTGAATTGTGCTCAGTGAAATAAAAATTATGTTAATCTATGCTATTTTAATATGTTTGTGTGGTTATGTATAAAAGACCTCGATTTGGCTTCGTTTACGATCATATCTGAATTGTGCTTAGTGAAATAACAATCACATTAAATCTTTGTTATGTTATGTATGCTCGTTTTTGTTATGTATTATAGGGGAATAGTATAGAGAAGTAATGTGAAAAGCATAAAAAGATAATTGAATTTTCTATCGCAATTTGTGTTCTTATTCAACTTTGGTATCCATGTTTACCTGCTTATAAATGATGGAGAACTCATAATTTGTGGGTTGAAAATATAATTGTGGGAGCAAGATTTCACATGCGAATCACAAAATTACGTGTGGATAAGAATTGGAACAACAGACAACACTTCCCTTCAGCAAGAGGAAAAATAAAAGACAAAATCGTTGATGCAAAAGTGCCCATTCCATGGCATTAAATTCATAACCATTTAAGACCCACTACCTCACCATTTCTTTTTCGCTAACTCTCCACCATCAACATTTCTTTAATCTATTTGATCCATCATGATCCCTTCACTGCCCACCATGAATACATTAACCTTCTACTTACCTCATTGCCCATCATAAATTTGTCGTCCACTCTTTTTGCGAAGACACACCATTACGACATATTTCTTTCTCCATATCTTTCAAAGAATATGTTTTCATTGTTTTCAGTTGCTAGAACTCTAGCTAAGGTTAAAGGAAATGTTATTTGAGTAAGTTTCTGCATTGTTCTTTGATCCAACATATGGTATGAAATATTGCTATAATTTATTTTATTTTTTGTTGTTCAATACTCTCATCTCATGGTCTTTTAGTATAGTTGATGTTAAGTGCTATTATCTTTTTATGAGTTCAATTGTATTTTTCTCATTGTTAAGAACTGGCTTAGCACTCTTTTAATTTATAAGAACCGACATTGAGGAGTTCAATTTTTCTAAAATATCATTGATAAAAGATAAATATTGTAAAATTAAATTGATTTTAATTTATTAATATTCTGATTAAACTCCATGATAATTTTAATCAAGTTATAATTTGGATTAAAGAGTAAGAAACATATTTTTCTTAAAGAACTGAACCTTCGTGCATTTGTATTTCCATCATTGATATTTCGATCTTAAACTCAATCTCAACAATATTCAAATCAAATTACATTTTCATTTTTGTTGTCACTTTTATTCAGAACTTTTACTATCTGCCCCTTGAATATACAATACTTGGACTTTGCAACAAGTTTTTGGGTAGTAATATTGGAAGTCCAAGTATCCTATCCTCAATAAGCATATAGGAAAAAGTCTAAACACAAGTCGCAATTAAACGTACCAAAATGAAAACGACAACAAAAATGAAAAGGTGATTTGATTTGAATATTATAAGAAATATCAATGATAAAAATACCAAGGCATCAAGGTTTAATTCTTTAAGTAAAACATGTTTCATTCTCTTTAACCCAAATTATATCGATTAAAATTATCATAGAGAAATGTTGACCAGAAGATAAAAAAATTAAAACCAATTTAATTTTTCAATGTTACCTTTTAACAATGATATTGTTCAACATATTGAATTCTTTAATGTCGATTTTTTTAAATGAAAATAATATTAAGTCAATTCTTAACAATGAGAAAATACAATTAAACTCATGAAAACATTAGCACTTAATATCAATAGTATTAAAAAAAAATGAAAATTTTGAACCTAAAATTAAAAAAATTAGCAATTCGTACCATATGCGGGATCAAAGAACAATTCACAAACTTACTCAAAGAACATTCCCTTTAGCCTTAGCTAGAGTTTTTGGAATTCATTACAAAGAAAACATAATTTAACTCTTTGAACGAGAATGAAAACAAATTGTGATGGTGTGTCTTTGCAAAAAGGGTGGACGAGTGATTTATAGTGGGCAATGACAGGTATGTGGAAGGTTAATGTATTCATGGTGGGTAGGGAAGGGATTAAGTGATGAATTAAATGGATTAAAGAGATGTTGATGGTTGAGAGTAGTGGAAAATAAATGGTGAGGATAGTGGGTGTTAAATAGTTATAAATGCTGTGGAATAGGCTCTTTTCATTAACGGTTTTGTCTTCCATATATTCTCCCTATTTACTTTTCTTTTATAATTACAGTAATCTCAAAATTAATTTTTTAATAAAGTCCACGAACAATTCTCTTTACAATTTGCTTGAACGTGGACAAATCGATATCTTCATCTTTTATGTTTTCCACTTCCAATGTAACTCCTACACACAAAAAATATCGTAATAAGTTAAATATAGAAAGTTCATAATTTCAAATGGTGAGAATAAAATATAACAAAAGCTGAAATTATCATTATTAAGTCAAAATTATATTATAAAATCTCCAAAAGAATATTAAAAAGATGCAATTTGAGACTCTCATCACACGCACATGTTCCCAACACCTTTGATGCCCATAAGGGCCAAATAAGTAATGATTTAGGAGTCGCGCCCCAAATTTCTAACCCATAAAAATAAAACTAAACTAAAATCAAAATCAGAGCATGAATGAGAAAACATTTTAACGCTAAAGGAAAAATTGTTGTCCTTTAATGCTAGATTTAAATAGGCCACAAACCCAAACTAAAGTCAACACTAAACTAATAAATTTAGAGTCAAATGTTAAAAAACAAAAATAACAAAAAGGAATTCAACTCTCTGGAGTCACTCACTAGAAGTAAACAAATAACATAACCCAACTACATGTTTGGAAGCTCCTCGCCTCTAACTGCTAAATAGCTACTCTTTAGGATGAACCCCTACATGTAACATGGAATGGTGTACCGGGTCACAGTTGAATTTTTCAAGTTGGTGGTGAAATGTGGAAATGCAAAGTAGCTAGATTGAAGAGAAGGATCTTAAATATTAATTAACAAAACGCTCTTTCATAGTAGAGCACAAAATAGTACAATTCCCAATTGTCCACAACGCGTTTATATTTTTGAAAACGCTCCATCATAACAAAGTTACAGATGCTATATACTAAACAAATATATTATTCTAAAATCACTATAGATTAATGCCTAATGACAACTCCTTAGGTGAATTTAGCAAGGCTGTAAATTAGTGAGAGATTACTTTGCCTTTTTCTTGGACGGATGGTGCTCAAATATCAAGTTAGAAAAGCATGTTATCATGTTAACATAACATGTAATTAACGTAAACTAGAAGCATTACATACGGAACAAAGTTCCAATAACACATATGGTTTCGTAGTAATTCCCACATGAATAAAATAAAGACGTCACATCTCAGATTCTAATGTTACGTACACATATGCATCTACCAAAATATGCGAAGAAACAATACTTCAATGCACTAAGGGTATAATTGTAATTTAGTAAGTTTAGGGGTAAAATTACCAAGGAAACTTGCAAACATAAATGGATAGATAGATTTTGTCGTGATGATCGCAATTGTGAAAACAGAAAGAAAAACGGAGGTTAGGATAGCCCAAATGAGCTGGTCAAAATTCGAGTCAACTTGATGACGTCAGTGCCTACTTCTAACCACCATAACACCCTCAATTCTTATACAACAAACACAAGGTAATGCCTCTCTCTAAAATGAGAGCTCCCTCGCCTATGTGTAAGAAACCAAATCAGAAAAACAAAACTGAAGAAAACAAGCTACATCACATTCAAGACTACCAACCACCAAAGATGCATGAATTCAAAGTTCGCTTGGACTTGATGACTTTGAAAGTTTATCCTGACTTTCTAAATTTTGGCAATATGCTCAGGGGTATTTATCGAGGCCAACCACCTAAAAGGGAAACATTAATGGTAGAGGTAGCTCTGAGGGTGTGCAAGTGGTGCCACTGCACATGGCCTCCAATTTTTAAGGGTCCCGAAATTTTTTTACGTATATATTATGTATATTAATATTATATGTATTATATATATACATGAGCGTGCAAGAACATAACACAAGTGTGTATTTGGTTGGGTTGGAATTCATCTCCTTGATTTTAGTAGGTAAGTCGGATTCAAGTCCATATTGTGTCATTAAGTAGTTGTATTTTTACATGAAGGGAATATTATGGAAATGGTGTTGTGTAGAGATTTCTAAAAACTCTACAACCAAACTTTGAGAGTATAAATCACCTAGCAAGCCATATATAATATGAAATCAAAGTAAGAGCGGAAACATTAAATCAACTAGGGATTCATGCAAGTCTCATTTGGTCCTAATCTTTATAAGTCTATGAAAGTGTATACAAAAGACTCTCTAAATCCTATTTGAGAGAAAGATAAGGTTTTCATACCCTTGAAGCGAATCTTGAAACCAAAAATGGTGTTCAAGTAAAAGGAGTGGTCCCTTTGTTGTTGGCTCTCCCTTTGATGTTGATTCTCCACCTTGTAGCTCTCCAAATAGGTACAAAGATATGCACCTCCCCAAAGCTCTTCACCAAGGAGTGAATGGGATGAGAGAATGAGTAGACAACAAGTGAAGAGTGGTGCTAGCACCCTCACTTGATGTGATAGATTGAAGGGGTTAGGGAGAGAGAGCTTGATGTTTTCTCTCTTCCAATTTCACCAACTTGAAAACCCTAGGATGATAGGATTCCATAGCTACACACTTATAGGATCAAAAATGTCACAAGAGTGACAAAAATGCCCCCAAACCCTAGTGTAGCCACACCCCCCCTTTGTGTGTCATCTTTTGCTATCTTGGTCCAACACATTAATCATATAATGTGTCACATATGTGGCTAAGTCCATATGGTCAAATCCCTTTTGAATTTCCAAGTCATATGGGACCTTTAATTAAAGTTTCATAACTTTAATTGAATAATTAAATTAATGTAATAATCAATTTAATTACTCTAGTGACTTGACTAATTCAATCACTCACTTGTCTAACGAGTGTTGGTCCCGGTCATCCTTAGTTGACCGTGTCAAGTGTCGGGTCAACCGTTTGACCTTTGACTTTTGACTTTCACATTGACTTTGACCAAGTCACAAAATCATTCATTCTTTTCATAATTTTCCAATCGATCCCTTTTCGGTGTGCAATCTTATAGGTTCTAATTAGCGAGGCAGTAGGTATGAATGATTCACTCTGAATCAAGTGTGAATTGTATCTCTCTATACAATTCTCCCTATTGGCATAGGCTAATTATAATTAGTCCTTACAGGGCTTCCACAAGCCATGAGTGACACCTATCAGTATGTCATGGCTACCCAAGGTAAAAAGAATTCATTTAGAGAACCTAGTCAGTTTGTGATTACAATGCAATTCGATCATTTTCTAATTCAATACTTTATGTCATATTCTCTAGATTATATGATTCAATTTGAGGAAATTGCAAACGTTCTTGTTTCAATTTTCATCCAATACTTTGGCCAAAGATTCACGAATAATATCTTTAGAGTATTCTCTCTTCCTACTAAGAGAAGAGATTCCTTGTTGTACATTCACATGTCTCTGCGTACACACTGAGATTCCTGAGGAACACATTTAAGTCACATCATTTTGATATGATCGTATAGTGCTCTCGAAGAGAAACAACATATACACAAGACAACTGTGATGTCTTAGGTCTAAGGATTAATTTGCATTATCACAACTTATAATTCTTTGTTTGACACTTGTGAGTAAGACTTCCATACAAGAATTCTAGAGTTGATTGCATTCAGTGGACTCCATCTTCTATAGAGCACCTACACATCTGTCTCAGTGTCTCTACATGAATGACTTGAGACTAGTCATCTTCCCAATTGAGTAAACATAATGTGTACCAGTCTTTGCGAGTCACCATTGTCTATGACCAGGAACATTTTAGGATACGATATTTATATGTATGGAAAGGTCTTGTGCATCTAACTTCTTTAGACTACTTTCCATTTATATCTTAATCCATGGACTTGTTACTTTGTGTACATTATGTATCTAAAGCAACGTTCTTACCCCTTTGATTATTATATATTATTTTCTTAGAGTTATCCATTTTATATTGGCTTCTAGGGCATATATCTAACATTCCAAATTTACATTTTTTGGAGTGTTAAGATACTTGGTTGGTACAGTGCTTGGACCAATTACTGCACTCAAGAAAATGACCATTGTATCTTTCCTTGGAGCCCCCATGGACTGAAGTTTGTCTCCTCAAACAAACCTCAGGAAGCAAATCTTGGCCATCTACTATTCTGTTACCCTACTCACCATGTACATCTTAGAAATCGACTTCCGTAACCCATCTCAGTGGTCCAATATGGACAATGCCAAGACTGAGGAGTTGGTGATCAAGCTTGAGGAATCTCTGGGTTTTTCAAGCCTCGAGTGTAACAACCCAATTCTAAGTTATTAGTTAAACATTAAAATATTCAAGAAAAAAGCAATTTTACCCCGGGAATATTGAAATGATTTAAGAGTTGACTTTCATTCGGGGGAGATTAAATGATTAAAATAAGAGGAAAAAAATTTAAATGAAAAAGATTTGAATTAATTAAGGTTTTTGAAAATTAAAGATATTATTTAATATAAAAAGGGGCAAAAAGGTCATTTTAAGTTCAGGAAGGAATTTGGAAATTTCAGTTGGACCGTTGTGCAGAGCACGTCGAAACGAGTCCGTAGACACGTAGTGGACTCGAATCGAAACTGTAATGAAGAAATGGGGATCAAAAGAAGTTCAGTGGCATAACTATAAATATTTCGAAGTTCAGTTTTTTTTTAAACCCAGAATTTCTGCAGTTGGGGCAGCTCGACTAGCTGACTTCCAAAGGTGATATCTCTCAACTCCGGCTACCAATTGAAGCAAGACCAGTCCCTTTAGAACCACCACACTTCCCTCTTCCAGCCCCAGCCTTTAGCTCCCCCGATCCGCCACCGTAGTCGCTGGAAACAGCCAAGAAACAGGCGGTGTTGGACAGTTTTTTTCGTAACCTTTCGCCAACTCGTTCTCCCTCCTCCGGCCACTGTTTCATGCGAGTGAGGTATGATTTCTCACCTATTTTTTATGATCTAGCTGATTATTGGGTAGGATTTGATCGATTTTTAGCCTAGGTGGTTCGATTTATAACCCTAAGTTTGGTCAGTTTTCAATTAGAAATTCCGGCCTCTTCTGGTCATTTTTTTGGGTAGGTCCAAGAACTAAAGTGGTTCCAAATAGGGTGTTTTACCTAGGGTAGGAAGCTGGGTTTCCCGTTCTGAAGATTTCCGGTTGCTGGAATTTGAGAAAATAAAATGAAGATTCCCGGCGTGTGTGGCAGCGCGTGGGGCAGCATAGTGAAGTCACTTTCAGAACCTAAAATGATCTGTTGGTCCTCACGAGCGCATAGGAATTCGCGGATATTAATTCAGACAACGTTTGGACCCCAAATGCATCTCGCATATTGTGCGATTTCCGGATTCAATACGTTTGAACCGTAGGATCGTAGTCAATTTCTTATAGGTTGAGCTATGTAATTCCAGGATTGTGTAGGATTCATTGGATTGTGAATCGGAGTCTCGGATACTCCGAAAAGGCCAACCCTAGGGCTAGGTTTACAATAACCGTCTGATCGTGCGATCGTGAGTAGTCCGACCGTCTGATCAAGACCAGACTCTTGGGACATAAGTCCTGAGTCCAGCGAGGCTTACAGGGCAAGACGTGTCACCAATGGTGCCACGAGAAATTGATGGTTATGGCTTGCCTAGCATGAATTGTTGAAGTTAAATATTTTTATTTATATGCTGCCTAGCTGAATATGTTAAAGGATATGGAAAGTAAGAATTGAGATAGTTATCGGATTGAATGGTAGCAGGATTTTAAGATAATGAAGAATAGTGTTATAAATGCTTTTATTTCTTCAATTGATTATATTGCCATGCGAGAAATGCCAAGAAGCTTGAAACATAAAGCTGAGATGAAATATGAGAACTACGTGTGGCTTGATTCCTTAGTAAGGGTACGTAGGCAGCCTATGGTTACAAGGTGCAGCCATGAGTTAGAATGGTTGAGATTGCCAATGTATTATTGTTGTTCCGGAAGTTGAGATGAATTTTATTAGCAGATTGATTTATTTAATTTGTTGTAGCCTAAGGCCAGAATGATATGATGCTTAATTTCTTTTGTATATAATTCGATACATGCTGGCAGTTGTGATATATATATATATATTTAAACATATATGCTTGTTTCACAGGTGGAATTTTGTTGGGAAATGTTCAGTTTACAGGGGAGATTCTGCTGAATTTTAGGTAGAGGTCGCACCTGAATTTCATTTAATTTCAGTTAAAAGGGCAATTTAGTCTTTTGTGCCCAGCATTAGCCAGGTGTCGGACACTCACAGGGTTCGGTTCGGTTCGGATTCCAAAGTGAAATTTGGGTCGGGTCCTGTCATCGAGAGTGGTCCAAAGTTGATTGGGGCAATCATTGCCAACAAGGTACCAAACAAGGGTGCCATAAACAATATCCTAATGAAAGCTTGGGAAAGTTTTGGTGAGGCAAATAGTCTCGTTTTTTTAGTAAGTGGGCTCGGCATCGGTATGATGTTGAAAATATCATAGGATTCGTCGTGGATTCCGAGGAATTCGGGCGAGTCCTGTCAACCTAAACATGGCCCATGTGTCGCCACAAGCTTTGATAGCGCATGGGTGGCTTGAGAAAATTCTGGCGACCACAAAATTCTCAAATCATACAACAATACCTATACCTACGTGATCAAGGCAACGAGTGAAGCAACTTTTGTTCTTGGACCATGGCCAAAAAGTGGTCGGAACTTGCCGGAATTTCAAGCCAAAAACCGGCCAAATCTTTGAATTGTAATTCGAGTTTCAAAACTCAAAACACAATCTTAATCAACCCAACCATCAGCTAGAGCATGTTGAAAGGATGAGGAAACATACCTAGATCGACAAAAATGGTGGTCGAAATCGTCAGAACGAACGTCAGAAGTTTAAGGTCAAACCAGTCCTTTTTCAGCATTTTTCGGCGACGATGGCTGGCGGCTTCGTCGAAGGTGGGGTGGGTCTAGAAGAGGAAGTCGGCCCGTTCGTTTTGGCACTGGTCCAGTTACTTTGGGTGGCCAGAGGTGGTGGTGGTGGCCTAAAAGAGTGGCGGTTGTTTTTTAAAAAAAGGGGGGGTCTGTTCATGTGAGAGAGAGAGAGAAGAGATCGTGAGGGAGGGAGGGAGAGAGAGAGAGAGAGAGAGAGAGATCTGATTTTTTAAAATCCAACTTTTGAAATATTTACGATTGTGCCATTGCATTTTTGTTGATCGTAACTTCTTCGTTACAACTCCGATTTGAGTCCACTACATGTCTACGAACTCGTATCGACACAATCTGAGTCATGGTGCCATTCAATCCCCCAAAATCCTACTGGATTAAAAAATGACCAAAATAACCCTATTCATGAGGGCAAAATTATAATTTCATAATAAAATAAAATAAATGTTTTAAATGAATAATAGAATTAGGGTCGGGGTGTTATAGACCACACTTGAGGGGGTATTGACCAAGGCATTCCGATGTCTAAGTTAGTTCGATTGGATCTTGAAAAAGATACGACAATAACTAAAGTGGTTGGAGTTTTCTCTCACGAGGAGAGCTGGGTGACCCGAGCCATATGTGGTGGCTGGAGCCGTGAGAGAGAGAGAGAGAGAGAGAGAGAGTTTTCTATAGGGTTTCGAAATACCTTGGGGGTGTGATGTAGTCATGTATTTATAGTGCTCTACTCTTGCCTTCTAGGGTTTTTCAAAAAATTATTCTTATAAGGAAGGGAATTAATCTTTCCCTTAAATGGAGAGATTGAGTCAATTAGGGATTTTAATAAGAATCAAATCCTTAATCGATGATAATATATCTATTTTTGGTCAAAATAATTATCCAATTAAATGGAGATACTTAGTGACCTAAGAGATATTCTATTTGTCCACATAGTGCCTCGTGATTGGTTGCCAATATATTTGTTCCCACAACTTACACATCACATGCTCTTACACATCATATGTGCACAAATGAACAAGAAATTACAAACAACAATATTTCACACGCACATTAAAAAACAAGGAAATACCAAAAATTGTTCCAAAAATTGTACCAAAAATTTGTTCCCACAACAATATTTCACACGCACATTAACAAACAAGACCTACAAGTCTTTTCATTTGGTATGTATGCCCAGGGCCTTTCTCCATTGCGAATTACATTGATGCGGATTCAATACGGATTTCTATTTTGATCCGTTAGATGACTTCGGCGGTGGAGATTTAACACAACAAACAAGACATAAAAAAATACCAATATCTGACTTCGCACCGCCATTTGAGAACCAGAGAAACAATAGACATTGAGTCGAAGAATAAGTTTCTATTCAGCCTCATCCAACTCCAGGCTTCTCTTCTCCTAGGCTTGGTATGGTATGCAAGCTCAAGAAAGCGATTTACGTTACGGCCCCTGACAAGCTAAAGCAGGCACCAAGAGCTAAGAAGGGGCCTGGTTCAGCTGGAGCTGGTGAATTCAATGATAGATTCTTTAGCCAAAAGGCGGGTGGCATTTTCCGGAGTAAGCTAAGGTATCTTATTACGTTTATAGTGTTCCATCCCCGCTGAAAAAACGACATGCTTTCTCTTTCCCATTTCATCTCCTCCATGTTCGATTTTTTCAGCTCTCTTTTTGAGTCAATATATATAAGGGATTCAATAAACAATGACATAAAAGAAAGAAAAAAGCCCATAAATTATTGAAAAAATTAGCTCAAAAAACTCATCTCAGAAATCATTGTCTAAGAAGCAAACCCCTGTTTCAGACCAAAAACCAATTGTGTTAGAAAAAATAAAAATAAAAAACGAGAGAAAAATTAACTCTTTGTTTGTGGAGAAGCTTTTGTTTGCTATCAGCGATTGCACTTCAATTTAGTCTGTTGTGATATATTTTGGTTCTAAATTTATGTTCTTTGAGCTATTGGTATGGAGTAAAGCTTGGGAAAACTCTTCAAGTGGGAAGAGAACTCAGAAAAGCACGGGGAAGAATAGTGGTCTTTTGCTGATCAGTTTGCACAACCACTGCTCCGAGACCAATTCAAGCTGCATGATTTTGTTCACAAGGGATCCATCTCCATCTCCACTCCAGTGAATCAAACAAGGAAGCCAACCCTTCTAATTGCAATCACAATGGGTAAGATAGTCCATGCCCCACTTACCATACCCCCCCATTGATATATTTTGACTAAAAAAGAGAGATGAAAAAAATCGAACATTGAGGAGATGAAATGAGAAAGAGAAAGATGAGTGGTATCTTGTTTCTCTGTTCTCAAATGGCAGTGCAAAGTCAAATATGGGTATTTTTTTGGGAAATAGCTGAAAATGCCACATATTTTATAATTTTTTTTGTGAAAATACCACCCCTCCCTTAAAATTTTAAAACTACCACATATAAATACATCTTTATTGTAGACTGATTGCACCCATATCACTTTTTTAGAAATTGGGTTCTCTCTCAACTCTCTTGGCTCCGTCTCTCTCTTGGCTGCGTCTATCTTTGTTGCTCAGCTCTGTTGCACAACTCTCTCTCTCTCGTGTAACTCTCTCTCTCTCTCTGACGCAGTGGTCTTCCTCCCTCTGTAGTGTGTGTTCATACAAGCTTAACTCCACGGTTCACATCCACAAGGTACTGTTCATCGTCCTTTTCTTAGAAATTTGGGGTTTTTGTGAATTTGGTTTAGGATGTATGGATTTGTATGAAATTGGTTTAGGGGTTTCTTTGAAATTGGTTTAGGGTTTTAGGGTTTAAGGGTTGCTCTGAAATTGGTTTAGGGTTTATGGGTTTCTATGAAATTGGTTTAGGGGTTTCTTTAGGGTTTATGGTTTATGGGTTTGTATGAAATTGGTTTAGGGGTTTCTTCGAAATTGGTTTAGGGTTTAGGGGTTTCTTGGTACACCACATCTTTCTTACCCTTTAATTCTGCTGAGCGTTGGTTTTTAGATGCTTGTATTATCTACAAACTTGCATTCTCTTTCGTTAAGTGGAATGAATTTGAGACGTGTGCTATATTTTAACCCAAGCAATGACATTCTCAGCTTGTATACCTATATAATAATATCTATTATATTATGGCATGGGTTCGTCCGAGTGATTAACGGTGTTTATCATGTTTGCATCTCATGCCTTAACTCCCTTGGTTCTCTCGGGCTTATGACTTGGGAATTCACTGTGCTCCTTAATTATGTTAGGAACTCCTTTACATGAAAATGCAGACATAAAAGCTTTGCTGGAGGTGCTTTATAAGGGAATTCGGCCTTTTTGATAGAGCTAGTTGGTTTAGTTATTATGTGTAGCAAGGTCAAATCATTTCCCGAGTCTTTGGCCCTGTTGTACATTGTGAAGTGTAATATTGTACAGTCTACAAGCGATGGCTAATTGCCTTACAAGCAATGGCTAATTGCCTTACATGGCCCTGTTGTACATTTTGAAGGTGAACTATTTTGTACACCTCCATATATAAACATAGTAGCTCTTTATAGAGGTATAACAATTTACTTGTTTGAAAAGAAGTGTTCGTTTCCACTAAATGCTGCTCATTTTTGTATTCATTGTTGACATTTAGTCTCTGTGATTTTCTTTGCAATTTATGTGATATAGGTATATTTCATTTCTTGCACTGGGAATCTGTTAGTGGACTTAGTGAAGCATACAGCTTTCTTAAGATTTCTCAAATTAGTTTTGACTTTGTTCCTTTTAAATAATTTATGCAGCAATTCTACTTTTCTGCTTAGGATTCTGTTGTTATCGGAATTTGGAACCTCATAATGTTTAGAAAGGGGTAAGACATACTTTTCCCCCATGAACAAATGTGGAAAATCACTTAACACGCTTCAACCACAATATTAGAAAAATAAATCCCTTGTTTGTTCAGAATTTTTCATTAATAGCTATTCTGTTAGTATATTTACCATTAGTACAGTTTTAGGGCCAAGTTCGTATGAGCAGATGACTAATTTGAAATATGTAATCAATCATTTTGCCCTAGGACTCAATCTTTGAAACATTGGTGTGGTCATTAATAGATGCGTAGACGTGCAATGCGTAGTGTGCATGTATAAATAAATGTGCAGATTCCTTTGTTTCCTTCCATATGTTGGAAATCATGGTAATTTAACAGTTTTAACACAGAAGAATGAAGGTTTGGAATGCATAGAAGCCTGCAATATACACTAACTATAGAGATGGTTACCAAATATCATGTTAACCACTGTGACCCGTGCAAAGTTAAACTGCATAAATTAGTTTACTAGTTGTTCTTTATCTTTTTGAAGATTCATTAGTTGTTCCAAAAATTAGTTATCCTTATTAGATCACATAATGTTTGAACTAATGGTCATCAACTCAATCCTACCTTTGCTTGCTTGGAGAAGCTTTGCTGTTTACTGTTTTTTTGTCAAAAGGTGTAATGGAAAGCTATCTATCCATTCCAAATTAAATTCATGTGTTCTTTGTGTTCCTTACAGGAAAATGGAGGTGAAACAATGGTCTTATGTCAAAAATGAAAAACAGAGGAAGTGCAAATTTGTTTCTGCCTAAAACACAATAAACTGGTGGTACGTTGGTGATACAGTGGCGATACAAAAGCGATAAAAGGGTGCTAGAAATTGTTGTTTCTGTATATTTTGGGCTTCTTTTGTTTCATTTCATTTACTTAGCTTTAATAATTAGATGATTACGAGATTCATTTGTGTAAATTATTAATACAACAATTACATATATAAAGATTAAGACGAACAACATATCGTATTACCAAACATAATGAAAACACCAAATGTAATCATCCTTTTCTTCAACCTATCACGAAGCATTTGCATATTTATTCATACCTTCTTTTTTTTGTAAATAATTTGTTGGTTGTTATTATTTTTTAAAATAATTTCTTACAATGTCTTACGGTGCAATTATGATGCACATGACTGCCGGTTTTTTAAAGGCACGTTGTTTCTTTCTTGTCGTCGTCTTCTTTTTGAATGAAGTAAGGCCTAAACCGTAAACCCATTGATGAGCTGTAGTCAATACACATACAATATAATGGCAATATTATGCCAATATATATCCACTAGATAGGCAATATTAGGCCAATATAACCACAATACGACAACAATAGTATCACAATATACATGCAATCGGGTAGCAATATGCACACAATATCTATGCAATACACATGCAATATTAGTACAATATATGTGCAATAGGACATCAATATTATGTAAATCTACATACAATACACACACATCCATTACAGGCTACAATTTAGACATGCAAAATAAATCGCCACCGAACCCTAACAATACTATCCCGAGAAGGAAAAAGGAAGGCAACACTTTGACATCGCATCACCCAGCACCGCATGAACTGAACCAGCACTCACCCATACTATAGGTCCATCAAAAGATCCATGTCTTTGTCAATCCTCTTCGCTGCATGCACGAGGCTATGGTGAGCCATTCCCTCTCCACCCATATTCAGCACCTCCCAGACACTAGCTACATCAATTTTACTCCAATTGTAGTCTGGTGAGATGACCGAAGCATAATCTTGGAACATTTCGAATCCGTTGTTGAAACATTCAACCATGTCATGGTTATATTCTTCAAATTTTGTAAATTTTTTGACAACATATTTCTTTGTCTCTTCCAATTTTAACTTGAGGGACTCTAACTCTTTGCTCCGACTTTTTGCTTTTAGAGTTTGCTTCACTTCTCCAGCATATTCTTTGTTCAACTTGTTGGAATCTGTTGCCTTAGACAAATATTGAAGGTTGTGCTTGACGGCAGAGATTGTGTCAAGTGGATCATTGCTCTCAGCCTCACTTTTAGATGAAGTGGGATCGTGATTGGAAGTCAGAGGTGGAGATGGGAATGGCACATGTGTCCAAATATGCTTCTCCATCATTTACACCGGCCACATTGTACTGGTTTTGTTCACCCATTTGAGTCAAATAATGTTCACTAGTGGGTTCAGATTCTCCTCCTAAACACATTATTGGTAATTGGGGAGATGTGTTCAAGCTGCCCAAAATAGGAGGGGTAGAGTACACTGACACTTCATTTCTTTTGGTACCATTATCACCACCATGCATCTCCTCCACCTCGCTAAAATCAATCATATCCATAAAATATGTCCTAACATCACCTCCCACATCAGCGACATTTGTATAATTTAGAGTTATTTCATTACTTTCAACAATGGCAGCTGAAGAACGACCCATCCAACTACTATCTGTCGTGATATGCATACTATCAACTACATCATTTGTCAGTCCTTTGTCTTCTATACTCATTAGTAAGGGAGCTAGTTTTGAAGGTGTTACCTCACAATTGTACTTCATAAAAAATTTGACATCATCATCGTCCTCAATCTTTATGTGCTTCCACTCATTCGAGGCCACCAAAACTAAGAACTTTAAGCAAACGTTGTCTTCCCTGCTGTTTGTATTACCAATCTGGTGCACACGATTCAACAGTTTAGCAAATGTGATGGTTCGTGGAACTATTAAGCCCTTTGAGTCACCCCCTTCGTATTTACACATTTTCTTTGAGGTTACCTATTTTTCATTGTAGCAAACCAAAATAACAACTGTCTCCATTTTTTACCATGACAAAACAACATTTTATTACCACAATACAACCACGATAACCAGGCAATACAATAGCAATATAACCGCAATATAATAGCAATATAATAGCAACACAACGACAATACGACAGCAAAATAACAGGAACACAACAACATCCACTACATCAAATGGAAAATCCCAAGTTTCAAGATTCACATATCCAGATCAATCTATATGCAATTGGTAAAAACCCAGATGGATGAGCATGAAAATTCAAAAAACCTAACCGAAAGCAATTAACCCCAAAACCAATTTAACATAAACCCAAGCAATCAAAACAAAACCAATTTCACATAATCCCACAGATATTAGGAAAATAACCATCAACCTTACCTTTTCGAGGTTGGCGTTCTAGTTGAGCTTCAAGGTTGCAAGCAGCTATTCAGAAGATATACCTAAAATATTGGGTCGAGGGAGGGGTTCGTGATTCAGAACAAAGAGCGAGACAGAGCTGCGAGAGAGAGAGAGAGAGAGAGAGCAGAGAGAGAGCAAAGAGAGAGACAGAGAGCTGCGCTAGAGAAAACGGGGCTGAGTGAGCTGAGAGAGAACCAAAGTTATGAAAATGTGATATGTGTACAATAAGTGGACAATAAATATATATTTATAGGTGGTAATTGCAAAAAAAATAAGAAGGGGTGGTATTTTTACAAAAAATTATAAAATGGGTGACATTTTGAACTATTTCCCAATTTTTTTTATATGTCTTATTTGTTGTGTTAAATCTCTACCGCCCAAGCCATCTAATGGATCAAAATAGAATTCGTATTCAATCCGCATCAATGTAATTCGCAATAGAGAAGGCCCCTGTATGCCCATTTTAGTCTTTTTGAAAGTATGCAGGACAGATTTAGGTAGTTTGTATTTTAGGAGAAGAACTTGTATGTTATAGGGATAACGTTGTTTTTCTATCTCAATCCAATCATGTTTCGTCATGTGGAATCCGTATCACGCATGGTGGAACATGATTGATTGGGGATAATAGAACAATGCTATTCCTGTGACATGCAATTTTTTTTTCATATTTAGGGACTTTTTGATAATTTCCCCTTGATAAAATCTTCCTGCGTTTCCTACCAAAAAATAATATCTTCTAGCGTTTAGACCCAAAAAAAATAAAAATAAAAAAATAAAAAATTCAAACGCAGCCTAAACTGGTACAAAAATAAGTTCAACCAGCGCATAAATCTTCTCAATGACAGTATAACCTTGCGACCAAACAGAGGGACCAAAGTGTAATGGTATAATTTCTAGGGTTTCAACATTTCGCTATAAAAGCTTGATACTCTGCTTCTTCTAAGCCCACGGTCCCCAACTCTTGAAATTTCAGAGATTTCTCTCCTTCGTCTTCCTTGCTTTTAATTCTCCGAGATGGCTTACTATTATTCTTTTCTCTGAATTTTGATTGATGAAAATGATGAAAGAGATGTGTAAGGGTGATGATCATTCGATTTCACGTGATCAAACAAATTCTCTTCGCTACGTTCTTTCTGATTCTTATACTCCCACTGCCATTCGGCCCCCCATTTATTTAGAAATTTAAATTTATTTTTCTAGTTTCTATTATTTCTCCTTTTTGTTTAATGTTAAATCTTCGAACTTGTTTGTGCAGAAATTGGGTTAAATACGAATAAACACAATGCTCCGTTAATTACATTTATTTTTAAGCAACCACAGATTGTAATGGTGCATTTTTTGTTTGATGTGAGGAGATGTTTGATTAAAACTGCAGATTCTCATGCAGGTTATTTCTCTGCTTCGAAGTTCCTTGATTTTCTGCTTCCACTGAAAACTTGTGTTTCCAGATTGATGAACACAGAAGTACTCTAAACCTAGTTAATGAATTTGAAGCTAATCAAGTAATTATAATTTGGGTGGAAAATCACCATTATGTACCCCAAATTGCCTAAATTTGTACCCCTTTTGAATCAATTTTACAAGTTATTGGGTTCTGATTGAGAGATGTATTAAGCTAATGCAGCCCTGATTTACCAAGTTCTGATTGAGAGATGATGGCCTATAATTTTATCTTAACAGCATAAAATTTTTCAACGACTTTGTAACCTGGAAAACCAGAGACTATTAATGCTGATAAGAGTTAAAAACAGAGGAAGCAACAACTTAACTCTTTGTTTAAGTCTGATGACTTGTTTTGATTTGTGCGAGCCTACCCGAATTAGCTCTTAGGGCTCTTTTAAATGGATCATAAACTTATGGTTGGAGTCAAGGAAAAGTTTCACAAAGTGATGCGTGAAGTTAGATACATCCCTCTTGAAATTTCAAACTGTCTGTTTCCTTAGAAATGGGACTCGTATAACCGCGTACGAAGCTCAGATTTCTGCAGATGCATATGTAGAATGTGCAGCTTGTATCGATATGACCAGTCTGATTTAAATCATATAGAGATTCATACATGGTACAGAAGTGTAGAATTTTCAGTTTATTGACTTTTATCTTTCTGAGATTACTTTTCATTTCAGGTTTTGGTTGTTTGATAATTTAGTCCAACACTAATAGAATGAAATATTTTACAGCTAATGCAAGCTCGTGGAAGGAGAATTATTGATAAAAGTCAATGGTTTTTTTGTTTCACCAGCCAACTTGACATACACGTTGCTGCTTTTGAGGATCTGTGGATCGTTTGTCATATTTTGAGGCGATCGGTTGACTTCCAAAGTCAAACATACGATATCCTGATTCAGCATGTCTAGCTAAGCTGTCAAGTGAAAGGGACAAAAGTAGAACAAGGAAGGCCAAGCTTGGCCTGTGCTTATAGCAAAACAGCTCTTTTTTGCAAGTTTGTAAGGAGATGAAATTCACTTGCAGGAACAACTTTATTTATAAGCCTGTTCTGCTTTTGTTATGTTTAACCTTCGATGCTTGTATCTCCATGGCGTCTCATGTTATTTCCGCAGGCCAATCTCTTTCTGGAAACCAGACAATTACCTCTCCAAGTGGCATTTTTGAGCTGGGTTTCTTCACACCAGGTAACTCTCAAAACTATTATATTGGGATATGGTACAAAAAACTACCCCCTCAAACAGTAGTTTGGGTGGCAAACAGATACCAACCTGTTTCTGATACATCGTCTTCAACATTGCAACTTTTCCAAAATGGAAACTTAACCCTACTGGTCCAATCCAAAGCTGAAATTTGGTCAACTCATTCTATGTCAGCGGTTTCTCATTCCACCGTAGCAATGCTACTTGACAATGGGAACTTTGTCATAACAGATGCATTTAATTCATCTGTTGTTATATGGCAGAGTTTTGATCACCCAACTGATACTTGGCTTCCAGGAGGGAAGCTTGGACATAATAAGCTTACGAAAGAAAAACTAAGTCTTACTCCATGGAGAAGCCCACAAAATCCAGCACCTGGCCCCTTTTCTTTTGAGCTAGAACAAAATGGAACAAGTTTTTGGTTATTTTGGAATGGTTCTAAAACTTATTGGACTAGTGGGTATTGGACAGGGAAAATTTTTAGCCTTGTTCCAGAAACAGCAGCAAATGACTATATTGCAAGTTTCACTTTTGCTTCAAATGAAAACGGAAGCTATTTCACTTATGCTTCAGCATATAACGATACCTTTATTAGATTCATGCTAGAAATTACTGGTCAAATCAAGTTTTATGTCTGGGGGAAGGGCTTCACACAATGGACTCTAATCTGGATGCGACCAATTGAGCAATGCGACACTTATGCTACCTGTGGTGCTTTTAGTATCTGCAACCAGCAGAATGCTTCTCTCTGTGGTTGCCTGCCTGGATTTGAACCCAAAGTCCCGAAAGTTTGGAAATTAAAAGATCACTCAAATGGTTGTCTGAGGAAAACTCCTTTACAGTGCAATGATGTCCGAAATTCCACATTTCTGGTGATGCATGATGTTCTCCATCCTGTGAATTCTGAGTCTTTGACAGTTGAGAACATTGAAAAATGTAGATTAGCATGTTTAAGAAATTGTTCGTGCACTGCTTTTGCTTATGATAATCAGTGTCTGATTTGGAAAGGAGATCTGCTCAATGTAAAGCTACTACCATCTGAAGGTAAGGTAGGAAAAGATTGGCATCTCCGAGTTGCAGCATCTGACAATGAGTATCGAAAGACAGGGTCTACCATTAAGATAAAGAGGAAGACTACTTGGATTGTAATTGGAGTACTTCTAGGTTTCACCTTTATCTTGACAATTGTCATGATATTAGTCAGAAGGAGACAGTCAGAAGGAGCATTGGAGACAGTTGATGATTCTTTAGTGTTGTTCAAGTATAGAGATTTAAGAAGAGCAACAAAGAACTTCTCAGAAAAACTTGGGGAAGGAGCTTTTGGTTCTGTCTTCAAGGGGGTATTGCCTGATTCAACTGCCATAGCAGTGAAGGAACTTAGAAGTCTGAACCAGGGAGAGAAGCAATTCCGCAATGAAGTGAGAACTATTGGTTCAATCCAACACATTAACCTTGTTCGTCTCTGGGGATTTTGTGCAGAAGCTTCAAAAAGAATTTTAGTCTATGATTACATGCCGAATGGTTCTCTTCAATCTCTCTTGTTTCAAAAGAATCCGATAATCCTAGATTGGAAGGCCAGATATCATATTGCAATCGGCACTGCCAGGGGATTGGCTTATCTCCATGAGGATTGTAGAGAGTGTATCATACACTGTGACATTAAGCCTGAGAACATTTTGTTGGATGCAGAATACAGCCCGAAACTGGGAGATTTTGGTCTTGCAAAACTCTTAGGCAGACAAAATAGTCGGGTTCTAACAACCATGAGAGGAACTGTAGGCTATCTAGCACCAGAATGGTTTTCAGGTGAAGCCATCACACCCAAAGCTGATGTCTTTAGCTATGGCATGTTGCTGATTGAGATTATATCAGGAAGAAGAAATAGACAAGGGTTAGATGAGGGATTAGAGAGTTTCTTTCCAATCCAGGTTACAAATATAGTAACCAAAGGAGAAGATGTTGTTACCTTGTTAGATTACAGATTGGAAGGGCAAGCAGACAAGGATGAACTCACCCGGGCATGCAAAGTCGCTTGTTGGTGCATTCAAGATGATGAGAAGGATAGGCCAAAAATGAGGGAGGTTGTTCAAATTCTTCAGGGAGTTTCAGATGTTGGTATACCTCCAATCCCACAGTTCCTCCAGCGCCTTAATGAGAATCCAATAGAAGCCACCAGTAGCCAGGAGACAATTTGCACTTCAGATTCATCGGCATGATCTGATGCCTTTTCTGCGTTCAATCTAAAATCAGCAACTATTATGTGGAAATGAATAAGAATGCCCCTTTGGGCTTTTTGGAAAGTTCAAACCAGTAACCTCCATACCTCCTCACGTTTTTATTCACACCAGCTACAGAAGATATGTATCATAACATAAATTTTCTCAACCTCTAATCTCGATTGCCAGTAAATAAATTATAATGAGGAACACTGGCACTGAGAGCTCTTGTATTAAGCATCTGGAGAATCCTCTTTCTCTGATGAGGTTCACTTGATTTAGAGTATGTTTATTATTCAGTACTAGATTGGATCAGTAGCTAGCTTCTTTTTGATTTTTTTTAATCTTTTAATTCTTGGTTTCATAAACTCTCTGACTATCAAGTTAAATGCTGCACGGATTTACTGATTACACCTTGAAATTGAAAACTTCATTGAAACTATATTGAAAAGGACAGAAGAGGATACAATTTTTCACTATAGCTTGTAACCAGACTATGACTCTTCTGAAGTCATATACTATTTTTTTGTGTATTGATTGAAAAATATAAAAAAGGAACAAGAAAACATGGCCGTACAAAAGGGAAAAGACACTAGATCTTTCATTCACTGATGCTTTTGCTCTGTCTTCCTCAGTTTTTAATCTTCACACTTGTGATTAATCTAAATTCCAACTGAACTCAACTTCTTTTAAAGATTCCTTGTTGAAATTCTTTGCTTAGAGATAATTCAATGCAGCCACCTTCTTAGGATCACAGATTGATGTTTAAGCTATATATATACATGCATCCCCATTCAGCCATGTGAAGTGAGTAATGCTTGAGTTAGATCCAGCTCTCAATAATAGTAGTTCATTTTTAGAAGACAGGGAGCTCAGTTGCAACTTCCCCATACATGTCTCAACAATCCATTTCATTATAAATTGAATTATATTGAAATTCTACCGAGGCTTTTGGTAATAGAGTAATATCTAGCTTTGCTGGCAATTGTGAAGGGAACAAAAAACAGAGTAAGTCCAGAGCTTTGATATCACCAAGCTTAATTAGCGCAAATCTTTGTTTGCAAGTCTATGAAAAGATGGATATCATCAGTGAGAACCACTTTATTTCTCAGTCAATTATGCTTCTACTATGCTGTACCTTCAGCGAGTATATCTCTGTGGCGTCTAGCATCTTCTCCCCAGGCCAATCTCTTTCAGGAAACCAGACAATCACCTCTACAGGTGGCATATTTGAACTGGGTTTCTTCACACCAGGTAACTCTCAAAACTATTACATAGGCATATGGTACAAAAATCTACCACATCAAACAGTAGTTTGGGTGGCTAACAGAAATCAGCCTGTTTCTGATCCAATTTCTTCAACATTGGAACTCCATGCTAATGGAAACTTAATCTTACATGGATTGTCCAAACTTCCAATATGGTCCACTAATTCAACATCAGAGATTGCTAATTCCACTATAGGAATGCTTCTTGATAGTGGGAACTTTGTTCTAAGAGATGCATCTGATCCATCCGCTGTAATATGGCAGAGTTTTGATTTCCCAACTGATACTTGTCTGCCGGGTGCAAGGCTTGGATATAATAAGCTTACCAAGGAAAAACTAATTCTTAGGCCATGGAGAACTTCAAGTGATCCAGCACCTGGCCTCTTCTATTTAGAGCTACAACAAAATGGAACAAGTGTTTGGTTACTCTGGAATGGCTCTGAAACTTATTGGACCAGTGGATATTGGACAGGGAAACTCTTCAGCATTGTTCCAGAAATGGCGGAGAATAATTATATTTCAAATTTTACTTTTGCTTCAAATAAGAATGGAAGTTATTTTACTTATGCTGATGCCTCTTCAAATACCTTTATCAGGATTATGCTAGAAATCACTGGTCAGCTCAAGTTATTCATCAGGGGGAAGGAGTTCACACAATGGACTTTGACCTGGATGCCACCACTCGAACAATGTGACGTTTATGGTTCATGTGGTGCTTTTAGCATCTGCAACCAGAAGAATGTGTCTCTTTGTGGCTGCCTGCAAGGATTTGAACCCCAAGTCCCAAAAGATTGGAAATTACAAGATCACAAATAGCTGTGTGAGGACAACTCCTTTACAATGAAATGATGTGAGAAATTCCTCATTTCCTGTAATGCATGATGTTCTCAATCCTATGCTTCTGAGTCTTCGACAGTAAAGAATGTTGATGAATGTAAATTAGCGTGGTTAAGAAATTGCTCATGCACTGCTTTTGCTTATGATTATCAGTGTCTGATTTGGAAAGGAGACCTATTCAATCTAAAGCAACTAGCATCTGTAGGAAAGAGAGGCCATGATTGGCATGTCCGAGTTGCAGGATCTGAGAAGGATCAAATTATATATTCTGCAAACAAGAAAAAGAGAGAGACTGTTGGATTTTTATTGGAGTACTTGCAGGGTTATTCTTTGTCTTAAGCATTGTCATGGTCATTTTCAGAAGGAAACAGTCAGTAGGAGCATTGGATACAATTGAGGATTCTCTCGTGCTGTTCAAGTATAGAGATTTTAAAAAAGCAACAAAGAATTTCTCTGAAAAACTTGGAGAAGGAGGTTTTGGTTCCGTTTTCAAGGGTATATTGGCTGATTCAACTGCCATTGCAGTGAAAGAACTTAAATGTCTGCAGCAGGTAGAGAAACAGTTTCACGCTGAAGTGAGAACTATTGGTGCAATCCAACACATCAATCTTGTTCGCCTCTGGGGATTTTGTGCAGAAGCTTCAAAAAGACTTTTAGTTTATGAGTACATGCCAAATGGTTCTTTACACTCCCTCTTGCTTCCGAAGAACCCACTAATCTTAGATTGGAAAGCTAGATATCATATTGCAATAGGGACTGCGAAAGGATTGGCTTACCTCCATGAGGAGTGCAGAGAGTGCATCATGCACTGTGACATCAAGTCTGATAACATTTTGTTGGATGCAGAATACAACCCGAAACTTGGAGATTTTGGTCTTGCAAAGCTGAGAGACGGAAACTGCAGCCGAGTTTTGACAACCATGTGAGGAACGCTCGGCTCTCTTGAACCAGAATGGTTTTCAGGCGAAGCCATCACTCCAAAAGCTGACGTGTTTAGCTATGGAATGTTGCTGATTGAGGTTATATATCAGGAAGGAGAAACAGAGATGGGTTCGATGACGGGTTAGAAAATTACCTTCCTATCCGGGTTGCAAATGTAATAATTGAATGAAAAGATGCTATTAGCTTGTTAGATTACAGGTTTGAAGGCCAAGCCGACAAGGATGAACTTGGTAGAGCATGCAAAGTCGCTTGTTGGTGCATTCAAGATGATGAGAAGGATAGGCCAACCATGAGGCAGGTTGTTCAAGTTCTCGAGGGAGTTTCAGATGTTGGTATATCCCCAATGCCGTGGTTCCTCCAGCGCCTTACAGAACTTCCAATAGAAGCCATTAATTACGAGAAGACCACTTCCGGTTCAGATTCGTTTTCTTGCACTGATGTCCCAAGTGCATTTCAACCTCAAATTAGAAGCTGTTCAAAAGAAATGTAACAAGGATGCAGCTTTTGCAAGCTAAAATCAGCAACTTCCATTTCTATGTTTCCATTAAGATCACATTTCTGTTGCATTCTTGCTACCTACACAAGATTTGTATCGAAAACATAAGTTTTAGCAACCTAGGTTGAACCCCATAAGCATCCTACTTTCTTATTTAACATCAGCAAAGCATATTCTTGCGCTGAACAATTTCATCAGTTGATTTAAAATCATTTTGTTCGTCAATATTGCCTCTCATACCAGGGCAGGGGTTTTTGCAACTTTGCATAAATAACATCAAAAGCTTCAACAACCAAAGCGTTTACAAATTTACACGGAGAGCATTAGCCTCGCCAATATTACATGGAAAAATTGTCTAAAGAAGAAAAACAATACTTAGAAAGTGATTTGTTGCCAGATGAGAAAAATTGTTCCTTCCTCTATCTGCATTAACCATCTTGTTGAAGGACTGGGGTGTTAACTAAATCAGCAACCTAGAATGAATGTGAAGTAGAGATAGCAACAACATAAACATTAATTGTCATTATCCAAGTCCAGTGGAAAAGGGCATTGATTGCGAACCAGTGGTCTCAAGTTCGAACTCCCATGCCACCTTGAAAATGTGTGTGAGAAAACCACCATCCACCTTCCTAACTTTGGCAAAAAAAGAAATTTTCATTACATAGAATATTTAAAATAAAAAATAGTCACGACTTTTTAAAGAAGAAGAAATCTTCCCTACACTGGTACCTGTTCTCTTTGTTGGTAACCACCACTCTCATTCTCTCTTACTGGTATCTTAATCTCCTGTCTGGTTAATACCTTTAAGGACAAAATAGCCATAGAAAATAAGTAATAAATGCAAATTGGGCCTCGTTTCAGTAAGTGTAATACAAGGGTTTTTCCCGGCATTTTTAGCATGGATCATTTCTATATAGACCCCAAAATATTTTTAGTGAGAGTTGGTGTTGACAGTACAACATACCTTTGCCTCAAGACAGATGCATTCTCTGCAGGAATTGTGCGTAGAATCCCGAGATCAATTTTTATTTTCAGTTTTGGATTGCATTCAATGTAAACCAATTCCGCCACTGCCAGGGATGGGCACTTTAAAGTATAAGCTTCAGTGCACACACGCTTGAAGTTTGGTAGATTACGAAGCATGATGGAATTCACTAGAGGAAGTTCCATTTCCTCTGCATGTTCTGCTTCTGTCTCTGCAACAATTTCTTCCATCATCCAACAATCTATAACTTTTATCTGCTCTAGGCTGATAAGAAGTTTAACTATGGAAGGTGAAAACAAATATTTCATTTGCTCACAACCATGTACTTCTAGCCATCTCAAGTTCCGAAAGCCGTCGATTTGTTGTGAACCCATTTCCCATATGTCAATTAACATTGGCCAAGCTTTTAATACCAATCGTTTGATCTTGGTAAATTTGTGTGCATAATTGCTTTCTTTAGGTTGGAATATCACTTGCAGTGACTCGCAGCCTTCCACTTCAAGACATTCTAGATTGTCACTGTCATCTGACTCATTAATAGTTACCGACAGTGTAACCTGAAAATTAAAATGGCCCACTAATCAACAACAGATCAAAATAATAGGAACTAAGTAAGAGAAAAAGAATAGGTGGCTTCATGAATAAGCATTTCATCATCTAAAGTTCAAACATTTTATTCGGGAAACATTTTAGGCAATTCATCATCTAAAGTACCAATAGAAACCCTATTCGTGGAGGCATATGCCCATGCCCATTGACCTTTTTTCAGTACTTACCAGATCTTTGAGCATATTTACACCCGCAAGCCCACGCATATGTACATATACATATTGATATGGAAAGTATATATTACCAACAATAGGTTAGTCATTTAAATGCTTACCTCTTTTTTGGAAGTGTGTTCACTGGACGAGAATGGTGCGGAAACTGATGGTTGCGAACGAGTACTAGGACCTGCGCCCGACTTTTGGATTTGTGGAATATTCTTTCTTTGTTTTTGTTTTCGTGGAATCAATGAACCCAATGTCTCCAATTTGGGACATCTTCTCAGGTACATTACTCTTGTGGATGGCCATACAAAAGTATTATCAGCATCGTCGCTAAAAGTCTTGGGACCATCACTGAGGCTCACAAGGCTTGACAGGTCTTCTAGTCTAAGACTCAGTTTGGGAAACAAGATCCCTGTGGACCCTATCTCTTCTTTATACTGAAGTGCGACTATGGTTTTCATAGTCCTGCAATAAGAGATTTTTAATTCTTCAAGACCCACAAGTTGCCTGGCCACTGAGTAGGAGAACAGGTAATGCAAGCTGTCACAACTTAGGACTGTTAAAAACCTTAAATTTTCAAAGCACCGGATTCGACATGGAACGTTCTTCCACAAGTGTGCAAGCAGAGTTACATTTGCAAGGGACACTTTTCGTAGTTGAGTGAAGGAGACTGGAATTTCTTCAGTATTCCCCTGAACCATCTGGCCCTCTAGATCAAATAGCACTTCTATTTTTGATGACAGCTTCACTTCTAGTTCTTCTAGATTTTTTAACCAGGAAATGCAATTTGGTGGAAGTAGTATTTTTGATTTCTTAAAAGAGGACCCGCCAGCTTCATTTCCTTGATTTGACGACGAAGTCTCTGCCATCTTTGCCAAATGGGAGGAGTTGATTAGCATATTATTATTCGTAAGTCAACCAAATATCTAATAATGGATTAACTCTCAGAGGAAAAAAGAAATTTGACACACATTTAATTATCAAAAAGAAAATAAACAATTACGCAATTATATATATATATATATATTTATATATAGACACACACATACCTCAGGTTTTGAGCTACATGGCTGGTTGGCTATGTAGAAACTAACCAGGTTTGATACACCGGACAGATTGAGCTCCGTTAAATTAGGAAAAGCAACCTTGGAAGATGCATCAATCTCATCTTCCATCCCCTCATTTGAGACAATTTCTTGCATTTTGTCGCATAGATAAACAACTAAGGACTGGAGTTGTACCAAGTTTCTTGCTATAGACACTGGAAAGGCATATCTTAACTCAGAACAACAACTGATCTGAAGGGATCTTAGGTTGCCAAAAGATTGATTTTGAAGCTGCCCATGACATATTGCTAGTAAATCCGGTATCCCATTTAGCTCAAGTGACTTCAACTGAAGGAAGGCAGTCTTACCCGTTCGATCACTTATAAGAGACTCTGTGCCGTGCTTACTATTTTGAATCGATAAAGCTTCCAAGCCTTCAAAACTTACTTGGTCATTGAGGACACAGTTCAAATTTTTAGTTTCTCTGAAGTACAAAGCTCTAGAGTACTTCAACAGAAATCTAATATCTCCATTTGCATGAACTCTTTTGCATCACCAGCAAGCTTAACAGTATTTTTAAATCCGTAATCCAGGGGTTGTGGCATAGGAAAAGTATTAGCCTTGCATATAGATATATGAAATCTTGTTGTTTCCTTTTCCAAGAGCACTTCATCTTCCGGCAACAACTTGAAATCCGGTATATCTATGGCTAAAACTGTCAAATTTTTAGAGGGTAGAGACATCACCTCAGCTAGGCTTGCCATCCGGATCTCACCTTCTTTGCTTTGATCGACTTCCTCTGCAGGCTCCCATTTATTAAAGCTGCGTGTCATGTACAGCTCTTCTAGTTTACTTAATGTGGATAGGATACCATGAGGAATTTCCTTTAGATAAGAACAATCTGTCGTATCTAACAACCTTAATTGTTGAAGATCTGCAATTTCTCTCGGTAACACTTTGATGTTGGAACGCGCAAAACTGAGGATCTCGAGATTCTCCAATTTCCCAACACTAGATATGTCTCCCAGTGTACAATCATCTAGAGACAAGGTCCGAAGGTGTCTTAGCAGCACTCTAATTGATGTTGAACCTGTATGTATGAAAGATAAAACCTGGAGCTTCATCCCTTTCAACATGCTTTCCAGGGCAGATTCTGAAATTTCGCTATTTTTTAGTTGTAGAAGTTTAAGTTCTTGATACCCCAAACCTGTCACAATGGGGTCGTCAATATGAACATCATTCAGTGAAACTGTTGTGTACTGTTTGCATGGAGGATTTATTTGCCAACTTCTATATCCAGCTTGATCTTGTACCATAAAAACATCCATATCTTGGGAAGCAATTGATATGGCAACGCCATGAACTACGCCATGCATTTTGGTACAGCCTTCCTTGCTGCTATCTAGCAGCAAAAACCTCCTTTTTAGTTTGACAACTAAAACATGTACTCGCATTCTTGCTGCCTCCACTGAATCAAACCTGTCATAAATTATTCCTTGGCCCCACGCATATCTAACCAAATAATCAATTGGAATATCGTAACCTTGTGGAAATAAACAACATAGTAAAAAGCATGACTTGAGTTCAACGTTCTCCAGTCTTTCATAACAGAGTTTTATACTAGAATAATAAGCTTGGGGAGGAATTTCATGCCCTTTTAGTTTCTGAAGGGCATTAGACCATTCATACTTACTCTTATTATTTTGAAGCGCTTTCGCAATAGTTACGACACTATACGGTAAACCTCCACATTCATTTGTGAGCGCTTTTGCAATACCACATAAATCAGGATCAGCATCCAAGGGTTCACCTATTGTCTCCTGGAATAGCTCCCACGCTTCTTCTGCAGTTAACATCGGGAGTGTAAAGTTCTTTTGACTCCCCATCTCATAGCACACATCCAAATTCGATGATGTCACCAAAACTTTGCAACCTTTATGTGAAGGTCCAAACGGAAGTCCTATTGCCTCAAAATCAAGTACTGACCATACATCATCTAATACGATGAGGATCCTTTCTCTTACCTTTTCAGTTTCTAGGTCAATTGTAAGACCTAGTTTATCTGCAATTTCAGCTTCTATTTTTCTAATGTTTGGGTTTGGGGACACAACTATCATCACAACCGCATCAAACAGCTTTCCTTGTACTATTTTAATGATTTCTTCCGCCATTAGGGTTTTACCCACACCGCCCATCCCGCAAATCCCAACCATTGTTATTTTTTCATTCTTCAAAGCCTCCAAGACATGATTCATGATTGTTATTCTGGATTTAGGGCCTCTAACGCCTGCTGTTAATGTTGGCAGTATCGTCTGTGGAGCTGCTGGATGGGCTACATTTTGGATCTGTGGAGCTGCTGGATGGGCTACATTTTGGAATTTTCCTTCTTCAAGGAGATGAAGAACATCATGTTTAATCTTCTGCGCTTGCCTACTCAAACTCAGCCAATACAAGCATCGTCTTCTCCTGTTGACTTCATCTTCAAAACGCGAGACTTTGCCGATCATCACATCCACCGTGCCTAGCCAAATCAAAACATCATAGTTGATCACTTCCCCTTCCCTTTCGGCCTCATTGACCAACCTCTGCAACGCATCTCTCTTCACAATTAATTTTGTGAACTCATCTTTAAGATCTTCTATGTTAGGATCACAGTAGGTCAAACAACCACTCTGTGTCCCCATCATCGTCACTAACTACCTTCCCAACTTCGGATATAGATGAATTAACAATATCTTCTTTTTGTTGGGGAAAGGAAAAACTCAAAGGCAATTGGAATAAATGCTCCTCTCTATGTATTTGTACAGTAATTTGAAGGCTTCTCCCGATATAAAAATCCACGGAGCTGTCAAACAAAAATAAATAATTAAAATAAAAATGAAAGATTGTTACTAAGGAAAAAACCAGGTGCTATAATGAAATTTGGCTGATGCCTAAGGGTTGCATATTGTTGTCCAAACAATCCCAAATAACTCACTTAGGTACGCAATCCCAAACAAATGTAGAAATAATTATTCGTCCTTCCTACAAATCACAATATTTGTAGAAAGAGAAACTAAGGGTCGACTTAGCCTGCTGGATATAGTATAAATAACCAGAGACTTAAATATATCGAGATACATGATCTTCACCTCGAATTCATATTATTGACCAGTCTCAAAGTCTACTAGAGCTATTTGAGGATTGTTGGCTACCGCGACATGATGGGTGAGAGGATTGATGTTTCCTGGACCTAGGGTATAATATTAAAATTAACAAATTTGATTTTTTTTTACTTCAAACTAATTTTTTTCTTACCAGCATGTTGCGCAGCCCATCCCCTTATATTTCTATAAATAAAAGTCAAATTTTTCTAAGTAAAACTAATGATTAAGGTCCAACAAAGCAAGTTACTGAATCAATCTTAATCAAGGGCGGAACTATACCTTAATGACTATGGTGGGCTGTAGCCTAAGGAGAGTTTTGGGGATTAAAAAAATCAAACCTATATATTTGACTTGTTTAAACATAGTCCAATATGTATATTAACCTATTACTAGTCCAGAAAAGTCCAATTCTTTATGAGTTTAGGTGCAAGACATCAATAAAAATACACATTAAAATAGGTACACTTTCAATTATGTTATCCAACGTATTTTTCATTTTATAATATGTGCTTTTTGGTTTCATTAATATGTATTTTTTTATATGTTAAACTTTATTGGAAATTAGCATTTAGCCGTGCACTCGAGGTCCTAGGTCCGATGCTCCACAAATATAGCTTGTATAAAAAGAAAAAAAGTGTATTGAAAATTAGTCAATGAAATTATGAACTATCGTAATTGATATGATTTAATATATACATTTATTTCTAGAAAGACTATAGAAACTGGAAGTTAAAACAAAAAATATCATTAGATTGTAAGGTAGTAACTTTAGCTAGCCCACCCGTTGAGGAGAGAGAAAGACATAGTTTTTTGAAATTTTACTTGCCCAAATTGCAACAGTGAGATGGTGACATAGAGACAGAGAATGGGGAGGTGTTGCAGGGAAGAGGGTAGATGCTGTGGGGAAGATGGTGGCTACGGGGAAGAGGATGAGAGTGCTAAGGTTTTTTTTTCTTCTTTAATGTGTTTTTTTATATTTATTTTAGGGAGATTCACTATTATACCCAATATAGGGGCTCAAATTATAAAAATACCCTATATGAAATGGACTTTAGAAAAATACCCAAAGCTCATTTACAACATAACAAAGAGGTTTTTAACTTCTTATAAATTACAAAACTACCATCAATTTCTTAAAACAAGCGGCCCAACCCCAAAATCTCATAAAAAACCCAAAATACTCAATAAGTATCAAAGTAATTTAATAATCAAACTTAAATTCAATAGGGCCAGCTGTCATTTTTTGGGTTTGTTTATAGAAATTCAATGGTGTAGGGTTTATCTATAATATTAGTGCTAAGAATGGGTATATCACTAAATATCTCTTTATTTTAATACAAATTTATAAATAAACCCAATCCTATACATGTATTTATAAAAAAACCCAAACACTATTTAAACATAGAAACACACCCAAAATCAACAATTGTATATTTTTTGGGTGTGTTTTATAAATGGGTTTTGAGTGTGTGTAATGATGGGTTTTGGGTGTGTTTATAAAGTGTTTTGAGTGTTGGGTTTTTTTATAATTTCAACCCCTATTTTGGGTGTTTTAGTAAAACTCCCTTTTTTTAATTGTTATTTTGTTTTATTCTTTTGTTATTTGATTTGTTTTCTTAATTTATTGCTTATGTGGAGTCCACGTCAGTTAAAAATAGGTCCCACAAATGCCACATTAGCACTTAATGATTTTATTAAGAGTACTGCTAAACAAACCTTAAAATTACTGAGTACATCCTACTACCAAACTATTTAATAAATTACTAATTTACCCTAATATAAAATGACAAAAAAGAATATATTGAATTGTGAAATAAATATAATTTTAATAAGTATATCCTACTCACCATATTCAACCCTAATCAAATATAGAGAAGTTTCCATATTACTTGGTGCCCACGAACAATGTCGCGAGCACTGACGAAGGTGCAAGGAGGTGTCGTTAAATGGTGTATAGCATATAGGAAGGGATAGATAGCAATGATTCTAATCCAGCTAACTTACTTGCAACAGTATCAATCTTCGATGAGTGACTAGAAGAATTTTCCCTTTGCAGAGTAAAAAGTGATCTTCATAAGCATATATGATAACGCAAACTTCCCACGTACTTTAAACAGATCAACCTGGAGGAAAATGAACCTGATTCTGCCAGCTGCAATATAGCCTTCATGACAAAAGAAAAAGAATTAATTTTAGTCACTAAATACAAGTAGATTGTAACCAAACAAGACATCAAGCTAGATATCAACCAACAAATAATCACATAAGTAGGTTTACTTAATTTAAAGTTGAAGAAGATGAGAAAGGATGGAATATTAAATAAATTGCAGACATTGAGATTTCCACCGGCTTCTCAAATGACATCACCAAAGTCTTCTATGCCCTTGCTTTCCTGCCAAAGTAAAAAATTTAAATAAATTGTAGACATTGAGATTCATGAGCGCAGAAATTGCAACTAGTAAGAGCTGGAAAAGTATAACGCTCATAAAAAGAAGGATTGGTATTAGGGTGTTGTATAATAGAGTGTATTAGGGTGTACCAAAGGTATTTTTGGTAGTTAAATAAGGTGTACTTAGTTAATTTTACATTTTGATTAAAATATTAGGGTTTACTTAGATCATTGGGTGTACTAAGTTAATTTTAGGGTTCGTTTAGCAGCACTTTTTAATTCATAGTTCGGCTAACAAAGGGGGTGGAATGTAAATTCTCAATGAGTTTGAGTATGTAATTGTAAATGTCCCCAAAAATGGATATGAACTTGAAAATGACCCACTAGACATAATACCTACCTATCTATTCACTGATCATGTATCAAATATGTAGGTAATTTATCTATTTTGCATGTATCACCATAAGTTTCCAACGGATAATGACCTAACCAATACTTTTTAGGCAAAAGATTAATTTTAATTAGGTATATTATTATCATTGTTTGTTTAGCTATATTACTATTATTTATGTGTATTATTATTGTACATACGTAATTTGTATTCTATTATTATTTATGTATATTAGGTGTTTACTTTTGTTTGAAACGTTTAATTATTGAATAGGTTTCCAAATTTAAAGGAATTAAATTTAAATGCTAAAAATAAGGGATTTGACAAGTAGTTAAGGTAGATGGCATAGTCTATGAATATGTTACAATACTAGGACAACTATAACCTATATTAAAATTTGGGCTTTTCATAAATGTTAAAAAATTGGTAGGTTTATGTCTAGAGATAAGAGTTTATTTATTTATTTCGTACAAGGATAGTCTAAACTAGAGGGGTGGGAGTTACACACAACTAATGTCATAGGGGTTCGAACCTGAAATCTGTGGTCTGCAAGTCAATATCCTTTTCCACTAACCTAGAGCCCCCATTGGCTGGAATAGAGTTTCAAGAGACTATCTCTTAACAAATACTGAAGTGTGAGAGAGTTTCAACGTCGACGTACCTCTAATACCAATATGAATTAGGGTGCAAGAGAATCTGAGAGAAATTCTGCAGAATGCGATGTCATGAGACAAAAGTGCTGCAGGTGCTCCACAAATTGAATAAGAGAAAAATTTAATTGTTTGAAGGAATAATCACAGAGGATAATACTGATCGATTCACAGAAATTAAAGACTAACAATTGATCATACTAGCTTAGAACAATTTATAATATGAGTTGTGTGAGCTATAAAAAGGAAAGAAGTGGAAAGAAATACAACAGGCATTACTTCAAGAGAAGGTTATTCCTTGAAAACCGAACTCTATAGTACAGAATACTAGAAGCATATCCAAGCTTAGAGGTTTCCTTTTTCAATCACTAAAGAGATAAAATATGCACACAAGCAAGGTATAAGATTCATGTGATGGGAAAACAAAAAAAATACATAGATACATCAAGACTTTAAATACGCACTGACCCAATATGAATGAGAAGGAAATGGAGAAAAGAAATCTAGGGATTTAGATGACATTATAACGTTAATTTGTTTATTTGAGTTTCGACGTGGACGTACCTCTACTACCAATGTGAATTAGGGTGTAAGAGAACCTGAGAGAAATTCTGGAGAATGCGATGTCATGGGACAAAAGTGCTGCAGGTGCTCCACGAATTGAAGAAGAGAAAAATTTAATTGTTTGAAGGAATCACAAGGAGGATAATACTGATCGATTCACAGAAATTAAAGACTAACAATTTGATCATACTAGCTTAGAACAATTTATAATATGAGTTGTGTAAGGTATAACAAGGAAAGAAGTGGAAAGAAATACAACAAGCATCACTTGAAGAGAAGGTTATTCCTTGAAAACCGAAGTACAGAATACTAGAAGCATATCCAAGCTTAGAGGTTTCCTTTTTCAATCACTAAAGAGATAAAATATGAACCCAAGCAAGGTATAGGATTCATGTGATGGGAAAAAAAAAGAATACATAGATACGTCAAGACTTTAAATATGCACGGACCCAATATGAATAAGAAGGAAATGGAGAAAAGAAATCTCACTACAAAAAAAAGTGGCAACAGTTACCATTTTTTCAGTCACGTTCTTCTTTATTATCAAGTTAAAATAAGATAAAGAGACCTCTGAGTTTATCTTAACTATTTCATTAAATATATGCTATTTAATTGTTTTTACATATTTTAAATATCTATATAGATTAATTTAATTTCCCGCCTTCGTGTTATTTAAACTTATCATTCGGACCTAAAGCAGAGGTCTAGGCTTGAATAAGGACTATTAGTTCGAAAGTAAAAGGTTAATTCAGGCCCAAACTATATCATTGGGCCCGAATTGACTAAGAATCTTGACCTGATCTATGGGTTGATCTAAACCCAAATAGGTACCATTAACCATGATTCTAGTTCCCTCCTTGTTTGATTAGGTATTGCTTGTATCTATCAGACCGACACGCATAAATGAAAGAATATTGAAGTCCTTTTGATTGAGGCATAGAAAAGAACTCATCCAGGCCTAAAATTGGTACATAGGTGATGAGGGGTAAATTTAAATGATAATTAAGCAAGACACAACAAACTTCACACACTTTTGACCAGGTACTCTTATGACTAGTCTACTGTCATACATGAATTAATATAACCAAGAGCATACACAGAGCATACCAAGATGTACCTGCAAGCCTAGAGAATTACTAGTGACAATCTAGGCACTTAGAAGGACCCGTCAATCTAGGCATCCCTTGTACTAGCAACAACTATGGCGAAAGTGTGTGAAGGCATCATAATCAAGTAAACATCAAACAACAGGAAATGATGACTAGTCAACCGCAAGAACACAAATCCAAAAATACATGAACATCATGCGATGACTAGTCAACTATTAAGAACATAAACCTAGAAAATTACAGAGATGCAAACCAAAAATTGTTCACCTAGAAACCCACAATTGGGAAAAATTGGGGGGTCATCAACCGACCAGGCAATCCACTAAGCAAAAAGATTCTTACAAAGAAACACTAGCAAACTCAAGAAATCCTAGGTCTATTTAGGAAGATGAGCTTTACCTCTTTTGTGCAATCTTCTTCTCCAACTTAGCAAAACTAGCATCTTAGGTCTTCATGGCAATGACATCTCCTTCTTCAGCTATTTCATTCCATGGCACCAGCTGGCTAGCTCTCCAACTCAAACAAGAAAGAAATTTGGATTCAAAGGGAGAATGACCAATTTTTTCAAGAAACCATACTCTTGAAGAAATCAATCTTGAATCTGACCTAGATATATATGAGAGAGTGTTTGGTCTAGCAAGATGAGGTTTTCATATTTCAAATGTAGTTGTTCAAAAAGAAACAATTTGGAAAACTCGAAGATGAAAAATATGATGGTTACACTTGAGGAAGAAGAGAAAGTTAACAAAGAAATTTTCCAAAACTTGCCTACAAAAGTGACGGCTGCCAAATGAGGAATGCGTTTGTTTTTACACAAAATTCCTAGGTTAGAATTGTACAAGGCAACAGAGAATTTAGCAGAATATGACAAAAAAAATTGGGTAGGATCCAACTGGAAACAGTGAGCTGGAAATCCTAACAATACAGAATTTGACTAGTCATACGAAAGAAAGATGACTAGTCATAATTTTTAGGAATTTAGTTAATGCAATTTAATGCAATGCAAAACTTACCTTTGTCAAACACATTGTTGTCCATCACAATGCAGCCAGATAAGAACACCTAGAGATGTAATTCTTAATCTAAACTAGAGCTTGAGAAAAGACAATGATTGTCCTATTACAAAATTGTCAAGGGAAGCCAAAAGAAAATTACAAAATCCATACACTTACAAGGCCAATACCTCCCTTGGAGCATAATGGCTTGAGCAGAAGTCCAGAATAAGTGCAAACACAACAAATCAACATCCTACGTACACTATTATACCGTGTCTATTTGGCTAGTCTTATACCCACGCCTATACAACTCTAGATCAAGATAAAAGGAACAAGCCGATAAAGTCCAACCCAAGCTCCCCTGTTCTTGTCAACCTGATCCAAATTTCAATTTTGTTCAGAAGTTGAAAGAATCCTCATCGTGAGCTAGAAATCCAATCGTGGCATTGATGTTGATCCAAGACCTTCTCACTCTATAGAGCAATCAGATCCAAGTTATCAAACCATCAAAAGGAGTGTTCACAGGAAAAGGGACTAACAATTAGTTTTCTTTAGCAAATTTAACTTTGTTGTCAAATCCAATTCCTTTCTTTCAAATACCTCTATGAGCCCAATTTTCATGTTACCAAAACCATGTGACCTCACGTTTCTTCCTTAACTTAACACCAATTTAACTTGGTTAACTCTTTAGCCCTTTAATAGGACCCGCCCCGGATTCTCCTTCAGAATCTGTGACAAGCCCTACTTCCTGTCTGACATCTAATCGATGCTGGACCCACTTTACTAACAAGCCCTTTAGCCCTAATTTGAACTTATAAAGACTGCGACTCCTACCGAAATTTCAGCAGAGTCTCCCCCCTGTAATTGGAACATTTCCCAAATTACAGCACCTGCAAACAAGTGTAGAAATAACGCCAATCTGCAGCATGCACAAGGTAAGGGCACACATAACAGTTAACACAATTGAAATGGGCTTCACGCCTTCTACCCAAACTGGAAACGAGCAAGCAGAGCAACTAAAGATTTAAGTTTAGAACCTGATGAGGAAAAAGGAAAGTAGAGAATGATAAAGAGAAGTTCCTACACTGCAAGCTTACAGAGCAAACAATGCTGATGCCTCGACATGGTGGTCTCGACCTTAGATATCTAGAACTTGGGGGGCAAAACAGAAAATGCGAGCAGATGAAAACAAAGCGTTAAACATAATTTATATTCAACATAAATAACCCCCTCCGTTTTAGGAAATAACTATCAAAACACTATGCAACAAATTTCTTTTGTATACGTGCATATTTACCGTCCGATACTTGAAAATAATTCACTTCAGTAAGTTCATGTCATAACATAAGATAAGGAAAACCATATAATTAATACTTTTCCAATTTCTTGGAAAAATATAAACTTGTTTATTTAATCCTTATTGTAAAACTGTAAATTTAAACCCACCAAAATATCTCGTTAACACAAAATATAATATGCCAGTAATTTCCAAATATCCAACCTCAATTCCGAACTTCGTTTCCAATGGTCATACCTGTGCAGAGTAGTCTCAATGCACATACTCAAGAAATCTCAACCTGGAAAGTATCTCCACAAATATACCCATATACATATACATATATAGATATACAAATACACACACCCAAACTTAACACATCATTATCATGTACCGAGGGAAACAATCCAACCAGATCAAAAAGTGACCAAAGTGAATCCTACACCCCAAGGGCAAAAATATAATTTCACAATTACATAAATTGAATAAAATGATTAAATTGGTGGCTGAAATCGCTGGAACAAGAGGTGGAAGTTTTTGGTCAAAATTGGCCGAATTTTCGTACTTTGCTGGCGATATCGACTGCTCCAGCTGCTGGTAGAGGCGGGATGGAGAGAGGAGGTGGAGTCGGTTCTTTTGGTACTAGCCTTGTGGTCGGAGGTGGGCAGTGGCGGCGGCGGCGGCCCCAAAAACCGTCAGTTGTAGGGAAAGGGGGCTGTCGTGTGCGAAGGGAAAACCGCGAGAGAGAGAGAGAGAGAGAGAGAGAGAGAAGGAAATCATATTTTTTTAAATTCAATTTTGAAATATTTATAGTTATGCCATTATGCTTCCGTTGATCATAACTTTTTCATTACAACTCCGATTTGAGCCCACTACATGTCTAGGAACGCATCTCGACGCGATCTACGTCATGGTGCCATTCATGTCTCTAATATCCGAAGTGGCCAAAATAATCCTATCCCTGAGGGCAAAATTGTAATTTCATAATTTATTAAATTAATTAAATTAAACGAATACTTAAATTAGGGTCGGGATGTTACAGATGTCTCAGGTGTGATGACTAGTTTGCACGATTGCAACTTATGAGTTCTAGTTTGATATGTTATTAAGACTTCCATACTAGAACTCATGGTTTGATCGTGTTCAGTATACTTGTCTATATAAGCACCTACACACTTATCTTAGTGTCTCTAAATGCAATGACTTGAGACTAGTCATTCTACATGCAATGACTTAATGTGGAAGTATGAGAGATCTCCTTATATCCAATCTCATTTCATAGCTCTCATACTATTTCATATTCCAATGACTTGTTGTGTTACTGTTATGATAATATGCCAAATATCATTGTTGAAAACAACGATCTTGTTAATTAGTGTTGGTGAAATATCCAAAAAGCAACATCACATGGTTGGCGTTAGGGCATATTTCTAACATGATAGTGGTGGTGATTTGGCATCGTTCAGCCTAGATAGAGAGTAAAGAGTTGGGAAGAGAGAGCATCGCCGAAGAGAAGAGGGAGAGAAAGATTGAGAACGAAATGAAGAGACATAATAAGATCTTAATACATGAAATTGAAATTTGGAAATGTTTTGGTCGCAGGTTGATATGTTTGTGAAAGAGAGGGAGAAGAGAATAAGATCTTTTAAGGTCCTTGTTCTTGAAAAAAAAAAAGAGTAAAGGAGGAGGAAAGAAAGAACACTTGTTTGACATTTTAAAGTTGGAAAGTTAAAATAGAAAAGATGATATTTACTGTATTCTATGCTTGATTGCTTTTCTCCAACCACATGGAACTTTAGAAAGAGAGTTTGGAATAATTCAATAGGCACAAAAAACGATGGCAGAAATTAAAACAATGGGAAACAGCCCACAAATGCCAGGGACTATGTTTGGAACCAGTTTGGTAACCAAACATTTATAGTAAAACCGCCTACCGACCGATGACGGTTGATATGGCTAAAAGGGAATCGCTACGGCACCAAAAAGGTGGTTGATGCAAAGAGACCAGCGGCTAATCAACCATCAAGTGAACCAACATCCTCCTCGCAAAGAAGCTTGTCGACACCGTTGAGGCTGACTGGGGGAAGTGTGAAGAGGGAGAGAAGACATAAAGAAAGAGAGAGAAGGCAAAGAGACAAAGGAAAATACGTTCAAACAATATATATATATATATATATATATGTGGGGGGCTGCTGAACAATGGATGTTAGGTTAAAAGTGTTAAGGTTTTATATATTGTACTGGAGTTGAAATGGAATTATGTACTAGTGGTGAGGGTTCCGAATGTCATTGGCACTACTTTTTGGAATTTGAAGCATACGACGGTTATTATATTGCGACGTTTAATGTTTACTAGGACGACATTATGAGTTACTTAACGTCGTTGTAAACTGATAAAACGTCGGTTATGTACTTTCGTATTCAATTTTTGTATGACTTTTATATTTTATTCCTAATATTCATAATAATTTCAAAACAAATTCCATAAAATAAACTGACAACTACTATGCACTCATTGGAAGATTTTATCTCCCCTAAATCTTTAAAAAATTTAATGTTAAAATTATATTTATTTGTATTTAATTACTAATATTAAAAAAATATTCATAAAAAATCCAAAAAATAAACCGACAAATTCTATGCACTCATTGAGACAATATCTATCCCCTACATGCCTGAAAATTTTAATTTTAGATTTCAAAATTAGAAGTGATAACAAAAGTCAAAATGATTTAGAGACAAAGCACAATAGTTATTATACTTTCCATTACATAACCCTAAGGTTTATGTGATCCATTGGTGGTCATAAAATTGAAAATTCTTTAATATAGATTTTAGCCTAATAATATAGAAGGCATTGTTGTAAGCAGTCCATAGCAATTTTTGGTTCATTTTTCTCATACTTGTGTATTTTTTTATAATTATTGTAAAATTTAGGGTTTAGGTTTTATTGAAACGACGCTGGTTTGCTCTCGCTCTTTTTGGTCAATATGCGCTTTCGAATCTTAGGAAACACACAACAAAGCTAATTTTTTAATATTTTAGACGTCGGTTTTTGTATGGGTGATGTCAAAACACAATACAACGTCGTAAATGTAACATAACTATCGTTGTAAATCTGAAATTAAACGACTATTGGGTTGTATTTACAGTCGTCTTTAATAAACACGGTCCTTTGAAATTTTTGACCGGGATCTAAAATTTTCCGAATTTCCATTTAACCCTAAAGTATTTCCTTCTCTCTCTTCAACGTAAATTTGTCTTAAAGTTTTCGCTCTCTCTCAAAGCATTATGTATTTTCTCTGAGCTCTCTCTCAAGTATTGGGTATATGCTCTGAGCTCTCTCAAGCATTTGATATTTTCTCTCAGCTCTCTCTCAATATCCATGTAAGTATATTCTCTTAGCTCTCTCTCAATATTCTCTTATTATTAGTTTATATATATTCTCTCAGCACTCTCTCAATATTCTCTTAGTTTGTATATTCTCTTAGATCTCTCTAAATATTCTGTTAGTTTGTATATTCTCTTAGCTTTGGTTTCTTAATATGGGTTCTTTTATGTTTTGGGAGCTATATATGGGTTCTTTTTATGTTTTGAGGTTTGCATTCTGTTAAGGGTTCTTTGAAATGGAATGGGGATGGAAGAATTAGGCATTGGTTTTTTGTAAACCACGACGACGGTTGGTGCCGTCGTCTAAATTTTTAGTATACGTCGGCTTTTTATTTACTACCGCCGTCATTTTTAGTCGACCATAACCCAGCCCTGTTCTTCAAAAAGAATACAAATATCTTGTTGTTTGCCTAAAGACGATGGTAAATAGACATACTGTCGTCTTAATCTATGTTACGCGATGATTATTTTGTAAAAACCATTGTCTGATTATTGTGCATTTTTTTTTCATTTTTCCCACTTTGTTCTCTTCTCTGTCAATATAGTAGTGTTTCATTGCTGGTCTTTTCACTTTATTATATGTATGATTTTATAGTGTGTGAGATGGATAAGTCATGGATGCATGCGGATAAAAGATCGAAGGCATATGAGTTAGATGTGGAAGGATTTTTGAATTTTGCTGTAGAAAATCTTATAAATACAACTCATATTCGTTGTCCATGTGTTAAATGTGGGAATATTCGATTGTTTGGAGTTGGAATTATAAGGGACCACTTATACTTTAATGGAATTGACCAAAGCTATAAGATTTGGACATGGTACGGAGAACCTTGGGAATGGACTACTAATGCTAGTAGAAATGTGGAAGAGGATGAGCAATGTGGGTTCAGTTTTGTTTATGAAGTAGTAGGGATGGATGATAATGATTTAGGAGATATTGAATTTGATCCTTATGAGTTTGCCACTGTGATTGGGGATGGATATCAACCCTTGTACCCTGGTAGCAGTAAGTACATGATGTTGTCAGCTTTGGTGAAGTTATATAATTTGAAAGTAAAACATGGGATGAGTGACGTTTGTTTTATAGAATTATTGATACTTCAAGGAGATTTTCTTCCAGAAGGAAATACACTACCTTCCTTTATGTACGAGGCCAAAAAGACATTGTCTGCTTTAGAGATGAGTTATGAGAAAATGCACGCATGTCCCAATGACTGCATCTTGTATAGGAATGATTATGAAGATTCAACTAATTGTCCTACTTGTGGTGTCTCAAGGTGGAAGGAAGGAAAAGATTCAATCTTGAAAGAGGGTGTGCCAGCGAAGGTGGTGTGATATTTTCCTCCAATTCCTAGGTTTAAAAGGATGTTTCAATCACATAAGATAGCTAAGAGTTTGACTTGGCATGCTGCTAGAAAATCAGTTAACGGTCAAATGTCTCATCCAGCGGATTCCCCGTCTTGGAAACTTGTTGATGATAAATGGCCCGAGTTTGGTAAAGAGCCAAGAAACTTGAGATTGGCTCTCTCATCTGATGGATTCAATCCCCACAGTTCTTTAAGTAGCAGATACAGTTGTTGGCCAGTTATCTTAGTTACATATAATCTCCCACCATGGCTATGCATGAAACGGAAGTTCATAACCTTATTGATTTCCGGTCCTAAACAGCCTAGAAATGATATAGACGTCTACTTAGAGCCTTTGATTGATGATTTAAAATCTCTGTGGGATAGGATTAGAGGAGTGTATGATGCACATATTCGGAGAATACTTTACATTCAGAGGTGTATTATTGTGGACAATTAATGATTTTCCTGTCTATGGAAACTTACCTGGTTGTGTCGTTAAAGGATATAAAGCTAGTCCAATATGTGGCGATGATACACCTAGTCACAAGTTGAAAAATGGCCACAAAATTTGTTACATTGGGCATAGAAAATGGTTACCAATGAATCATCCATATCAAAGGCAGCGTGCAGCTTTTAATGGGAAACCTGAATATGGCACACCTCCTGAGCCATTAACCAGAGAAGAAGTGTTGCACATGGTTGAAGATATTAATTACATATCGGGCTCGAAAAATGGGGGAAGTGTTGGTAAGAATGATGGTGACAGAGTTTGTTGGAAGAAGAAATCAAAATTCTTTGATCTCGAGTATTGGAAATACCTTTATGTGAGGCATGTCCTCGATGTTATGCATATTGAGAAGAATGTTTGAGATAGTATCATTGGTACATTGCTGGAGATCCCTGAAAAAAATAAAGATGAGATTGCTACTTGGTTAGATTTATTGAACATGGGGGTCAAAACTGATTTGCAACCCGAGTATGGACAAAGACGTACTCGCTTGCCCCTAGGGCCTTGGAATTTGTAAAGAGTAGAGAAGAGAGCGGTTTGCAATTCTTTCTATGGTATGAAGGTCCTTTAAGGTTATTGTTCAAATATAAAAAATCTTGTATCTTTAATAGACTTCTTGGACTTAAATCTCATGATTGTCATACCTTGATGCAACAATTGCTCCCTGTAGCAATTCGTTCTGTTTTGGAGAAGCTTGCAAGGTATGCAATAACTCGATTGTGCTTCTTCTTCAATTCTATATGTGCAAAGACGGTAGATGTTTCCAAGCTAGATAAGTTGGAAGAAGATGTAGTAGTTACTTTGTGTTTGCTTGAGAAGTACTTTCCCCCTTCATTCTTTGATATCATGGTTCATCTAGTAGTACATCTTGTCAGAGAAGTTTGTCTATGTGGCCCAGTATATTTTAGATGAATGTATCCGTTTGAAAGGTATATGAAAGTGCTAAAAGGGTATGTTCAGAACCGTAATCGTCCGGAAGGTTGCATTGCTGAGCGGTATATATCTGAAGAAGCTGTAGAGTTTTGCACCGAACATTTATCTGATGTTAGTACAGTTGGAGTGCCTTCAAGCCAGAAGATGGGAGTTTCGAAGCCATTATTAGGTTGCACAGTAAGCTTAGTTGATCTGGACTTGTTAAACCAGACACATCTATATGTCTTGGAGAATACGGAGGAAGTCCTACCTTATATCGAGTACGTATGACTTTTATTTTTCATATGGAGTGCCATTTAAAATATTATTATTCCTTATGTTTATCTTATATACAAGGGACTGTAATGCTTGATTTTTTGGTGTCAATGTAGGGAACATATGATCCACATCAAGACCACTTATCCAAAATTTAGAAAAAGAACAAAGTGGCTGCAAGATAAGCACAATAACACTTTCATTCAATGGCTCCACTTTAAGGTACATATATGTTATTGAATGACATGCATATTCAACTTTTAATTTTCTTCCATTTTATATGTTAGATTGAATTAAGGTATATATGATTAATTTGCAGGTTCAAAGTGAACTTAATGAGGAAGAGCATAATGGCGTATCAGAAAATTTGAGGTGGCTAGCAGCTAGTCCAAGCATGGCAGTGCCATCATATAGGAGCTATCTTATTAATGTTGTTAAATTTAACACCAAGGCACAAGATGATGTGCGAACTGTCCAAAATAGTGTAGTTTATTTACTTGCACATACTATGCAAGTTGCTAGTGCCAAGGATAAAAATCCTATTGTCTCAAATATGGGTTTTTATGGTGTTATTCAAGAAATTTGGGATCTTGACTACCAAAAGTTTAGAATCCTGGTCTTGAGGTGTGATTGGATAGATAACATTGTGGGCCTTGTAGTTGACGAACTTGGATTTACCCTTGTAGATCTGAGTAAAATTGAACATAGGAATGACCAATTTGTTATGGCTTCTCAAGTCAAACAAGTATTTTATGTTGACGACCCAATGCATCGTGGTTGGTCGGTAGTGTTATCAATGCCTAATAGAGAATATAATGATGTTATTGGTGATGATGTGATAGGTGATACTAGAATTGAGTGTGAGTCATTTACTAGAGGGATACCAAATGTTGACACATTTGATGACCTAGTGGGTGAGTTTGGGAATGAAAATATTATAGATGGGTATGAAGATATATGGATTGATTGATTGTTATAATGTATGACCTTAGTTATTTAGTTAATTGTCTGACATTAATTAATAATTTTGTACAACATTTTAATTATTATCACATTTTCATTATGCAAGCTTTGCGCAAGGCAAATCAAAAATTAAAAAAGCTGGGTTAAAGCTGTAAAGTACGACGGCCAGGGATAAAAATTGGAAACACAGACTTCTAAGATAAAAACAACGTCGGGTTTCAAAAAGGCAACAGACCGTAAAACAAAAAAACAGACATCTGAAAAAGAAATCAAGACGGTTTGCTTAAAATAAACTGTCGTCTAAAGCTCAAAATAAAGGTCGTCCAGTTCCATTAACTATCGTGACAAACGTTCTGCACGTTTGCTAGTCTAAAACAACTGACGTCTCCGCGCATACATACGTCACGACAGGTCAAACAAGCGACTTTTAAAAGGACAACCACGTCATTATGTAATAAGAATCGACGTGGTAAGTAATTACAACGTAAAGCAGGTGGATCTGTAGACATAGTGAAGTAATTAACCACGTCCTTTATTTTAAAGCAACAAACGTTGAATCTATAATCCACGTCGGTTATGTTCCTATCCACGCCTTAAATACTATTTATAACCTCAACCTTTGACATAAACCGACGTGGGGGAGAGTTTTGTACGTCGATATTGAGTAATATTCTATCATTTTAAATATTTTAGACATCGGTTATTTAGAAAAACTATAGTCTTCCTCTGTTAAAGGGCCTTCTTTGTACTATTTAAACGACAATTCTGGAAAAAAAAAGACGTGTCAACGAGTTAACATGTCGGTTTGTACTATAGTTCGTGACGTGGATAAATACATAAGTGTCGGTGATGTCTGGTGCAGGACGTGGTTATTTTATTTTACTACGGTAATTGAAAAGACAAATGACATTTAATAAACTCTTTAAATCTGTTTGTGTGTACGTTTGTTGTTTTGTGGGTGGTTTTATATTAACCATGACGGTTTCTAGCTTATCCAAGTCTTTTTTCCTTCACTTAGAGACGTGGATAATTATTTGTACATCGGTTCTTCTTTTGATCTTGACATGTAACAGTCTTTAGACGTCTCTGTTTTCATAAAGCCGTCGTCTAATGTTGTCGGAGATTTCATTTTAAGCTAATTATATAGTAATTACACGTTGGTTAGTAATAAATCTGGATGTTGAATTCCTTAACAACGTCGGTTATTAATCGTCGTTGTTGATAGTACAAAAGATGGTGGTCGATTTCATGACGGTTGGAAAACCTTCTACACGACGGTGGTTTCCCGTCGTCTATTTCGATTTTTGTAGTATGATGAAAGAAAGGTTGAAATGTTTGGATGCAAAACTAGGCTTAAATGGCTGAACGTGACGATAGCAGCCGGTGGAACTCACGGCTACTACAGTAAAGGGGGGGTTTCGCGACAGAGGAGAGAGAGAGACTGCGCAAAGGAAAGAGAGAGAGAGGTGAGGGCTTTTTTGACTTTATCAAACCTTTTCACAATATTTACGGTTATGCCACTGAAGGTATTTTGATCGTATCTCTCTCGTTATAACTCTGATTCGAGCCCACTACGTGTCTATGGACCCATCTCGCCATGCTTTACACAATGGTACAGTCGAAATTCCAAAATTCCTTCCTAGTCAAAAAGTCAACTTTAAACCTAATAAAATATTCTAGGGGCAAAATGGTCCTTTATCTGAATAAATTACTATTTACCAATTTATTTAGGACCGAGTCATTACAGTTTGCACAAATATGGATCATCCCAGAAGTAATATTTGGCTGTGGCAGGGAACTTCTTTCTTTCCTGAAAAGTTAAATCATCTCTCAAAACACCACTAGCAAGATAATTAACAAGATCAGCATATCATGGTTCTTGATCATGAATGGCCAATAGTTGTTCATCCGAAAAAGATTCATTGAGGGGTAGGACATCCTCATTCTCTTGGTTACCATCGATGAGACGAAAGAGATGATCAGCAACAACATTCTCACACCCTTTCTTATCTCGGATTTCTGAATCAAATTCTTGCAACAACAATACCCATCGAAGCAAGAGTGGCTTAGCATCCTTCTTGGTTAATAAGTACCTAAGTGTTGCATGGTCAGAATATACAATCACTTTAGAACCAACAAGGTATGAACAAAACTTCTCTAAAGCAAAAATTACAGCAAGCAACTCCTTCTCAGTTGTAAAGTAATTGAGTTGAGCAACTCTTTGACCTAGAACTGCACCAAGAGCATAGGTAGAAGCATCACACATTAATTCGAAAGGTAAAGACCAATCTGGTGCCTTGATAATTGGAGTTGATGTTAGTTCAAGTTTCAAAGTGTTAAACGCATCTAAACAATCTTTATCAAAGTTGAAAACAGCATCTTTAGCTAAAAGATTGAATAGAGAATGAGCTATTTTGGAGAAATCTTTAATAAAACGACGATAAAAACCTACATGTCCTAGACAACTCCTCACTCCTTTCACTGAAGTAGGGGCTGGTAAATTAGAAATCAAATCAATTTTTGCTTTGTCTACCTCAATACCTTTGTTGGAAATAGAATGGCCTAACGCAATACCTTGCTTCACCATGAAGTGACACTTCTCCCAATTCAAAATCAGATTCGTTTTTTGGCATCTTTTAAGCACTAATGGCAAGTGGTTCAGACAATCATCGAAAGAGGACCCAAAAACTGAAAAGTCATCCATAAATACCTCAATGAACCTCTCTATCATGTTTGAAAAATAAGGCATCATGCATCATTTGAAGGTAGCTGGGGCATTGCATAAACCAAATGGCATTTGTCTATATGCAAATGTTCTGAAAGGGCTTGTGAATGTTTTCTTCTTTTGATCCTTCGGGGTTATTGCAATTTGATTATAACCTCAAAAACCATCAAGGAAACAATAATGTGAGTGACCAACTAGCCTTTCAGACATTTGATCAATAAAAGGTAAAGGAAAGTGATCCTTTCTAGTGGGCAGTGTTTTGCTTCTGATAATCAATGCAAACTCTCCATCTCGTGATGGGTCTTATTGGCACTAGCTCATTGTTCTCATTCTTGACCATTATGATGCCTGACTTCTTTGGAACAACTTGGATAGGACTCACCCATTTGCTATTTGAGATAGGATAAATGACTCCTGCATGAAACAATTTAAGTATTTCAGTTCTTACAACATCCTTCATATGTGGGTTGAGTCTCTTTTGGGGTTCACGAGTTGGCTTGGCATCTTCCATCAAAATTTGATGCATGCAAATTGTAGGGCTTATTCCCTTGATGTGTGCAATGGTCCATCCGATAGCATTCTTGTGGTCTCTTAAAACTTTAATCAACTTGTCCTCCTCTAATGGTGAAAGGTCAGAAGTTATAATGACGGGAAGGGTTTCTGTCTCACCAAGGTAAACATATTTAAGGTGTTAGGGAAGAGGTTTGAGCTCAAGTTTAGGTGGCTTGACAATGGAGGGAACTAGTTTAGTGGTGCCAGGTTCAAGAGGCTCTATAATGGGTGAAATGGAACAATGGAATGGTTTCAAAACCTCAAGGGCAAAGTATTTTGGGCCAACAACTTGACTGTGTCCTCCAATGAACTCAGTTTGGGTTGGAATGATGAACTTGCTTGATTGAACTTGGTTAATTTTGATTGTTACTCCAAGAGATGTTTGGGTGATTCCTCCAACCAGGATTATAAGTGTTCGAGAAGGGGTCATTTCTTGGCCTTTGGTTGTACGAATTCATCATATGGTCTTGTTCATGGAAAAACGTAGGATAATCATTACTAGTTGAACATATGTGAGTTGAGTGTCCTTGAACATTGCAAATAGCACAAACTTCAACTTGAGGAACTTTAGGTACCATATTGAGCACAACATCGAGCTTCCTTTGTAAACCAACAACCTGTAAAACAAGCTCATTGTTAGGACTAATCTCATAGACACCTGCACTTTTACCTCTTGTATCTTCATGTTGAGCATTGGATCCCAACATCTCAAATATGTCATATGACTCTTGAGCATTCTTTTTCTTTAGAGCTCCACCTGCAACATTATTGACAGTCGATTGACAAGTTTCGGTTAGTCCATCATAAAAAAATTTCATTTGTAAATTTAGAGGTAACCCATGATATGGACATTGCATTAGAGTTCCTTTGAAATGCTCCTAGCATTCGTTGAATGGTTCGCCATCATGTTGTGAAAAGTTGAAAATCTGTGACATCAAGGTGACTGTCTTTTGGGAGGAGAAAAACTTCTCTAAGAACTTCTTAGCTACAGCATCCCAAGTGGTTAGTGATCCAGGGGTCAACGACATCAACAGAGACTTGGATGAAGACACTTATTACTACTACTCCAAGAACTTCAAGCAATGGTTTGTTCGACATGAAATACCTGAAAACAAAGAAAAACTAAGGAAGTAAGCAATAGTAACAAGACTCTTAATTAAGTCCGCAGTAGTGGCGCCATTTACTTGTAGGATAGATTTTACTCTATCTATTTCTCGCAAGTGCATGAATCAATTATAGTATAGGAATGCAAGAACGAGGTCATTCCATAGAGACTTGGATGAAGACACTTATTACTACTACTTAGACTCACAAGTAACCCTAAGACTAAATAGAATTTTAATGAGGTTGAGTTTAGTTGTTTGGAGCAAAAACTTACAAAAAGGGAATGCTAAATAGCAAGTAACTGAAAATTACTAAAAGGGAATGCAAAATAACAAGTGACCAGCAAGTAGATGTTTAGAAAATTTATAGACAATAATGAAACAAGCACTAGGGGTTCAACTTCACCATGACAATCCAATTTCAAGCTACAAGTTAACAATCACCCAAGTTGATTAGTTCAATTTATGGAGTTCGTTCTTTCTTATATATGATTATCCATATGGTGTATGGTTTTAATCAAGTCCTCAGAATACACAATTTAGCTATGGTGTTTAGTCTAAACTATGAATATGAATCCATTAAGCTTAAGAAGAACACTAAGGAACCAAGTAAACATTTAAACATGGTGTTTGTCGTAAATGCATACCCACTCATTCACTAATCAGTTCAAGAGTCATATGGTGTTTATATAAGCTTGAACTAGATAACCAATATGCATGTGTTAATAGTGGCCAGTTATTTAAACATGCATAAAGATTCAACTAAGAACAAGTGAATGAGACCAAAAAATAATAAGTAATCAATAACTTGAAAACTTGAAACTGTCTTATCATGCTACATTGAAACCCTAGTTATGGTAATTAGTTACACCCCATTAATGGAAAGTACAATTGAATCATAATAAAATATGGAGAAGGTAAGAAAAAACCATGAAGAAAGAATTATGTTGTTGAAGAGCTCTTTACAGCTTCCACCATGTATGGTTGCAGCCAGAGATGAAGAGTGGTGTGGATGTGTGGATTGTGTTTGGGAAATAATGGTGATGTGCTTGGGAAATGATGGGAATGTGAAGGGTGGAGTGGTTTCTGGGAGAGGTGTATGAGGTTGTGGTTGATGAATGTTTTAGTGAGAATTGTGATGGGATAGGTCATCTGGTAGGAATTGGAAGAGAGGGATTGTGAATCCCAGGATGTGATTGATGAAAATGTTTGGAATGGAAGTGGTATTTATAGGGAGAAGGAAATGGGACATCTAATTTCAATATATCTACCTACAACACTTGCAATTGAAAATCAGTTTCTTGGCTGCTGCACTTCACCAACAAATCCCACCATAAGCAATACCTCATGCATAGCTCATCATGACCAAGCATCAATTAGGTCATGCTTAGGTCAAAATGATGAACAACTTATTGGGCTCACGAATTGGGTGCCTCTTAATCAAATGACGACTTTGAGCCCCCGATCCTCAAGTTCAAAATGTCTTCTTTCCAACCACATGTAATTTGGCCCAATCCAAGCTCTGATGATGAAGGTACATCCTAAACGAATTTCTAACTCAGTTTCCAGTTTTTGCACAATTTTGCACCATTTTGCTCCATTTTACTCTAAATGCCTCGGGTGGTACCTAGAGCTCAATAAACTGAATAACAAGTACAAGTTTTATTTTAGAACTTGACCAAACAATACGGTAAAGTGCTACAAAATGATACAGAATTATGCATTGATCACGCTCCCTCTTTGAACCACAACTAGATCTAATTTGTCAATCTTTAGCTTCAATTATAGCCGAAAAAAATTGGACAATGCTGCTTTATGGGTTGTCATCCCAACTCCATCATAGTGTCACTTTTCCGCTCCAATTCCAAACCCCAACTGCACAAACCCATCACAATCAAATACCATAATTCATGTTGCTCATCCCCAATCCCAAACCCTTCTCCTCCCCTTAAGCTCTTCAAGACGCCAAAGCTCCTTTTCTCTGCCAACTCTAAATCCAAGTCATAAGATTTGAGCAGTGGGCAGGGGAAGTGGAAAAAAATTTTGGACTTCAAGATCTGTGGGTGTTGTTAAGTTCATGCTTTGCCTCCTCCAATATACCCATTAGAGGAAGATTATTCTTTTCTCGTTCTATATGCTCTTTGCACTAGAGAATGTCAAAGAGGTTTTTCCTTATGTTCTTTTTGCCAAAAAAATTTCACTCTGGTAGTCATATATGTTTTCTTTTCTCTTTTCAATTTTTTTTACTTGTTATAAATACATAAATTATGGATGACCACCATTACATCCATTACCTCTACCTTTTGATATTTTGTAACCTATGCAATTAGTAGCCTTTGATTCATAATTTGTGGGTTATAGCTTCCTGTCATTGTAAGCCTATAAATAGGTGATTATCAAAGAAGAAGATAAACAAGTTTTAGAGACTAATTTATGTTGTCTTCCTCTACTCTTGATTTCTCTCTACAAATTCCCTTAGTAAATAACACAAACATCTAACTAGAGGAGTCATATTGCCAATGGTGAAGGATCCTTTAGGTTTGACAGGACTCTTAAGTTTAAAAAGAGCAGAATTTATTTGCTCAAGGGATACTGACTCAGCTTTGTTCCAAAACACAACATAATGGGCAGCAGAGGTGTGTGGTAATTTGAAGAAGGAATCTAGGATAGGGACACTAATAGAGACATATTTTCCTCCACATCGGACAGAAATGGATTGATCTTGATCATTTATGTCAATATCAGATGGAATATTTGCATAAAATTCCTTCACAATATGTTCATTATACTATTGAATGTGTGTGCACAGAGGTTTGAGAGAAAGCCTAGGTTTGATAGAAAGCCTATGGACAAGTTCTAGAAAAACCTTAGGCATAGAGCGTAGATTAAACACACATTCAGACAGAATTTTTTGAAAAATTGTGACAGAGTTGAAATGAGATTGCTCAGTGGAAGAAGAGAACCTTTTGACAATCAAAGAGGGTTGATTGCCCGGGGATGAAGGATGAAAGGATGGACCAGCAGGAGGTGGCGCTTGAGTGCCTGAGGGAGCCGGGTTTGTGACGTGAGAGGGGCCAAAGGTGGTTTCTTCCATTGAAGCAGAGAGAAGAGAAGTGGGATGTGAAGAAAATAGAGAGAGAGAGAGAAACTGAGAAAGGGGCGGAGAAACTAAGAAGAAGAGAAAAAAAAACACCATTTTTGTTTTTTGTTTTGAAGAACAAATGCGTAGTGCAACTTTAATCTTTTGGTCCAATACCTATAGATTTTCGTAGGAACTCAAATCTGGGAGAATCAAGTGATTTGGTCAACAAATCTGCACGTTGATGCTCAGTGGTACAATAAGTAAGTTGCAAAATTCCATCTTCTACAAGATCCCTAATAAAATGATGTCTAATATTAATATGTTTAGTTCTTGTATGTTGTATGGGATTCTTGGCAAGGCAAATGGCAGATATATTATCGTAGTGAACGAGGAAGGTGTTCTCAATGACCCCGTAATCTCTTAGCATTTGTTTCATCCACATTAATTGAGTGTAACAGCTTCCTGCAGCAATATATTCAGAATCAGTGGAGGAAATGGTGACACTAGTTTGTTTTTTACTTAACCAAGAGACTAAGTTATGTCCTACAAAGAAACACCCACCAGAGGTGCTTTTTCTATCATCAACACACCCAGCATAGTCTGAGTCATGTAGCCTATAAAAGAAGTGTTGGACTACCTAGAATACCAAAGACCATGATCAATGGTAGAGTTCATATACTTGATAATCCTTTTCACAGCTTTGTGATGGGGTTCTTTTGGATTAGCTTGAAATCTAGCGCATAGTCCAACATTAAAAGCAATGTCGGGTCTGCTGGCAATTAAGTAAAGCAAGCTTCCTATCATGCTCCTATAAGTTTTTTTATCAACAGAATCACCATTTAAATCTGCACTTATTTCAGTTTTGCTATACATGGGAGTTCTAGCTTTCCTAGCATTATCCAAGTGAAATTTTTTGACATTATCTTTAGCATACTTGGATTGGCAAATGAATATCCCATCAATACATTGTTTTACTTGAAGACCAAGAAAATAGGTGAGTTCTCTAACCATAGACATTTCAAATTCACTTTCCATCAGTTTAGTAAAATCATTCACTAATTTTTTCGAAGTGGCCCCAAAAACAATGTCATCAACATAAACCTGAGCAATGATCCTATCTGAGTTGCAAGTTTTTACAAATAAGGTTTTATCAGTAGATCCTCTAATAAAACCTTCTGCTAAGAGAAAACTAGACAACCTTTCATACCAAGCTCTAGGGGCTTGTTTAAGACCATAGAGGGCCTTTTTCAGTTTATAAACATGATCAGGATAATTTAAATCTTCAAATCCCTTTGGTTATTCAACATAGACTTCTTCATTATAATTCCATTTAAAAAAGCTGTTTTGACATCCATTTGAAATAGTTTGAAATTCATGTAACAGGAAACAGCAAGCAGAAGTATAATAGATTCTAATCTGGCAACAGGAGCGTAGGTCTCCTCAAAGTCTAGCCTTGTTTGTCACAACTTTTCCTTCATCATTTGATTATTTTTGAATATCCATTTAGTTCCAATTAAGTTTTTTTCTTTTGGCCTTTTAACTAAATCTCACACATCATTCCTTTTGAATTGATTTAGTTCCTCTTGCATGGAAATTACCCAATCATCAAGGGAGAGAGCTTCCTTGATGTTCTTTGGTTCAATTTGAGACATAAAACACACATGACTGATTTCTTGTTTTAACTCCAAAGTGGGGTCACCTAGGATGACATCACTAGTATGGTTTCTACCAACCCAAGGAGCAGGACTAGGTTCCACTGGTTCTGTATGAACAACCTCATGAGGTATAGGCTCAATAGATTTAGGTGGAGGTAGTTCAGTGACAACTGAGACAAGGTTTTCCTTTTCCATTTCAAACAAGTTAACATCATCATCATAACAAGGGATTGAATCATTCAAAGAGTCATCAATAACAACATTACTAGATTCCATCATAGTCTTGTTCGTTTGTTAAGAACTCTATAAGCTCTACTATTGGAAGAGTAGCCAAGGAAGATACCTTCATCACTCTTGGAATCAAATTTTGCTAGATGCTCCCTATCTCTCAAAATGTAACACACACTGCCAAAGATTCTAAAGTATTTTAAGTTAGATTTCTTATCATTCCATAACTCATAAGGTGTTTTGCTAGACATTGGCCATAAATAAACTCTATTTATTACATAACAAGCAGTGTCTATAGCCTCAACCTAAAAATGTTTGGGCAATTCCTTACTAGAGAGCATTACCTTAGCCATCTCAATTAGAACCCTATTTTTCCTTTCAACTACACCATTTTGTTAAGGTGTGATAGGAGATGAGAACTCATGTCTAATAACTAGCTCATCACAGTAATCAATGAAGGATGAGTTATCAAACTCAGTTCCATGATCACTCCTAATTCTAGACAAAATTTGTACTTTTCTAACTTTTTCATTTTGCATTTTATTCATGATGGATTTAAAATGAACAAAAATTTCTCCTTTGTCTTTTAGAAAAGCAACCCAAGTGAATCTAGGGAAATCATCAACAATTACCAAGATGTACTTCTTTCCCCCAAGACTAATGGTTTGAATCGGTCCAACTAAGTCAATATGAACAAGTTCAAGGAGTTTAGTGGTAGTCATGGAGTTAACAGTTCCATGATTAGACTTTGTTTGTTTTTCTAATTGGCACCCACTGCACACGAATCTTGAGGAATTACCAAACTTGGGAATACCTCTCACTATTTCCTTTTTAGACAGAATCTCAAGGTCCTTGAGATTGACATGACCTAATATTTGATGCCACAATGTGATAGAGTTGTCAATTGAGAGATTACAAGCAGAATCTTTAGGAAACAAATTAGTCTCCACACAGTAACAATTATCAGTTGATCTTAAGCCAGTCAGGATAGTTTTTCCTTTGTTATTTGAGACAATACATCTTTCTTTAGTGGAACGAACATTGCAAGTATCTTGATCACAAAGTGGACTTATGCTTATTAGATTTGATTTTAGATTTTCAACAAACAAAACATTTTCAAGTTTATAAATCCCTGGAGTAGATATGGTTCTCTTTCCTAAGATATTAGACTTGCTACCATCACCAAAAGTTACATTACCAAGACTGGATATGAGAGAGAATTCAAGGAAGGAGTTCTTATCACCAGTCATGTGTCTAGAGCAACCACTATCAAAATACCAAAGATTAGAGTTTTGAACAGACAAAACATTTAAGACAACAAGACAGGTTTCATTATTTTTCTAAACCAATATCCTTTTGGGTTGGAGATTTAATCTTGTGATAAGGCTTTAGAAGTTTTGAGATGATAGCCATTTCTTTTAAGAGACTTTGGATTTGACCTTCCAAGATAAAAGAACCATTTCTTAATTTAAAGCAATTAGGTCTTATGTGCCCCTTTTTCTTACAAAAGCGACATACTGGGATGAAGGAGTCTCTCTTAAAGGAATCTAATCCAGAGGGATAAACTTTAGGTTTTTTGACTTTTGTGGATTGATACTTCTCAGAAATGGATTGACCCATCGAAAAAAATGATGTTTTGTACAGAGGCTGACTTGTATTGATCCATGGTGATTTTGGATTCATCCATTATTTGCACAGAATCCACAGCTTTTACAAATTTTACTTTATTATTCATCTTAACAATTTCCGAGGTGTATCCAAGACCAGACTTGTCACCATAAGATTTTCCTGAGTTTATCATGTTGTCTATTTTCTCAGCACCAATGGTCAAATTAATTTCTCTTTTTCTAGACAGATCTAAGTCAAACTTTAACTTTTCAATTTCTTGCTTAAGTTGACTCACACGAAAGGAGAAATCTAAGTTTACTTGTTAAAGCATAATGACTTTATTTGAGAGATGCACACTTTGCTTATTTATATTGTAAGACACTTTCACAAGTTCTCATACTTTTGAATTAACTCTTCTTCACTATCAATGAGTTCTACCTCAAGATCCTCACAAGGTTCAATAGTGGATTTTGCCATAAGAGCAACGACACTTTCATCATCATCATCAGAGTCATTTATAGACTCACTTTCACTATCACTCCAAGTGGTTGTTAAAGCTTTATCTTTTGAATGACTTTTCCTTTTAAGAGTGTTTGCACACTTAGGAGTTATATGTCCTATTCCACCATATTCATAACATTTGATGGAACCTCTTGATTTCTTTTCTCTAGAGTCAAATTGAGCAGTATTCTTATTCTTGTTAAAGCTAGAGTTTGATTGAAAATTATTTCAATTACCCCTTGGTTTTCTAATATTTCAGAATCTTCCTAAATTGTCTAGTGAAAAGAGCCATTTCCTTCTCAGTAACAAGATTATCTAGAGAGGAAGAACTTTCTTCCTCTTTGACAGAATTGAGAGCAATATTTTCGGTTTTCTTAGAGAGGTTCATATTCATTTCCATTTCATAGGTTCTAAAAGACCCAATGACTTGATGATGTTTAATAGTTGTGAGATCTCTCATCTCAGAAAAATAGTTCTCTTAGCATCGAACCTATTAGGCAAAGATCTAAGGAATTTCTTTATCAATTTTATTTCGCAAATTTTTTCACCTAGGTTGTGAGACGAGTTGGCAAGGGCACTGAACTTAACATAGAATTCTTGGATAGTTTCTAAGTCTTGCATTCTAAGACTCTCAAACTCAAAGCTAACCATATCTAACTTAGCTTATTTTACTTTTGCATCTCCTTCCTGAGTGAGCTTGAGAATATTCCAAGCTTCTTTAGAAGTTTCACAGTTTTCAAATAAGGCATTCAAGGCTTTCTTTTCAAGTTAGCAAGAGTCTGTTCTTCAATAGTCCAATCATCCTCCTCTTTTAATTCACATTCCCCAAAGGGATTAATGGTGGTTGGAGGATTCCAGCCATCTATAGTCATTTTCCAAGCCTTAGAATCTAAGGCAAGTAAGAAGGCATGCATCTTGTGTTTCCAAGCAGAGTAGTATTCACCATTAAATAATGGTGGGTGAGCTATAGAGGTTTGAGATTTATCTCGTTCCATAGAGATGACTTAGAGTCAGATCTACACTAATTAAAATGTAGTGCCTGCTCTAATACCAATTGTAAACCAGGCCCTAAGCTCTAAAAGCCTATAGAGAGTGGGGTGACGTAGGCTACAGGTCAAAGACCTACCAATTTAAAAAACAGATTATGTTAAGTCATACAAGCACACATGAGCAATTATGCGATTCATAAGGTAAGACATTTAACAGCTGGAAATAAATGACATGCAAGAATTGTTGACCCAGAAAACCCAAAAGGGTGAAAAACAGGGAGCACCAAGCTAGGAGAGATCCAATCCACTCATTAAGAAATACAAGAAAAACGAAAGAAGACTTAGCTCAATCTATCACTTATAGGTAGCTTCAATCAACCTTTCAGCAAGCACCTCTTCTTTATCTCTTAGCAGCAAATCTTCTCAAGAGCACCAAGCTCTAGTTGCATGTCTTTTGATGTATGGAGTGAGTTATGGTTTCACAAATCCATCTCTCTCAATCACAGAGTATGATTGAACTAGACAAATGAAACCTAAGTGTTGTGATGAATAGACTAAAAGTAAAGAACTTGAAGCATATAGTTTAATTCAACATAACAACAACAAAGAAAAGGTTTACAATTGAAATCTTGTAAATGTATACTTTGAGAAGGTTATATGTATACTATCAATCGTATACTCACAAGTAACATATACTAGCTGAAACATTAAATGAAGAGATTGAAGTAAAGAAAACATTCACTCATTAAAGATTTAAAGTCATCTTGGGGAAGCACTTATGTGAATGCAATCATTCTCATAACCCTCATGAGGAAGCACATTGTGATTCTTTTAAGAAGAAGCATTCTAAAAAGTTTTTGGTCAGATGCAATAAATTGGAGTGTCCATGTATTGAGTCGTAGTCCTACATTTGTTGTCAAAGATGTGAAATGAGATCTAGAAGAGGCTTGGAGTGAACAAAAACCAGCAGTGGATCATTTGAGAATATTTGGTTGCATAGCATATGCGCATGTTCTAGATGAGAAGAAAAGTAGACTCAATGACGAGTGAAGTGTACGTTTTACGGAGTTAGTGAGGAATCCAAGATGAACAGGTTGTACAATCCAATCATTGAAAAAAATAGTCCAGATGTTATATTTGATGAAGATGATGCATGTGATTGGAATGGTAATTAAAGAACAAAATTAGATCTTAGTGAATTTTGATGAAGTCGATGAAAGAATTGAAAAGCAGTTGTAATCTCCTAATAAAGTTCAACTACTGAAATTGGTACTCGGGTAAAGGGAGTACATTAAAGCCCTAATAGGACAGATTGATGACAACAATGATCAAATGTTGTTAAGCTCATAATTTCATACATATACATGCCCTATTTACTTAGTTCTTTTGCTTAGTTTCTTAGAATTCTGAGTCATTTATCTGTCTCTCTTTGTGTATTTTGTAGGTCAATAGAGCAAGAGGGCATTAATTCATGCAATTCAACCATGTTAAGGTCTGATTTGGATGAATGGAAGAAGAGCTTAAAGACAAACCCAATTTGGGCTATACTCCCTTGTTAGTCCAATTTCGTAGGTCACATTGCATGCCTATTTCAACGATCTGCATAGCTCAAATGAGGAGGTATTCTTAAGTAAAGTTGATCCAATGGGTCTCTACTATGACACATCAAGAATGGAGCACAATTGGAATTATATGGAGTCCTCAGCCCACCAAACACTGAACTATGCTCAGGAGGCATTTTGTCTACGCTCGTAAATAAGTTAGCAATTTGTTTTGGCCTTAACTTCTTCTTCCAACTTTGTATTGGCCCAAATAATATATGGTTAGAAAGATACATCTCAACGTCACCATTTTCTTAACGGAAGCCCAATCCGTGAGCCCATGAAGTTGTTGGTCATGCTAACCTAAGGATGAGCTAAATGTTACTTGGTCATTCTAACCTAAGCATGAGGT